GCTTTGTACAACGTTTACGTTGTATACCAGCAAAATTTTTTTTAAATATTGGACTTATCTAAACATTAAGAAAATTTTCTTAAAAATAGAATTATTAAAAAAGAAGTGTAAACACAGGGGAGCTATAATTCTTTTTTCTTCTTTTATAGACGTGACATAAAGAAATACTATTTTAGCATCGATGCTGATTTTCAGGTCTTTATTTTCTTATGCTGTTCGTACAGACAGCAATTAACTCGTTTGTTTTGACATGATAATTGTATGATATCATTGCTCTTTTTTATCTAGCCTATATCGCAATAATAAAAATCATCTTACGTTATTTAGTAAGTCAACAAGTGAATGAAATATAGCTTTCGGTTGCACCGGTTTAGGTATAAATTTTTCCTCCGTTGTTCTTAACAAAAGAAAAAAAAATTATATTATGCAAAAATAAAAGCTTTCTTCCAAAATCGATTACTTACTGACTGACATAAAAACCTTTGGTAGAAGCTGTTATATGAAATGACTTTTCTTCACATGTTGTTACTTGCAAATACATAAGATCACCTTGAATAAAAAAGAAAAATATAAAAATGGTTTTCTCTTTTGAATTAAAACTAACCGTGTAATTTTCTTGAACCATTTGGTGGATTCCAACCACTATACGATAATACTTTTAAACATAGTAACGGCTAAACTCAATTGAATGTGTTAATTGATAAAAAAAAGACAATAATTTTCTATTCATACTCGACTTTTATTGTTGGTAGTAAATAAAGGTGTAACAAGAATATCTTTTTGACTTGGTAAAAGATATTCCGGAACAGTAAAATCAAACCCATTCGTTTCTGCGGCCTTCTTTCGATCTGTAACAGTGGCAAGAAGACAATTTTTTTATTTAATAAAATAATTTTCTATATTTTTTTTCTATCTGTTTTACCAGTATTCGACACAATATCTCCATTCGTAATGTCATTAACCATACATAATGAATAACCATTATTTCCATTATATAAATCGATTAAATCACACGAATGTATTAATTCATTAATATGTCGTACATGAATGCGCACTTCACGTACGGTATATTGTTCTTTAAAAACAAAAAAGACGATAATATTTATATACGTTTGTTTTTTGCTAGACGTCGAATTACAAACCTTCAATAACTTTTAGTAAAGTTCCTTCTTTTAAATTTTCGATGTTTTTCAATTCAGTAAAATTATCTAAAACAATTCCATCAAGTTGTAATGAAAAACAGGTTCGATGACATGTTTCTTCTTTATCCATTAAGACTTGATGAATTTCTTGAACAAGTTCACTTGAAGTAACCGGTAATTCGAATGTATCTAAACCTGTTGCTTGTATACGAATATTAAATGATGATTCAGGTAGAACAATAAGTTCATTTGGATTCGCTGCAACAGACGATACTAATCCACTATTATTTAAATTTGATGATGATGATGAACTTGTATTTGTTGCCGCATCATCGTTATCAGAATCTTTACGAGCTTTTATTAAATCATCTTGATGACCATTGCATTCCGTATAATCAGAATTTGCTGTTGTTGAAACGTTTTCATTCGTTTGTTTCATATTTTCTTTTCTTTAAAAAATCGATAACCACAAATACGAGACAAATTAAGAGAAAACACAATACTAAAATAAACAAAAAGTAAAATATAACAGTCTGTATGAATTCATTATTAGTTTCATAAATAATGTTATAGTAGGATTAAAAAATAATAGGTATGTGTCTATAGTCAATAATTTCATTAGCATCATAACAGAAGGAGAAAAAAGAATCTTAGAATACATAGCTAAGGCACACATACACACATAAGCATGGGTATGTAGTGACAGAAATGCAAAACAGTGGGTGCGGACACATATAGTGTGAAGAAGAGAAAAAAATTGAGAAGCGAGACCAACATACGACGTCTGGTTATGCAATGGCGCATAGTGGTGAAGAGTTCGATGTACTAGAAGAACATCGAATGAAATAGAGAGAGAGAGAGAGAGCAAGACGTAAGCAACACGAGGATCATAGAACAATATTAAATAGGAGTAAACAACAAGAGAGTCGAAAGTTCATCGCTTTCTATATTTTTCTTCGTCTCTCTCTCTCTCTCTCGCAATCTATATTTTTCAGTGTATATCGAATATTTATTCGTCGTGAATAATGTAATTTTAAATCCTTACAAACTTAGTATCTGAGATAGTACTATTGACAAAGATTTTATTACGTGTAATTACCAGGTGACCTTTACAACAATATGTATTCTCCTAACTGAATCCTTTACTACTCGAATAACTACAATCGATAGAAAGGATATGGGCGCATATGCAAGCGAGCAAATATATAAGAATAAGAAAAAAGAAAGAAAGATAACAGTGAGAACGAGTTAATCGATTGCTGCCCTTATGCAACAATACAGAAGAAGAAAAAAAAGACACCATTAGAGGAAAAGCAGAAGATGCAGTATATGAAAGTATACATATTCATATTCATTTAACCGATCTGAACAGATTGTCGGTATGAAAAAAACAGAAATTTATCTATCCAATTGACCGACAATCACATGTGGAATCCGACAGTTCAAAACGTTGTCTAAATAATGTCTAACCAAAGAATATATATGTATATATGTGTGTATTCATTCTACAGCCGACTTGTCTTTCCTCAACAATATTATCACCGGGTGGCAATGTGTTTCTTCGCAGTAGCTAGTTGCTTTTTTTTCTCTGTCTGTCTCTGTCTCTGTCTCTCTTTTCTCCTCAATCATTCCGACACCGATAAACAACAAGAGATGTACATCGCTGCAGGTGTTATATCAAAATGATCGGAATGATCTCCGAATGATCTCCGAATGATCGATAAACAACATCATATTTATACTCGAGTAAAGGTTAATGGTAATTATTGAAGCAATAAATGCAAGCAAATTTTTTCTATTAACCACACTAATCAGAACGAGTCGTACATAGAATCTTATTATCAATGTTAAGATTCATGTGCGTACATATATATATACGTTTATGAGTCTATCTAACTCTCATTACAACCCGTACATACTTATTGTCTATCGACCTTAGTTTATAAATCAAATGTAAAACTATGGATGAAAAAAAACGAAATCAATCAGAAATGCGTGCGATTGATAAAAACATAATTAAAATATAAAATTTACTTGGTGCAATCGTTGATTGAAAAAGTAAGGTAGAATGAGAGCACTAATGGAATTTGATAGTCTATACCTTTCTCACTACTTTATTTATATGTTAGAATGAATTATTTACTAAAACTCGATACTAACTACCTGTTAGCTATTTCGCAGTTGATAATAATTGTGATCGATTCGATGAGCAACAAACGAAATTACCTTTTCAATTTTTTTCTTCACTCATTCTTATTCTCAAGGGTGATTTCAATCGAATGTCCTACGAAAATTTATTTTTTCTTCTTTCTTTCTTTCTTTCTTTCTCTTTAACATAAATCCACTCTAGATACTTGAAAACGCACACATGAAAGAGTTGCCATTTCACCTATACGTTTGTATATATATATATATATATATATACACCTTGCTTGCGTTTTTCTTTTTCTCTTTCGCCTCAGGTGATTTTGAACATTCAACAGCGAAATATATGGACCATATCAATTCGTACAATGGATATTTTCGCCGCTAGATACGAAATATGACAATTTAAAAATGTGAAGCAACTGATTAAAAAATTCCTAAAGCACTCTTCTACGTTATTTTGATGTTATACAAATCGAATTTACCTGGAGAAAGAAAGATCGAAAACATGCAAAAATGTAAAATAGCAATCTATCTATGATTGTGTGTTGTTTTTTTTCGTTTTATTGATTTATTCTTTTCTATGATGTGTGCGCATGGCTAGAAAAAAGGCATCTGCGTCATGTTGATAATGCTTTTTTCTTTTCTTCTTTTTTCATCTTCTTTTAGCTTGAGACGCATCTCTCGTAAATGAAGATACATGACGCATTTACGAGAAAAGAGAAAATTGTATTATGGGCTCGTTCTTTTTTCTCTCGCTTGTCTAGAAAGTAACAGCAAAATGTGGAGAGGCGTCAATTTTCTTTTTCTTATAGATTAGTACTCCAAAGCAAAACGAATCTTTCGTGCGTACTTATCGGAGAAAGCGCAAGTATTTCCTGCTTCGATTTTCTCGAAAAGAAAACAAATTCAGATGACTTTGTTCTCTTATCCATAATGCATGAATGAACAATGCTGAGTAATGAAAATAGAAAAAGACACAATCATATAATACCCCTTGGGAAGTTATCGATTATTTTTCGAAAATGAATCTAGAAAAATATCATTCAATTTCCCACCGCTTAAGAAAATCTTTGAAAGACTTACAAATAAATTTTCGACACATTGGGATGCTTAATAAAGACTCAAGGATGGCGGTAACATTTATTCTCAATACACCAATAGAAAAAAAGAAAGCATTTCTCTACGGAAAGGATATCCTGATCTATAGTTGTCTGTAAGGCATCTATAAGAAATAAGTGTTTTGGTAGTTTCTTGATTGCCACACAAAAAGAAAATAAACTCGATCATATCTGATTGATAGTTACCGGATTTTTTCATTTGTGATATGAATTTGTCGGCAATTTGGTCGATCTATATGCCGTGCAAAAACTTTGCTACTAGAACCTATGATGCAAGTCACATCTGTTTTCTTTTTAAAATCATTTCTATTATCTAGCGGCTGATTTAAAAAGGGTGTAAATTAAGAGAAAAATAAATGCGATCAGAAGACATGAGCATCTTGAATTTACGATAGAACAAAAGCCCCACCCGCCCTCCGTTAAAAAGAGAAAATTTGTCAATGATTTTATTGACCTCATAAAAGGAATACTCCATTTAAGAATCTCCTCCCACACCTGTGTATTTAATTAAAATGACCTCAAAAAAATAGTAATAAAACAATGATGAAATTAATTATTGATTATATTTTCGATTTATCTCAGGAAAACAAAATTACATCGGAAGTTTTTTAACTATTATTACAGCATTTGTTAATTGTGCTTCATTGATTGTTTTATTCTCTTCGTCTAAAGTGATTTTCGTAGCAGGCGATACGAGAAATTCAAATGGTGTTATTTCAAATAGTTCTATTGTGCTACAAAGTAAATGACGAATATCATTTAATGTGTGGTCAATGCTTAATCGAATATTAATCGGAGTTGCGATGTCAGGTAAACGTAAACGAATCGTTGTCATTGTTTGTCCCGCAATGTTACCAAAACGTTCTTTAGCTGCCGTTTCAAGACGTTGATGATCGGATTCAGCCGTTGATGATGTAGCACTTGTTTGTGTTGAACTAGTGTCTAACATCGAGTGACCTTCGCCTGCAAATGGTAATTTGTCTTTGTAATGTTTAGCAAGTGTTGCTTCGATTGTTTTTGCATCAGCACCACGAATACGATCGAGTTCTTTTGATTCACGAATAAAAACAAATGTTGGCATTGCAGAAATTTCAAATTCTTGACTTTCTGTCTAAATGAATACGAGCAGATTATTTTAAAATCAGGAAGGAAAGCACACATTTTGGGGTGTGACTTACTTGACATTGATCGACATCAACTTTAAGAAAAATGGCATTCGGATGAGAACTACTCAATTTTTCAATAACGGGCGCAATCATCTTGCATGGACCACACCTACAATATAAATTAGCGATAGTACAAGAAAATAAAAGAGAAACAAAAGACAAATTACCATGTTGCAAAGAAATCAACAAGTACTAATTTATCTCCTGCTTGTTGCAATTCTTTTTTTAGCCCACCATCAGACACTTGTTTAACAGGCATTTTAGTCGATAGATATCTTTAAATATTTATCTAGAAAATAGATCATACATAACCATTGATTCAAAACAAAGAAGATAAAATGCAACAGTTAAAACTAAAATATTCTGTTACGATCGTCGTTGGTAACCTAATCCTTCACATTCGACGATAGTAGCACCATGCGATATACAAGATGCAGTAGCTGCTGCTTCTGATGTGTTAGAATTCGATTGATCATTTTCAAGTTTCAATGATGATACTTCTGTAATTTGAAATTTTACCTTTGAACAAAAAAAATAGACGATGATAAATGTACATGTTATGATTAAACTAACTTTAGTCAAAAGTTCAGCAATATAAATGGCTGTTTTAGTATGATCCGATAATGGACCACATCGAACTTTTGAATGACCTTTAGCAAGAGCCATTAGAATGATTAACTACAATAAAAGTAGATTAAATTATTCTTTTTCTACGATTAAAATTTAATTGTACAAACTTGATCTTGTAAATGCCGATCAACACAAGGTTGATATGATAAATCATCGAGTAAATCTTGTGCTGCCTGTGTACCAACATCGTACGCTGGTACACCTCGTTTGCCTAGCGCACTTGCTGCAAGTAGACAGCCTGTTGTTGTTTCAACTCCAACTCTTATACAAAAAAATTCGATTATAAAGTATTGGAAAACAAAAATATTCTTGTTTATTTCTATTACATGATACCAGTAGCTGTTCCCATAGCTATGTTATCTGGTTCTTTAAGAACAAGAATTTCAACTGGAATATCTTTTGAATATTTTTTGTGTATTAGTTTTTCAGCTGCATCCGCCATTTCATGAGCAATCTAAATACATAGACACTGTATGTTGAAAGTATTTTGGAGTGAAATTTTCATTCTTACTCGTTTAGATAATGTTCCAGCAACAAATGCTCGACCAAAAAATTTTTTAATCTGTCCAAATTCTGTTAAATCAACAGCTGTTAACTGATCGATTGGATTTACAGTGATACGAACTTCACCGCCACCTCTTGGATAGTAGCCTCTAAAATTCACTATTAATTAATACTGATGTCTATGCTAATGGCTAACCGTCGAATAATATTCATGTCAAAATTGAAATTAAATTTTTTAGCTATTGGTTGAAAAATCTATTTAAAAATAAAAAAGAAACCATATATATATAGTGGCTCTTATACTTATTCTTAAAAAAGAAACCGCTACCATTGAGTAATAATCAATTTCAGGTGCAAAATCTGCATTAGTTCCTCCAAGTAATCTTAAATAAGATGAATCATTAGCGAAAAGTAGACATGGAATGGCAGTTTGCATTATTAAACATACACTCCTAATGAAGAAAAAAAAATGATTTCAGTTCGCCATTTCTATTGAGCATACCCAGCAGTTTTTGTATCTGCTAAATAATTACCACCTCTAATTGTTTTAGGTGTGAAAAAAATTTCTGTCGCACCAATATTTCCATTATGAAGTTTAGCTTCCGACAATTGAGCTAAAAGTTGTATACCAGTAAGATGTTGTGGTCGTAAACCACCTTGTGATCGGCCAGCTCGAATTTTCTCTACTTGAATAGGTATCTCCAGTAAAACACTCAATGCTGTCGAATTACGAAGAATTTGACCACCCTGTAAAAATTATTAAAAACAAAACATCAGAGTTAATATATTTTGTTTAAATATCCGACAGAATTCTGTAGAGAGTTTCTAAAAGCATGATTTTTTTGCTACTTGTTAGTGACAAAACGTCTAGTTGATGTCTTTTTTACTTTATGAGCTGATAAAATATCATATTCGAATGTACTGTTTAACAATAGCAACAACAAGAATAAACATATTACTATATATAAGAGCAAAAATTAATCATCTGTTCTATTACAGATATGAAATACGTAGGAAATATAACAATGATATATCTTATCAAATTTACCTGTTGGTTAATATTATCTTATAGAATATGTGATCTGAGATTTTTATTGAAATTTGACAACGTCAAATATTACTAATCACGATGTGATGCTCCAAAGGATATCTATGATCAATAAAGAATATATTAACTTCTAATAAGAGTTTGTATTTATTTTTTTAAATTTATCTTTATCAGAAATAAATGTATAAATGCATCCATAAATAAAGGTATAAAGTAAATTTACCGCAGAAAAATCCTGTTATAAATGCAGACAAACAGAAAGATATGGTGTTCGTTATGAAAATTTATAAGAAATAATATTTAAATCTTGCTATTTAATTAAGAATATACTTACGCCTTCAAGAAATGATCCATCGATAGTTATTATATTTGACAATGCATCATTCCTTTCCGCCATATCTGTTAATCTAAAATATCAAGTTAGAATTTCATGTTCTTTTTCGTTACGAAGAAAATATTTTAAACTTTTTTATCGACCGTTTAAATATATTGCTTCTATTCGAGTGAATTGTTTGTGATAAAAATGCTTTATATAATACTTTAAAATAGACCATCAAAATGTTTCACCATTATTAATCTAGAAATATTGCACAAGTATGATTCATGTCCGTTACAATCATTTATTTTTGTTGCATGCAGCAATATGTTGTTTTTTATTTGAAGAAAAGAGAAAAACAGAAGGAATTTAAAAAAACCCAACAGCGTGCTCCATTAGTAGAAGAAAAGAATCAATTTTATTTTTTATATATGTTCCTTTGTCTTGTATAAACAGTCTAGATAAATGTTCAACATCACATTAAGAACCACGACGAATAGCAAGTGTAGCATTCGATAGTTTTGCTTCACTGATAGTTTTCGTTTCATCTTCATGTTTGATTTTGGTCGCTGGTGGCTCAAGAAATTGATATTGATTTGATTGAAGCGAAGGTACATTTTGATTCAGAAATTTACGTATATCAGCCAATGTTCGATTAAGATCGATTACAATACGAATTGGTACAGATATATCGGGTAAACGTAGACGGATAACAGTTGACGATGACGAGGATTTTAATTGTTGTTCAGCCAATTTTTCCAAATTGCTTAAATCAACTGTTGCTGCAGATGATGGTTGAAGTGGATTGCCTCGTGTAGCTGTTGTTTGAGCAACAGTCGGCGTTGGTGAGCCAAGCATATGGCCAGCACCTCCAAATGGTTTAAATTGAGGTGCAATTGGTTTATATTCTTCATGTCGATGATCTTCAAGACGTACCTTGAAAACAAAACGAGATGAAAAAAAAGCATTTTATTATTAGATTGCTTTCATCGTTCGAAAGTTTTAATATTTACTTCAACTTGTCGGCCACCTGTAGTTAAATTTCTTAATTCAGGTGGTACTTCACCACGTTTGATAAAGCTCATAAACTCGTGATTTTCTTCAAATTTACGTAATTCACCATCGCCTACAGTAAAGCCGTTTGAAAAAAATCGAAGCGGTACTTGTTCTGCTCGACTCGTGGGAGCCACGTCGGCTTCTGGTAATTCATGGCCCAATGGGCGTGAAGGTGTTTTATCATCACCTAAAGTGTATCCGACGCCAGCAAATGGTTTTTTTTTCATTTGCGATGATGAACCATTATCATCATCACCATCGTCATCAGCTTCTACAGCACCTTGCTTACGAGCTGCGACAAATAATTTAGCTACTTCTTTATCAACGTCTTTGGCTTTTGGTGGTCCAATTATTTGTTGACCACTTCGTTCTGAACCACCAGCATAGAAAGCTTGACCTAGACAAAGAGATTCTTAACATTGCGTTTTCTTTTTTTGCAAATAAAATTCAACAACCTTCTTCATCGGAACTATTTTCTTCTTTTTGTAAACCGCCAATAGTACCAAATTTCGACGATGCTGATGGATTTTTATCTACTTTAGATCCTGCTGCTGTAGATTTTGTGGCAGCTCCACTTATTCGAAGACTTTCATCAATAGCTGTTTGCATTGGACTTTCATCATCTGATTCATAATCACCTGTTTCACCGGATGCTAATCGTCATAGAAATGAAGAAAAGAGACAATATATACATATATTTATTACCGTAGCATATAATTAGAACTAAGAACTTGCAATACCTTGATTAACATTCACTCTCGTAGATTGAGTATTAGTCGAAGAAATAGGTGCACCGATATGTGCACTGCCATCGTCATAAAAGATTTCCATTGCCGTTTCTGAATTCCATTCTGCAGCTTCTAAATAACGTGTTGCTTCTTCACTTGAACATTGTGTAACAGCAATAAAATTGGCAAGAATTTCTTGCGTATCTCTTGAAGTCATCTGAAAATGCAAAAATAAAAAACTCTGTATTGTTGTTTGAAAATTATCGAAAGAAAAGCGTAGAAGGCTCTTCCTCTCTCTTCCTTTCCTTCTGTTTTCATGATGAGAAAAAAATACACTCATAATGATTCATTCTCATTTATGATTGGTTATATCCCAGGACTAATCTGCAACGAATATAAAATTTTGTTTAAAAAAATCAAGTTTTTTTTTCGAAACTTGTTAAATATTCGAATGGTTTCCATTGAGACTCTGAATTTGTTTTTTAAAGTTTCTAAACATACCTGTTTTTGATTGGTTAATTTTCCTAGGTATCAATAATTATTATTGGTAAACAACTGAGAAAGATTGAAAGAGATTATACATCATTTGTTTCTTTTTTCCTATACACAAGGAAAAATTTTATTCCGATTTAAATCAACTCATATTGTATTGCTTTTTCATAATTATTCAATTAATCTACTTCAAGTGATATTAGAAATAATAAAGTAAACATAGTGTAGAAACACTTCAAAACGTTCAATACAACATCGACTTACGAGCTTACAGACTTGTGTTTGCGTCTGTGCTCGAGTGAAGTATGATGTCTTTAATTTTCTTATTTTTCATATTAGAATAATATATACATTTATATGCTTTTTTTTTCTTTAGATCAACATGAAGGTAGATGACATGTGAATCATTTGAAAATATAATTCAAAATTTTTTTTTTCTTTCAATTCTTGTGTAGCGCACATTTTCAGGCGATGAATTTGATACAAGTGCTGATGGTCTCGGTAATGCCAATTCTCAAATGAGCGATATTGCTAAAAAGGTATATAGACATTGAGTTTTTTTTTTGCTTAAATTTAAATTCTTCTATTTCATTTCATTAGAGTCGTTCTGAAGCTGCATTGCCTTCGCGTGTTGTTCATTTACGAAATGTAGAAGCAAGTGACCTTGAAATTGTCCAACTTGGTCTTCCTTTTGGTCGAGTTACAAATTTTCTTAATTTACGTAAAAAATCCCAGGTATTTAAATAAAAATTATATATATATATTCGTTATACTCCTGTGATAATTACTATATTTTATTTAAAAAAGGCTTTCCTTGAATTCGATGCAACTGACTCAGCTAAGCAAATGGTTGATTATTTTACATTGACACCAGCGATGCTGAATGGTCGACAAGTATTCGCTCAATATTCAAATCATGGCGAACTTCGTACAGATCCAACAAATCGTACAAATCAACAAGCACATGTTGCACTAATACAAGCAACTGATCTTTATGAAACAGCACAAAAAGGTGGACCTAATTGTGTATTACGTGTTAGTATTATTAACATGTTATTTCCTGTTACGATCGACGTATTATATCAGGTAATAGGCGGGCAAAAACAAAATCAAAACTATTATATTCGTAAATTTTCATATTTTAGATTTTTAGTAAATTTGGTACAGTACTTAAAATTATTACATTTACAAAAAATGGTAAGAACTAATAAATAGATTTATTTTGTTTTCGGAATGTTTTAAATGTTCAGATAAATTTCAAGCACTGATTCAATCAAAAGATTCAACTGGAGCAGCACAAGCTAAATTAGTAAGATTATTTTGCATATAAACTATATTCTTATGAGTTGCATATTTTGAAGATAAGTAGAGATTCACTAGGGCATTCATTTTTATTAGAAAATCAACGATTTCCTCTCAAAACTGTTAAATTTAAGATTGAATAAAATTCGAATTTAAAAATTGTTTTCATTGTAGCAATTACATGGACAAAATATTTATAACGGTTGTTGTACAGTAAGAATAAATTCATATGGCATAACATATGTTTATACGAGTATTGATTTTAGCTTCAAATCGAGTATTCAAAACTGCATTCACTTACAGTTAAATTTAATAATGATAAAAGTCGCGATTATACGAATCCAACATTACCACCAGGCGAAGGACCTATGTCACAACAACACGAATTAGGTTTGTTAATTCTATTGAATGTTTTAGAAAGTAAAACGTGTCAAATCGTTTTAGAACGCATGCATTCAAATGCAGGTCTTCTTCCATTACATCGAACAAGTTCCAATGAAGATTATCGTTATGGTAAAAAAATTCATTTTTATCGATTTCTTATCAGTTCTATTTTAATCATTGCCTAATATGTAGATTATTACTCTGCAGCAGCTCGTGGTAGACCTCCGTCAACTTCTGGAGCATCTGGCTATGATATGCAAGGTAAAACAATAGAACAAAAAAAACGCTGAATCTCGTATCAATAAATCATTTTTTTCATGAAACAGCTGGCAATCATTTAATGAGTCCATTACAAGCTACATCAGCTGCATATAATCCAATGGCCGGTACAGCCGGTCCATCGTATGTTCATCCATATGGTTCAAATCATCACCAAGCTCCGCCTATGCATGGATTACCACCGAATCATGCTGCTGCTGCTGCTGCTGCTGTACATATGCATGCTGTTCATCATCCAGGCCAACAAGCACAACATAATTTATCTATACAACAAAATCCACATATGATGTCTGTTCAAAACGGACCCGTTATTCTGGTTTCGAATTTAAATGAAGACGTAAGTTGAACCGAGAAAAAGATATATTTCTTTTTTTCTATTTTAGTTTCTTAAATGATAAGATAGAAAAATCTTTTATTTTTCATCTTTTAACTAATCTATCTTATTATAATTTTTTTTGAATTCTTTCTATTCGTTTCTTCTTTTCTTTATTTTCCTCGTCTGGACGATTAGATGACGACTCCAGAGTCTTTATTCACACTATTCGGTATGTGTTTTCTTCTCTTTCTTTTCATACTTTATTTATATATTTTTTTTTCTTAAAATTCGAAAGGATAACTTTTATTATTTTCATTTTTCTATTTTCACATTCTTCATTCAATATCTCATATCTTTATATTGATTGACAAGAGTTTACGGCAATGATTAAATATATATATATATATATGTAGGAATAGCATACAATGTGAAACACTCAAAAAAAAAACAAAGAATAATAGAAAGAAATGAAACTTCCCCAAGGTTAAAGAAAAAAATGCGATTCTTTTTCTCTCTTTCTAAGAACTTAATGGGAAAATCTGAACCGTATTCAATAGATTCTTCCCAAGTTTTTTCAATGAAATAGTGGCTCCAAATCAAACAAATCTCATACGATATTATTTTCATGTTTCTGAATATTTTTCCTTTGCTACTTAAAAGTCTTGAATATGAGCACTTGCATCTTTTTTTCTAATCTGTAAAACTGTGAATTGGAGGAGAACAAGTGTTAGCCCAATTTGAAATAGTTGTCTCATAAAAACAAGCATCGACCCCATCTCTAACTCCACGAATCGATTAGTACTAAACAAGAAGCATTATTTCTTGATGCCGGAAATAGAAGATTTCCTTTGATCACAGAAATTTCAGTAAACAGGAGAACTAAAGAAAATTTATTACTTTTCTCCAAAAGAAACATTTCCTCCTAGTTAATCGTCAATAATAAAATGCTTTCTATTATTCTCTAAGCACTCATTTTGAATACTAGTGTAAAATTCACCTTTGATATATGAAAGTAAAGTTATATTTTCAAATATGTTAATTATAAATGTACTCTTAGGTGTTTATGGTGACGTGCATCGGGTAAAAATCTTATTTAATAAAAAAGATTCGGCTCTCATTCAATTTGCTACACCCCAACAAGCAGCTGTTGGTAAATAACTGAGAAAATGCTTAAAAAGTAAAGATTCATTTTTTTTACATTATTTTAGCGTATCAAAATCTTGATCATATAACAATATATGGTAAACAAATAAAAGTTTCATTTTCAAAACATCAATTTGTACAAATGCCCAAAGATGGTACATCGGTATGAAACGTAAACTAAATGATATGAAATAAATTTTATTGTGCAATTTATAGGATATGGGTTTAACAAAAGATTTTACAAACTCACCGTTACATCGATTTAAAAAGCCAGGTTCAAAAAATTATAATAATATTTATCCACCAGGAACTGTACTTCATTTATCTAATATACCGTATGTAGAAAGATTTAGTTTCGTTGGAGAACAAAAAAACATTCAAAGATATTTTTAGAAATGAAATCAATGAAGAAGAAATTCGAAATATATTTTCTCAATATGGTAAAATAAAGCGGTTTAAATTCTTTGAAAAAGATCGTAAAATGGCTTTAATCGAAATGGAAACAATTGAAGACGCTATTGCAGCTCTAATTGTAGGAATAATAAATGCCAAAAAAATAATCATTTTTTTTGTCTTGTTTTAGAATACCCATAATTATCGTTTAGCTGATTCGATGCATCTTCGAGTTTCATTTTCAAAGAGCAAACTGTAAATATTCAATACATGAATTGAACTTTTTCTCGCAGTTGTTTTATGAAAATTGAATCCAAAAATAATAAAACAAAATCAAATTATTATGTTTTCCTCGTTTGTTTTCGGTAACAACTTGCTTTTGTCTTTTTCAACAGAATTAACTTGTGTTGTTTTCATTTTGTCTTTTGTGTTTTCATCAAGTTCTATTGTCTTCACTTGATAAAAAAGAAGATTTTCTAGACATAAAAGATTATCAAATAAACAAACTAATCTGAATCTTCAAAAAATTACACCTTTTCAAATTTTTACTTTCATTCAATCCGTTTAACTGATCTTTAATGATTTGAAATCTCTGATTTTTCACTTTCGTCATAACGTAAAATTGAATCAGCGATGTCTTTTTTTTATAACAAGTAGTACACGAAAATTTGGAAAATAGAAACTAATCAAGTTTTATGTTGAACTCGTTGAAACTGTCTTGGCTATATTTATTATCGAGATTCGAGATGTATGGTTATAGTGGTAATTACATGAAGGGAACTCTTCACAGAGTAATTGTCAACATTGAGATAAATAAAGATGTTCTCGCAATGTTTGTTTTCCCTCCATTGTAAAACAACAATCTTGTATCATGTCAAGAGAGATATTGTGCTTAATTATATCGTTCATTTCAACAGTGATTTCTTATATCAACGAACAACTGGTAAAAATATCGAATAATATTGCTTAAGACAGTAAACTGGATGTGTTATCGAAAACAAAATACTAAAACTGATGTTCATTGATTAGATGCAAAAGTAATTCTACATTTTATCGGAATAAATCTCTATTTACATAATAATTAAAAGAACGTATGAGGAAATTAACGTCGGAAATAGATTGAGAATGTGACTTGAATTCTTTTTAAAGTTACCTTTATCTATGTGTCCATCATTCAGGGTGATCGACTCCGTATCATCATAGTCTTGGAAGACACATTTTATTATTTAACATTTTGATTCTTATTAATTATCAATAAAATACGTGCACTTACTATTATATGATATACTTTTCTCTGAAAATTCATGCTCTCTACATCGGTCCATCGCCTTTTAAAAGTATCAATACAAAAAAAAAATGAAGTATCTTAAGTATTTCATTCTAATTACAACATATCTTTTATGTTTCATAATTTTCTATTTTTTCTTCTTCTAATTACTTCATTTGTTTTATCCAATGATATCATCGTGAAATACAAATTAAGATAGAATCTAATCGATAAACTTATTCTTGTTATTTCATACAATTTTCTTTGTTTACAAATTTACACGTGATTTTTCTTTATAAAAGATTAATGACTAGGAGTAGTATTTTCTTTATCATTCTCTTACTAGTATAAATCTGTTTACGTCATGAATGTACATTAAAATAAAATCGAAAAGAAAGGAAAAAAAATTCCTTTTTACATTATACATCATTTTACTAGCCATATCCATTTCCATTAGCAGCGTATACTTTGCTGTTTCGTTATCTTTTAAATATAGTTAATATTTAAACACAAAAAGCAAAGAATCTGTAGACAAAATGGATAATCATAAATTATTTGTTGGCAATATGGCAGCACGTATAACACAACTTGATCTTTGGCGATTTTTTTCATCGTATGGTCTTATTGATGAATGTGCTAAGTTTCATGAATCTTATGCATTTATACGTTATGTTCATGTTGATGATGCTAAACGAGCACGTCAAGAAACACATGGAGCTATGTTAAAAGGACGAAAACTTAAAGTTGAATTTGCTGCAAATTTAAATAGAAGTAATTCATCATCAGCAACCGATCAACAAAGTAATTATTATTATTATTATATCTACTTTTTTTGTTAGTTCGCTAAATATAATTTTGAAATTTATTATTAAGAATATCTCTATGTTGAACCTTTACGTCGATCAGGTAATAGGGCAATATATTATTCGCCATCGAAATCATCACCAACGATATCCGATCATAAAAAAGTTCATAATCGAATATTTTCTAGCAATCTATCGAATGGTGAAGAATTTCTTACACCTGATTTATTGCGTTTAGCTGGAATTCAATCATCATCATCATCTTCATCATCATCATCCTCGGATGATGGTTATGAAACAAACTCTTCGCCAATATTGAACAATAGTTGTGATTCACGTTTTTTTCCTATGTCAACTCGACAAGATAATATCTATTCAAATACATTATCTGATCAAGTAAATCAGAGATTTTCCTATTATTTTACATGAATTTTTTATGCTATTTGTGTTTCTCTTCGTCGTAGAGCAATCGTCGAAATGCAGATACCTATTTACTATCATTAGATTTTGCTCGCATACGCCTATTTTCGGATGTATCGTCTGGCTTTGGTGATGAATCAAATTTGTTTATTGAATAATTGAATAAAAAACAAGAAAATCTGTTACTCATGTTGTCATCATATTGAAACATTATTGTAATATGATCTGTCTTTTTTTCTTGTAATCTAATTGTAAATAGATCACTTTTGTTTTCTTTGAGCATCGCCTACCTTCCTTATTCATGAACTTAGTACAAAACTTGTTGTTTTTTCATTGTGAATATATGTCTCTATTGTGTGAAGTCTTTAGTCCTCTTTTTTTTGCGTCTTTGATATCTTATTTTTTTAAATATTATTGTACATTGTCGTGAACATTCTACCTCTATTAAATGTCTCATTAAAACCAAGAACTTGTTCTTCAAAAATAATGAACATGTTATCAACGAAGAAAAGATTAATTTTATGAGCTCTCTGCTTTGTTCTTTTATGTTAAGACAAGAATAATAAAATTTCTAGACGATGAAAATCAGTATGCTCAATGGTCAATATCAGAGATACAACCCGTTTCGATTCGAATTCAACATATCAAGAATCGATCTTATGAAAACATAATTCTCTAATATATTTCTTAATTTTACATTTAAATGGATGAAAAACATGAGTACACTTTTTTGTTCGTTTTTCTTCTATAAAACTCCATTGCATATCTCTGATCCATTGAACAGTAAAAATAACAAGAACTTCGACATGTCTCAATCGTGGCACCACTGCGTTCGAATCCAAAAAATTTGAATCGACAAGTCCGGTTATGGCTTCACGAATTATTAGGTATAATGAACCTTACGTGTGTCGTAGTTAGTGATAAATCCACTTCTTCATATCAAACGTTGATAAAATCGCATCGAATATCGTCATACAATAACTGTCGGAATATATTAACACTGTCAACATGAGTACAAATATGAAAAATAAACTGATGAAATTGTGGTATATTGATAAGAATATTATTATGAAAATGTGTACCATCAATGAACATATCCTAATTGTCAGTACAATTATTCAGCTCACATCTTCTTTAGTTCTGTCAAGTATCAAATGTTCAAATACTTTCGACTAAAGATAATTTGTTTGAAATCCTAACGTTTGATTCCATGAGTAATTCGAATTTGATATATTGTTTTCTAAGAACGGAAGAAGAAAAAGTATTGAATTGAAAGTCACTGAATGAGAAACATCGATAATGTAGCTTCGATGATTCAATGACACTCAAAATACGCCAGATTTTCAAACGAAATCAAGATATATCTATACACATTTGTGGTCTAACTTATCTATGATGGTTTGCTAATATTTTCATTACATATAAAACTAAGATCTGTAATTTGTTACTGAAAAATCAATCGAAAGGGGGAGTCATCTACAACGAAAATATATCGTTTAACTGTTTCTTTTCACCACTTCTCTTAATGGATATTTGGCAAAGAGTTAATGGCGTACTTTGCTACTTCAAGTATGCTATGTAGCCCTAGATGTTTGAACATAGTGAATTCATAAAAATTTTTACTTTTAATATAACTTTTAGCGATGTCTTCATGAGCATTGAAGAGTTTTCGATCAATGATATAAGGATAATTGGCAACGGGTAGAACACATTTCACATTACCTTTTATTCTTCGTAATATATATATATATATAAGTAGAATTAATGAAGTACTGAGTACCCATGTAAAAAAAATTGGATTAATAATCACATTAAAAATCTATTATAATGGCACTATTTAATCAGATTTTTCAGCCTTAGCTGGTAGATTATTTTTGATTTTGATTTTATTTTAATCGATTATAATAGTTTTGTAGGTAACCAACTAAAATTGATTAAAATAAAATCAAGATAAAAAATAATCTGTCTTTCAAGGCTGACAATCTGGTGTAAATCATATAATAATAGTGCCATTAAAATAGATTTCTAATCGCATAAAAATCAATTACAATCAGACTTTCTACAATTTTGTTCTACATGGGTAACAAATTTGATACAAAATAAAGTATAAATTGATGATAAACTTTTCTACTGTGAAAATGTTATGTCTCTCTTTAGTCGTACCAAATATTGAATAGAGAACATCAACATTAGGAAGTTTCTTGAAGATAATAAGTAAGATTTCATGGGGTATATCAAGAAATTCAAAATTGAAATGATTCATATGTAAGCGAGATTCTTATGCTTCTACTGTGTTCATTGTTTTTCTATAAATGTTACACTGTCATTGCACAAAAAGAAACGAATAGAAAATGTGTAATATCATTGAGCAGCTTTGTTTGACATTTGATGATTAATGTACGCTTGTGTCAATTCATGTCAATATAACCATTTATCAGTTTTGGTCGCTCAAGTGAAAATAGAAGAGGCCGATATGTTCACAGAATAAACTGAAATACCTTATCAGACCAAAAGTCGATGATATGACAAAAAAGATTATTAAGATTCTTTTCAGCAGCAAAAAAAAATGAATGCCTGTCACAATAAAATTACTTTTATGAATAATAGTACTTGACTCCCTGGAAGACTAATTCGTGTCCTACAATTGAGAATATATGAGTAAATGAACTATATATTTGATCGTCGAACTATTTTAGCTGATCATATTATAACGATTAGCTATATCTTTGTTCTTAACAAAAAAATTAATGAAATCCTTATAGGATGCGTGTAAAAGAAAACATTCGTTTTTTCTCCTGTATTAAACTAACTTAGATTTATTTTCTTTTTATCTCGTGTTAGAAATAGCATTTTAGTAAATATAATAAAAAATTGAATAGTCTATTTTTCCTATTCAGCTATTTTGTCATAAATACAAGACAGCAAAAAAATCAAGTGAAGAACCAGATCTTTTATGGTTAAGCGTACTCTCTTTATTTATTTTTTCTTACAATCTACAGTAAAGATTAGAGCGATGAAGTATTACGATGATCTTAATATAATATATATCTATATATCTATATAGATGGATAGCATAATGTAAATGAAGCAGCGGATAGAAGTACACATTAGTATAAGGAACAGATATTCTTATTTTTGCTTTAGGTAGATTAATGCCGGCGAATAAACCCATAGATATTTGAAATATAAGGAAACAAAGAACTGTTCAATACGCACACACACACACACACACAGAAGATAATAAAGGATAGTAGAGAAGCGGAGCAGTTGTAACCTGAGCAACAGAATACATGCCTGCTAGAATAATGCTTTTTGTGTGTATACATTTGCCAAGGAAAAATACTGTGTCTCTAGGTAATAAAGAAACGAGAGAACGCACACACATATGTATTTATGTACATGAAATATGGGTAATAACAAAAGAGAAAAAAAAACAAAAATCTTTTCTCTTGTCGTTCGCTTAATGATCTAGAGATGAAACTCGACTTTTAAACACATGAAAGAAAAAAGAAACCAAGCAAACAGATATAGAGTTATTTATAGGAAATAATAATAATAATAATAGTAATAATAGTAAAGATCGAACGAAGAAAAAAAAAGAAAACAAGTCTATGTATATACTGAAAAATAATTAGAATGAATATTTAAACAACGTTTATTCTAAATCCATATTGGCTGTTTCATCTTCACTAAAATCACTCAATACTTCATCATCTGATTCGTTTTTATTTGTCTGATTCGAATTAGTTGAACCATTTGTTTGATTTGAACTACTGCTATTCGAAGACGTTTGACCATTGATCGATGATGATAAACTATCAGCCATATCAGCAGTAGCAAAACGTTGAACATATTCTAAAACACAATATCAATCAATAAGACAAAATGATAGAAAACTATTTCAATTTTAATACGAACCTCTAACTTTTTTCTTATAATCTTCAGGTTTGTGAAGGTACAAAGCAGCAGCATCACCATTTAAAGGATCCACCGGATTTGGATAAGCAAGCAATTGCGGAAGAAATGATTCAAAAATATTGGCAAGATCTATATGTCGTTTAGTAAAGAGGAGTTGAATCTGTAAACATGAACACAAATATTCATTACATACCATACATTGGCGTCCATGTTTGATTTATTACATCGAGACAAACAGTACCGGACCTATTTATTACGAAATAAGTTTAAATCTAAGATATGAATAAAATAAAATTTTTCTTACATTTCGTCGATGTTTGGATGAAAGATTCGATTCATAAAGCCTTAAAATGATGATTTATCAAAAATTTAAATCAAATACAAACATATTTATTCTTCTCATCTAATTCTATCAATATACTAGTTTGAAAAGAAAATTTTGATTTACTACAAATTGAGATATTTAATTTTCATTTACAAATCTTTCTTAGGAATTCCATACAATGTTTATGTACATACCGATAGATGGTGACTTGAATGGATATTTCTCGGGTAGATCAACTCGAATATTCCATACACCACCTTCGTAAGGAGCTATAGAAAACGAAAAAATATATATTTCTTAATAAAAACAAAAAGCAAATTTACTTTCGCGCGGACCAGCAAATTTAACCATAAATTCGTTCAGACCCGACATTAATGTTACTTGATGTTTCGATTCAATACTAGACGAAAAAACTTTTTTTTTACTGACTTGAACCAATCAAAAATAACTTACAGTCTAATAACATCTGTATCTATTCGACGTTTACCAGGTGATGGTGAACACATTTTCTTTTTCAAATCAATGAAATTTTATATTAAAAATATTTTTTAAACTATGAATGAGTCTAAAAAGAAATTGAAACAGTTTTGACGACCTAGAAAAGTAACACGGTGAGAGAGTTATATGTTATCGGATAATTGTCTTAGTAAATGACATCGTTCCATCATTTTTTCCTTCTTTTTTTTTCTTGTACAAATTGCTTTTATAGTACACACACAATCAAAATGTGGAGATCAGCTGACCATTGACGATGAAAAAAATCTACTATGAGAGGAACATACAAAAAATGTGATCTATGACGTGAACACATATATATATATATATATATATATATATAGACACCGTCGTCGGCCGAACGAATGACTACTGCGTATATATATATTTGTTTGCGTGTTATTATGATGTTGTTGTTGTTCAAAATTTATCATAGTGAAAAGATCTTCGATTTATGAATTTATAATAGAAAAAAAATGAAAACATAAAAATAAAATCATTGTTACATATTAATATAATATTTTTCAGCTATTACTTTCTTTATTTGGAGTGTCGCTTAAGTCAAAACGTATGGCGAAGGATGTCGCACTTAGATGGTTTTTTACACGAGAATCGGAATCAGATAGTTGTTGCAGAAACAATATATCGTCGAAAGCATTTCCCTCACTACTGAAGTATATCGGATAATGCTGCTCAATCTATATTCGTTTTCCTAATCTGCAGGAGTCACGATTTTATTAGTATGATACAGTTTTTATCTTTGCAATAGAACTTCTGTATAAGATGCGCATCCTGTTTTGATGAAATCTATTCAATCATAGCATCTAGAATTCAACTGTTGAGAGCTATATTTATTTGGGGAAAAAACACGAGAACCGGACAAATGTAGACTAAATATTTACATATATTTGTCATTAGCAAGTATTAGAGCTATCAACAGATCTTGTCCTTGTTTGCCAACATTTTAATTCATAGCTTTTGCCTTTCTTATGTATTAAGATAAAAGAAACTTAACGCAAATTTACCAGTGAAACATTCTGCTCAATCTCAGATCAATACTGCGCTTATTTTTAATTGATTTATCATTCTATTTCATCTTTACAAATGATATTGGATACAGGATTTTTGTTGATCTATGTAGATCAACCATAAACAGATAATTAATTAATTAATGTAAATTATCCTGTTTTGCCTAAGTACTTTAAGTTCCAGACAGACTCTAATCGATATCGTGCTTTTACCTATTGAGTTACTGTGAGAATGTCCAGATAAAAGTCAAAAACTATATAGCTTCATAGCAAAAAATTTTCCGTGAAGACGATAATAAGCAAACGAGGATTGTAGAGTATTAAAATAGAAAAACAAAAACCAGAAAATTATCTTTTTATTATACATCAATTTCGTAGGTCTAAAATATCATCTATTCAATTGAAAATGAGATAAGAGAATTTAAATAACTCGATTATAAATTAGTACTATTCATAATTTCGAGAATAAATAGCACGAAAGACAACGTTTCTTATTCTTAATTTCCTAAAAACAATATTCTTCATTGTATCTATTCTATCTAATCAAAAAATAATTTATTTTAACCGATCTCTTCAAAGAATACACGAACGGAATGATATATATCTTCTACTTGAAATCTTTCTGTTCGTTTTCTAATTGTGAAATATGAGTAACGTGCACTTTTTACCTTTGAAACATGCATCTATTCTTTCATCGTAAAATCATTTAATACTACTCCTACTTGCCAGATGTGCGAGAAAAAGCAGATATACTATAAATTGTTAATTTAGGTACGCAGACAATTACCTGTCGAATGTAGGTACATAGTGTGTACACAAAAAATGAGACAAAAGAATCGAAAAATCATTAATCGTATGAATGAGAAGTCATGTGTATCGAGTTATGAAGAGAACGAGACAAATATACTATTGTCAAGTGCTATTAAAATTCGAACAATAGATATGAAATATAATAACAAACGAGCGCAAACTAGTTCATAGTATAAGTGAGTAGAATCAATAGTTGAATACATAATATTTCAATCGAAATAATAGTCTGATATTTATATATCGTAGTTAAGTTTGTGTTTCGTACTTTTTTTTATGCATACAATTGAAACTTAACATTTTTCTGTCCCTACGATGGGTAAATTTTCTTTTTCATTTTATTTGAGAAAAAAAATATTTGATAAAAAATAGAAGAATATTAACAAATGAAGTTTCATCTATATTTTCTTAATAAGAATTGCATTTTTATCAAAAGGGAAAAACTGCAACTCAAATTACTATGCAGACAAGTTACAGGTGAGAGAAAAAGGCATAGTAAAATTTATAGAAACAGTATCCTTTAATTATTAAAATGTTCACCTGGTAAAAAACAGATCAGATGTGCGAAGTATGAGCAAGCAAATTTTGTTAGTAGTGATAATTAAAAATTTCATAGTGAGAAATTATGAGATTCTTATCGTATTCAATTAGTTTTGAGTTATTGTCCACGATTTATAGGAAATAAAATAATTATTCTAACGAGACAATATTTATCCTAATGAATTTTATATCGTCTACAGAATCAAAAAAGACAAGAAATGTTTTTAGCAATACATTGACTTTTCAGTTGATATGAAAGAAAAAAAAAGATGCTATGTGTTAATTTTGTTCGATTTGTTCACTGTGAAATATTCTAATATTTAACGTGTAACATGTTTTCTGAAGAATGTTCGCACGATTCGGTCTATTTTCTAATACATATTGTATTATTCGTGACATTATTCGAGTCATAGCTAGCAGATTAGTAGCTACTAGAATTGTCACAACATTTTGGCATGCGTTGTTTTGTCTTTTCTTTCAGAGCGATGCGATTCTTACAGCTCTATACGTCTTCGTAGTGCACGATACGGAACGCCCTCTTTCATGATCTAGAGGCTTCATGCAATATTGATGCAATGGCGATTTTTCGAGACGTGCATACATCAAAGGGTGTATAGCTTATCTCAACTAGATCAATCAATAATTTGTTCTGTTTCTTGTTATTTGTTTACTTTTTTGTCCTTTTCTCCGTAGTGTTCTCGATCTTTTCCTAACATCTCTTCAAATCGGTTGAAGCTAATCGTTATTACGGCATCATCATGTTTGGACCCGTCATGTTAGACTTATAGGGTAGACAACTGAATTAGCCTGATTTCTTCTTTTCTAAAGCTTCGAAAAGGATATCTTTATACCATATCGCATTCGTCACTCATCTAGTGATTTCTCCAGAACTATAGTTTATATTGACATGTCATTGATATTGTTATTTGTTGATAGTTGATGTCGCTCTCAAAATCTTTAGCATATATCTTGTATTTTTTATTATATCTATCAACAATAAGCATCCATTGATGTTGTTTCGTCGATTGCTATCATGCATATAGAGACAACTACAGTAATAGTCGATAACAATGAACAAGTATCAACATCGTTTTCTGATTTATATAATCTTTATGAAATTATTGGAAAGTATGTGAATTGTTTTGTTTTTTTTCTATTATGTTATTTTTGTGAATTATAATTTAATCTCTTTTTTTTCTTCTTGCTGTATAGAGGACCATTCAGTGTAGTTCGTCGTTGCACAAGTAAAAATGATAATAAACAATATGCTGTAAAAATTATTGATGTTGAACAATTTACTGCAACACCAGGATTTTCTGCTGATGGTAAAACATTTTTGTTTTCTTATTTTTGACAGCAAGAGAAAAGAAAAATTATTGTCATCTAGATTTGCGACGTGAAGCAGTTATCTGTTCAAGTCTTAAACATCCGCATATTGTCGAATTATATGAAACATTTGAATCAGAAGGATGTCTTTTTATGGTTTTTGAATAGTATGCAATTTCTATAATTTAATTTATCTATGTTGACAAGTGATTTTATTTTATTTTCTAGTATGGATGGTTCTGATCTATGTTTTGAAATTGAAAAACGTGCACTAACTGGTTTTGTATACAGTGAATCTGTAGCTAGGTAAAAATATCTATTTGATATTTTGAAATATTTTTATTTAAAAACATTTTTCAATCAATAGTCATTATATGCGTCAAATATTAGAAGCTGTTCGTTACATTCATGATCGTGGTATCATTCATCGCGATTTGAAACCTCATTGTGTTTTATTATCATCGAAAGAAAATGCTGCACCAGTCAAATTAGGTGGTTTCGGTGTGGCATTACAATTACCTGAGTCAGGTTTAGTTCAAGCGAGTCGTATTGGTACACCATCGTTTATGGCACCCGAAGTAGTTAATAAAGAATCACCAGGTTTTGGTCGTCCAGTTGACATGTGGGCTTTAGGTGTTATGCTCTATGTTCTCTTAACTGGTACATTACCATTTGCTGGTACACGAAATCGAGTTTTTGATATGATTACAAAAGGCGTTATTAATGTAAGCATCAATTGCATTGAATAAGATAATACTCAATTACAATCATTTATTATATTCTAGATGAGAAGTAAACAATGGGAACAAATATCAGAATCAGCTAAAGATCTTGTGAGTCGATTATTATGCTTAGATCAAAATGAACGAATAACAATTAAAGAAGCCCTTGGACATCCATGGATTCGAGTAAGTTAAAGAAAATATTTTAGATGATACGAATTGAGCTAAACAAAAAATCTTCATATTATAATATGACAAAAAATATCTAACGAGAGAAGGCTTCTAATCGATGAATTAGGTTTTTTCTTACGAAGACCATGCCTATTATTTACACTTGAATCGACTATGAACATTGTAAAAAGTTAGTTGATATGTTTCTGTGAGGACAATGAAGTTCTACGTTTGCTTTTGTATTAATGTCGTGATTCTCGTTTTTAAGAACGTCAGATACGCTCATTTAATAAAACTATTGATTTGCAACTTTTCAAACAGACAGATCTTCAGAACAATATTTTATTTTGAAAGTTTTAGATATTTAGATTTCCTACTATCTTGAAATGAGAATACATCACATCTATCGGTTTCGAATGATGCATATAAGGAATATGCTATTATACTATTTATAAATGGAGATACGAAAACAGAGATAAAATCTGATGTATTCAAAATGAAAAACTATGCTCGTTTATGAATATATTTATGAATAGTTTCAAGAATCGAATTCTTGTCCCTGATGTGCCTAACATAAATTTGCATTCATTATCAAAAAAGGTTCTTTTTAATTTGAGCCTACTTAATGTCAACTCTAAAAATAGGCCATCAATTGAAAACCTTTTCATATAATTAATAATCTATGAAATCCTAAAAATACAAAGAACAACATATTCTCGAGTTCATCAAGTGAAAAAAATCTAGATTGAATATTGATGATAAAGAGCGAATGCTATGTATTTTAATAATCAATAGTCTATCAGTAGACTCATTTCAATGGTTCTTAAAACAGGAACAGAAAACATTCTATTCAAATATTATTATTCAATTAGAAAAACACTTCCGTTTAGCCTACCGTTTAAATAATAGCATCAAACTTCAGATGAGCCAGAAGCAAAACCTTCAATTTTTCATCTACTTCGTTACTTGATCTTGTTGCTGTTTTTTTTTTTAATACAACATATGATACGAAGAAAAGCGATATCTAGAAATAGATTAGACTAGTCGATAGCATTCTAGATATCATTTGTAAAATTTTAATCACTACAATTTATTCATTACATGAAATATTATTTGTGCATCACCTTATGCTATATGAATACACCTTGTTAATAATACATTTCGCAGAAAATATATTGTATAGACCAGAGTAAATTCTATTTGACTATACACTCTTAATAGAATTCCGGAATCCCAGGAGATTGAGTTGTCTTTTCTTTTTTGTTTTTGTTGTTGTTGTTGTTGGAGAAGAATAGATACTCAAATAATTTTACCAAGTCCTCAGATGGGTATGCATGTCTTCCGGAATAAACAAACATGAAGATAAATAAGTGAATGCTTGAGTATCATTAACCTTGAGTATCTCATCTTCAGAAAAAGAAGCACAAAATCTGTCTCTTAGCAAAAGAAAAACATTCGAGTTGCGTGACGAGGAAACGAGAAGTAAATTGGAAGCAAAGAGGAAATCTTTTTCGTATACATTCACATATTTTAAATGTGTATATAAAACTAAAGATAAACCCATTAATAAGGGGGTTCACTTTCACGAAGAGAATGACTTTTCATTGAATAAATATAGAAGCTTTTCATGATATGAATAGAGAAAAATAAACAAATCATAAGAAGAGCAATAATTAATAGTATAGCTTATGTGTCGCATGAATTTATCACAATACTTGAAACTTCATATCTCACTGTATGCCTAAGTATCTTTCATGTCATGAATGTTTTCTTTTGCCATTCCAGAAATAATGTATCTCTATTTTTTCCATAATAAAAAGAAGACTTTAGAGCAAAAGACACAACTAAGATAGGTTGGTCGCTTTTTTTTCTTCTTGTTTTTTAATATTTTTAACAATTAATTTTTCTAAGGTTTTTTTTCTGTGAATTATTTACGGTCAATAAATAAATAGTCAAGAATTGGTTGGAATGTTTGAATAAGTAAGCGCAAAATAGAAATACTCGTCATACGTCATTTGATTAGATACGAAAGAGACGAACGAGTATTTATCACTCCAAAATGTTTCATATATGTTTTCTTCTTGTTTTTTTGACAACAGAAAAAGATGATTATTGATCGTACAGAGATAATCTGATTTTGTCGTAATCCCTATGGATATATTATTTGATAAATACAATAGCTTGCTTTACTTACTTACTTACTTACTTTCTTTTTTTTTCAATAAATCAAATTTTTCGTATTTATATTATTTAGGAACGTGAAAAATTTGCATTACGAAAACATTTGCCTGATACTGTTGAAGAACTACGCAAATTTAATGTACGACGTAAATTAAAGGTAAATTCATGCTGTTGTAACATGAAGAAATATAAATTTTCTTTTGCTTGCTAAGATTAAATATCTAGACAGATTTTGTTTCCTTGCTTTTATTTTAATTAAAATTAGTAAATTGAAACATTGCCTAGATTAATTAATAAAAGTGTCTTGAAAAAATTGTTCTCGAAAAAAAAAAGAAATATTTTCTGAAATCTTTATAAATTAATATTTAGCTTGATTAAATTCTCTATAAATATATACCTGGCAGTAGCAAAAAAGCGGCACATTTGTGAAAAGTTCATCCTAATGAAATCTTTGAAGTTTTCTAATTTGACACTTTTTTGCATCGAAATTTCTAAAGAACAAATTGACCTGTTGATTGGCATAACATGTAAAACATATTTTTGCATTATCATTATCTTATATTGATTTTATATTTTTTATAGGGTGTAGTATTAGCAGCTGTTTCAAGTCCTCGTTGGCCACAGATACCAATTTATTCACCAATGACAACAACAAATTCATCATCAAACATGATGAAAGATGTATTGTTACCAACAAATTCAAATGATTTCGATGATATGGCATCATCGGGTAAGCTAGAAAAATTTAGAAACAGAAAGCTAAGAAAAGAATAGAATAGAGAAAGGTATATAATGATGTAAGTGTGTTCATCCATCTTGTAATCATCAATGCAAAATGAATAAACACAGAAGCGGGACGGAAGATACAGGCTAAGAAAAAGAAATGCATCTTCTCTTTTTCTATCTCTTTCCCTTATCTCTATTTCTTATTCTTTTGTCTTCTCGTTGTCAGTTGCATGCAAAAGAAAATGTAAGAAGTAATGAAGAAGGACGAGCACAAGCATACAGACATAGACATACATAAAGTAGATTAATTGCTTTAAGATGCGCATGCTTTCCCATCATCAGAATCATCAACAACAGCGTAATAGTGGTCGTTCCCAGTCTGAAAACATTATTTCCAACGGTAAGAGAGCAAACATATGGAAACAATGTTTATTCTATTAGTTATATGATACTCTTACAATCGATCAACGATATAGATCTTGACTTAATTCACGACATCTATATCTATACACTTGTCCGTTTGCTGTTTATTATTATCAGGATCATTTCATGCATATAGAAATGGCACGTTCGCTCGTATTTCATCTAAAGTGATTATCTATGGCATAGCCTTAAGCTTTTTGTTCTTAGGACCTAAACTGTAAGCCATAGATTAGAAATAGAAACAAGTCAGCTTATTTACTCCATAGATATTTCAACATACGTATGTACCGTGTTTCAATTCTATTTGATTGAGTTCTCACATATTATCGTATCATCGTTTTCGTGTTCTTTGTAAATCATCAACAGACGGTTAACTACATCATATAATTATGAAAAATCAAACAGGTGATTTTTAGATAAACAAAAGAACGATAACTTGATTAACAATAGATTTTCTTCATCAAATAATTTCATTTTTATTTTATATTTTTAGCTGTTTCACAAATACTTGATTCATTAGAAGACACTCAATGGTTAACTGTAGGTGATCGTGTTGAACTTGACTTTTTACAAAAATTATTTGAAGATAAACAATTACGAAGTTTACTTGAAGTAACAAAATAAAAAAGAATTTAGAAAATATATAATCATTCAAATTTGTTTTAGTTATACGATCGTATAAATTCGGATGACATTCGTCCGTATAACACTCCTGACTCAAATGCAGTAGAAATTGTTTCCGATATTGTTGCATTAATTGAACGAAACTCTCAACAGTCTAGGTCATCGGATGATGTTCATAATCTTCTTGATTTGTTACATGAACCACATATACAGGTATGTAGACAAAAACAAAATAAGAGACATTCTAGAGAAAATTCGGTTTTAGTTAGTAAATCGTTTATTATACTTACATTTATTATTATTATTATTATTATTATTATTTCATCTAATTTGAATGAAATGTCACAGATAGAATATTTTTAAAAATGATTGAAATCTGATCGTTTGTGTTGTTAAGCTCATCATTGGTCTTTTTTTCTTGTGTTTCTTTTAGGTTGTTCTTTTTCATGTCTATCTCTTCCTTTTTTTGCTCATAGTTTTCTTCTCTTTTCCTTTTTCTTTCAATGGTTTTCTTCATTATCGACTCTATGAACATCTCCATTAAACAGTAGTAATGATGACAATCGTTAGCATCGACTTTTTTTCTCCCTCAAGAGCGTACATGAAAATTGATTAATATCACTATTATTGTTACGATAATTACCTAAGGTGGTCGACATTTGACTACCTTATTTCGTCTAGCATTGGACTTAGTCTATTTACGAGAAGTATGCTTCTTGTTATTATTGTTATTGAAGTTAATTGTACCATCCTTGTCATTATAATATTTTTTATAATGGATGAACATAGTTTACGAATTTATTGTGCACTTGAAAATATGAAACAAGTAAGTATTATTCTAAGTACATACTTGAAACATATATATGCATATACATGTTTCCCAATGATAAGGCATTCTGTTTTTCTGTCTATTATGGGTGTTCGTTTTTTTTCGATTTGAATACAAACAAAATGTGATTAGTAGTTGTTGTATGCTAATTTTATTGCTATTGTTAGAAATGAGAAGAAGAAATCCATCCGATTTGTTTGTTTTTTAAATAAGATACTTAGTATTTTCTGTATACTGTTCGAGTTATATCTATTACATTTATGAGATAAAACCGAAACATGCTCGATAAAAAAAAAAGAAATGGAACGAATCGATTAAATTAAATGACTGAGAATATAGCCGGCCGGAAAATGGAACCGATCGATCGATCCATCCATCCATCCCGTCGCTCGCCGATCAACTCTATAAGCACGCATTTCTGATAACAAGAATTTGCCCAACAGCCACGATTAACAGACGTGCACTCTCTTGTGTGTTTAGGGCAAACAAAAGAGATGACATACGACAAACAGAAAATATCGAGAAGAAAAAAAAAACGAGAAAGCAAGAAAAGAAAATGCGTAGAAATAATATTATTCTTTGTTGGAATCAATCATTTGTCTTGTTGCTGCTTCAAAGGATACATCAAAAACTTTGTCATATCATTTTTGTTTCATCAAAAGATTATTGTTTACTAATAATAATGCAAAGATAAATGTACTTTCTTTGTTAATGGTATGTATTGTACGAAAACATAGCCGCTTTTAATTTGTCAGAAAAACATTGATTAAATAGACTTTTAAGAAAAGAAAAGCACTCTAGTAAAAGGATTGTGCCTATATGAAAAGTGTCATGAATATAAATTAATAATGTTCATATGTCATCTTAATGCATTTTAAGCGAAGTTGAAATGAAAAAGATGTTGAATCTATCATCTTTAACTGCACATGCATGTTCCTCTTTCTTAATTGCATTACCTAAAAAATTTCTATGATAAATTAAATCAATCGAATCTATATAGTCGGTTGCATTCTACTACATATCGAGGGTTTTAAATGAAACACAAAAAAATTTAATTACGAGAACATTCCAAAAAGTCGGATGTATTTATAAATTAGTACTTTGAGTTATTAGCCATAAAAATCAAAATTATGTTCAATTCTTATTTTTTTTCCTCCCGTCTAAATACAGATTTATATCGGAAATCTTAAATCAATGATAGTAAGATTATTATAGTCGGAAATATTCGTATGTAAGAATCTTGTCAGCTCATGCATGATAGAGTAGTTAGAATGCTTGTTGCGTGCAGTTGTAAATAGATAGAAGCTTTGATAAACTATTCCGGTCAATTTCAAAGGTCGCATCTATTAAAAAGTCTAATATTAAAGTGATTTCGCATTGACATGCAAGCTTTGTTTATCATATCGTGTTTATATTGTTACACGAAAGAATTAGTTGTTTTGCATTTGCTTTGAATTGCTATGATTGATGACTTGTTTAAAACAAAGCAAATAATCAATAATCTCATATTATCTGTGCTTCAAACAATAGAAATACACATACAACCAGATTTATTATTATGAAAGCTTTTAATAGCTATTAACATATTCGTACATATGTGTCTAATAGTTATTATGCAGATAATCATCATGTTTTCTTGTTTCGATTTTACTTATTATCGAAGCAAATCAGTTTGTAATTGAAAAATCTGTTTCATAAAAAAAATATATATATATAGTATATGCTTGAAACTTATATAAGAATAAGATTCCTATCTACTATTCATTCATAGTGACATGAGTATAGTTTATTTGTGAGTATTCTAACGTTTTCATATCTATGCTAATCGCCTTTATTAAAAACAAAGATGCACTAGCATGTCATGATATAATCTGTTAGCATTCACTAATTTCCATGTCTATCGACGTGAATAGCCTGGAATATGTCTACATCGATGCCATGAAAATGGTATCGTAGATACATGCGCAATAGTTATGCGTAGCATTACATCTCTTCTTTTTTCCATAATTGGAAATTACTGTATCTGTATTGCATGACAGCATCGAATATCGACGCTGACAACTGTTCGATGTTATCGATTTTGTTTTCTATTGAACCGTTGTTTGATTTCTCGCTCTCCATCTATCATTCATCTTGGTACTTTAAGTTGGTGTCCATGCTTCTATCCTGATGGATTTTTTCATCATCAATGCACTCTTTTGGTTAGCTAGATTTTCTCTTCTTTTTTTTGTATGCGTGTGCACCATTCTGCTTAAGATAGAATGGCACATTTATATTTACAATAGCATGTGCATTTCAGTTAACTTTGGTTTATTCGACGGAGAAAATAATATGTTTCCAGAAGAAAGACTGATGTTCCTAAGTAGAATTCTTCCGTTAAATATATATAAAGTGGAATAAATTACGTACGATTAATCTATCAAGGAAGAAAAAAAAGAGCGAGAACAATGACAACGGACGATGCACGAGAAGACTATTTTCTACTTGAATTTGGCATTTTGGTTTCGTTTTTTTTCCAAGTTTCTATTTAGTTTAATAATCGATTTGTTTTTTTTTCTTCTTTTCATTAATAGGCTCTTCTACAAGCACATGATGTTGTTGCACAAGAAATATATGGTGATGATGCCATACGTATTACGCCATCGTGTGTCGGAAATAATACATTACCACCAGATTCCGGTCTCGACAATGATTACATTGGTCACAATGGTGGCGGATCGAATGAAAGTGGTGAAGACAGATTAAGTGATTTACCATGCGATGTAACACGAGTACGACTTGTTCAATTTCAACGTAATACTGATGAACCATTGGTAATTTTTTAAATGATAGACGAAGAAGAAAATTGAATTAATATTTTTCTAATATGAAAAAAACTTAATTTATTCTATAGGGTATTACATTACGTATGACAGAAAATAAACGTTGCATTGTATCACGTATACTGAACGGTGGCATGATACATCGACAGGGTACATTACATGTTGGTGATGAAATTAAAGAAATTAATGGACAAACAGTTTCTAATCATCCTATACAATATTTACAACAAATGCTTGTATGCCAACGATTTTTTTAATTTCTAGAGTCCAAAATTTATTTTGTATTATTCAATTTCTAGAAAGATGCACGTGGTAGTATTACATTTAAAATTGTACCTAGCTATCGAAGTCAGCCGCCGCCTTGTGATGTATGTATCAAAAATGATTGAACCCTATGAAAACAATATATGCATTGCACCTTTTTTTTATATAGATCTATGTAAAAGCATTATTTAGTTACGATCCTAAAGAAGATGATATAATACCCAGTGCGCAAGCGGGTATAAAATTTTCTATTGGCGATATACTACAAATTATATCTAAAGACGATCACAATTGGTGGCAAGCGAAAAAAATTATGTCATATCATAATTATAATGAGCAAACAATAAATTATTACAATAGTGATTATAGTAATTCACCAGCTGGTCTAATACCGTCACCAGAACTGCAAGAATGGAGAATAGCTACTAATGCAATTGAAAAAGCTCGAGATGGAACTGGTAAGAAAATTGCTTATCTGTATTTTTATGGTTGTTATTTTCAATAGATTGCATATTTTTGTAAAAATACATGAACATAGAATATCGATAGTATTCTTATATTGAAGATTTAAGAATTAGTTGTGAATAGATTAATAATTTATTAGATGTAATTAGTTTAGATTTAAGTTTTATCTATTTTGAATATTATTCAACTTGCAAGTCCAGTTCATTAATCAAAAATAAAACAGAAAAACTTTCTTTTGGTAATCTAATTATTCAAATATTCTCTTGTTCTATGAATCTTTTGGACCTTATTCAGGCGAAGAGTTAAGATGCATGAATTCCCTGGTACACCATTTGACTTGTTGATTTTCATAGCTGTCAAGAAATGCTATTGTTAATGTTTTTCTATGAAATGGTGGGTAGAACTTGTAGATGCTTTTTCCTATGATTAACAGTGTTCACGCGCCGATGAACACTTTTCATTGTCTTGTCTAGATTAGCACTCACGACAAGTTTCTCTTTGATTATGATCAGTAATCAATCAAGTTGAAAAAAAAGAAAAAAAGAATAATCATGACAAGTTCACTTTAATGTGTTTCTAACTATCTATACATAAAGATGAAACATTGTTTTTCTCTTGTTGATATAAGCGAAATCATCTGAGAAGTACACTCATCGAATGTATATCTTGTCAATCTTCTTTCTTGAAAGAATATTATCACTATTATGATTTAAATAGCCATTTATTAATGATATTATCTATTTCTCGTAGAAAGAGCTAAACTGTGATCGAGTTGATTTATGATGAAAAGATATTGAAAAGAATATATGTAATTCGTATCGAATTTAGTAAAAGACTGTTTTTTTAACTTCAATGATAACTGATAGATATAGAATATAGGTAATCACTATGATTAAGAAAAATATGAATTTTTTGTTTCTTGTTTTTAGCTAATTGTGGAATGTTTGGTCGAAAACGAAAAGTAGTCAAAGATAAATATTTAGCAAAACATAATGCTGTGTTTGATCAACTTGATTTGGTCACATATGAAGAAGTTATTCGATTGCCTGAGTTTCGCCGGAAAACACTTGTTCTACTTGGTAAATAATTATTGGAGGAAAAAAATAATTGATATTCATCTATTATTTATATAGGCGCACATGGTGTTGGCCGTCGTCATATAAAAAATACATTGATAACAAGCCAACCAAAAATATTTGCTTATCCTATTCCACGTAAATATTTTTATTTGATATTTATTTTTTTAGGAAAAAATACCGTCGATATAAGTTGCAAGTCAAGGTTTTAGAATTTCTTTTCAAAAAGCTGAAAATTATTTCTTCAGGTTTTCCTAGTAATTGAAGTATCGAGTAGAATCAGTAGCTTTTTCAAAACTATTTGAGTAAATTTGCGATGTGTTGAAAAACATGATGTGACATTTTCATGTAAATAAAAATTTATAGTTCAGATATCAAGGATGATGCATTGATTTGCTACAGGCATCAAATGATTCATATAAAAAAAAGTGCAAAGCAATCAAGCTATAAGTATCGGGAATAATCAAAATCAATGCTCCAAGGTATATTTATATATATACATTGAGGCCTTCTGCTGATACAGTGGATATATTTATAGAACAAAATTATCTGACAGCGAAATCCTTAATAATATAAAATTATGAGAAATAAGGCGTAAAAATGAAAAACAACTAGCAAATATAGATTATTTTGTGGAATTCACATATATTTTCGAAGAAAATGGTGAGTGTAAGTTTAAAAGCGAGATTTTTGCGGCTCCCCATTACATACACTAATGAGCTTAAAATTGTGCTAAGTAGAAGCTTGACTAATTAGATTGCTATTTCTTCCTTTTTTTAATTACAGACGACACGAAAAAAGCCATGCTTGCCCATTACAAACCACAGTAACTAGCTTAGGGTACCATTATAGACCATAACAACTAGTCTCTGCCATTGTTAAATATACGAGCTAACAATTAATATTCCAGTGCAGACATAAGCAAATAGGCAATGACCTAATTATAGGTTTTGGAAGTCAAGGCAGATTTTTCACATGGACTATTTTGAACTATTTTAGTAAGCATAAGGGATATATGTGAGTTCCGCATTTTAGCCCCAATGGGGCTGCGCTAACAAGCTCTCTCGAGGAAACGATTATGATTGGTGAACAATTCTAGTCTGTCATCAATTTTTCACTTGACAGAATTTTTATCAATATAATAAAGCTAAAAGAATACATATGAATTTCACAATTTAGCCTTAAAGGATCCTGCGCTAATAATTTTTATCTTCTTAAGTTAATAAGTCTTTTTCTATATTTAGATACAACACGACTACCGAAGAAAGAAGAAGAAAATGGAAAAAATTATTTTTTTGTAACACACGAAGAAATGATGCGTGATATAGCTAATAATGAATATCTCGAATATGGTACACATGATGATGCAATGTATGGAACAAAACTAGAAACAATACGTAATATTAATCGGCAAGGTCTTATGGGTATACTTGATGTTGAACCACAAGCATTAAAAGTTTTACGTACAGCAGAATTTGCACCATACATTGTTTTCATTGCTGCACCGGATCTTTCACAAATCAAAGGAGTCAATGTAAGAAAGTTGATATTTTGGTTTATTGAAATTGGAAGCTTTTGTTGTTGTTTTTTCTTTTATAGGACGAGAGTTTAGAAAGATTAATAAAAGAAAGTGAACTTCTTCATCAAGCTTATGGACATTATTTTGACTCGATTATTATTAATAATGACATCGAAGAAACCATACGAACAGTAAATAAAATTTCTTCATTTTCTTTTTTTGCATTGATAATTTTTCGTTTTGCATTAGTTACAACACGCTATTGAAAGCGTCGGTCTACAGCCTCAGTGGGTACCTGTCAGTTGGGTGTATTGAGTTTGATACGAAATACGCATATAATCTCACTATTTTTTGTTCTCTTTTTTTTTTGTTTTCTGTTTTTTTGTGTTAAATGCAATATATGTGAATTGCAAGGAACCTAGTCGACAGTATTCTAATAATTATTTTTCGTTGGTATTTTTTCTTTTCTTCTAATGATCTGATATTGTTCTTCCGAGACGAATTGTTTTACTTATGCCTTTTGTTTTCTTGTGTTTGTAAATAGACATTTAACTGTTCTCTGTTGTCGGTATTCTCGTATGTATTCTCGAAAAAAAAACTGATTACTGGTTATATAATATTATTTCTAATATATATATATATATATATATATGGGTGTGCTCCTCTTTGCGAATAGCTGAATACTAGAGATAAGCAACAAATAATATTAACGCAAATAACAAAAAAAGCATGATCATCTTTGTAGTTGCAACATTTTTATTTTATATTGTATGTTGTTCTTATCGATTTGCCCACTTGTTATTTGTAAATCACCTCTATCATACAATAATGCATTTCTTTGGGAAGGCGCGGTTTTTTTTCCTCTTCTCTATATTTAGTTGCAATATCTTTTATGGCAAAAGTGTGTATTTTTAGCCTTGTATAATTGTCGGTTTTTTTCCTTTGTGTTTATAACACTAATCAAAATAAATTGTACCTATCATGGTAATAAAGTATGCCTTGATATTGTATTTCTGTTTGTCAACAATTTTAGATGCCGTCCATTCCGCCTATATTAATTATTGGCGTTAGTCCCATTGTTAAAATTGTCGTTCCACTTTTGCGTGCCTTTGGTTTTCAAATAGTTCATCTCTGGTCACCTCGTCGATTAACATCTGATATAATATCATTATGTAAAGATACATTAAATATCGATTCATTTTCTTGTTCATCTGCTGCACTTGATCAGCTATTGAATAATGCAACGCAACCATATTTGATTTTTATTTGTACTGAAACGGATCAACATTTTGCACTTATGAAACGTATAACGAGTACATCGATTATAAAGCCATGTAATCATCATGTTGTTTGCATGCCACCATTTAATGTTGATCCAAAATTACTTATATCGATTCAACAGATTCAACAGCAACTTTGTTGTTACTGTTATCCGATTGGTTTTCTACCAACATTTATCAAACTGAAACGTTATCTACATGAAGAACAAGCAAATATAGGTAATTAAAATAGAGTTCACTGACGAGAAGAACACTTAAAATCGATATTCTATTATACAGGTGATATTCAAGCGATTGAGTTTCGTATTCGCTGTTGTTCATTAAAATCATGTTCGAACGATCGAATCAATAGTAGTCTTCTGAATCGATTTGGTTCATTTGGACTTTTTATACTTTTTTATTTATTTGGTACACAATATTTATCAACAGTTAGCCATTCATACATTCAATCACCAAATGAAACAACATGTTCATTTCATATAAATTACAATCGATCAAATCGTTTACCGCCGATACTTGTTAATATAATATCAAATTCAAATATATCATCAACATATAATCAAGAATTAATTATTATAGCATCAAAATGTTCACTTATTGTTAATGATTATCGTTTGATATTGCGTCGTTTTAATTTCGATGATCAAATCCTAATTGATTCATTTCATTCAGATACAAATGAAAAATTTTCTCAATTTTCTTTTGAAAATCCTGAAATACCTTTAATTTTTATCCAATCATTTTATTATTTTATTGGACATTTAAAAGAATCATTATTAAATCAAATTCCTCGATCAACATTTACAGAACTTACTTCGTTTGAAATTGTTTATAAAGTACAAGAAACAATTGTTGCTATACGTGAGGCAGCACGAACCGGTGAAATAGTACCAATTGCCAGATGAAGCTTTATAATTATAAAAAGTGAATTCTTTTTTTCGTACGAACAAACATAAATTGAAATTACGAGTTAGGAGCAAAAGTGTTTCTCTTCTGTTCTTTTTTTTTCTACTGCGTCTTAAGAGAATGAACAGTTTGATTTCTTTGCAGTGATTTATCATCTGCTCTTTTCTTTCTTTTGTACTTATTAACGATAATTTTAGACGAGAAATAAATATGCAGTGCGAAGTTTGTTACCAAAACAAACATATTCCTTATAAATGCCCAAAATGTAGAATTAAATAGTAAGCATGATGAATGTTTAATTTTGGTAATAATTATTATTTTTCAGTTGTTCAGCTGCGTGTTTTCAGAAACATAAATCATCGGGTAATGACAACTATATAAATTACTATAAAGCAAAAACTAGATTCTTAAATTCATTTCAATAGAAATATGTTTTGAAAAAACATTTCAATTCAATCCAAAAGCAGAAGGTGAGCACCATGCCATTTGTTATCATGATTCAAAATGTCTAACTATTTTAATATCAGAACTCTATTCAAAATATCAGATATGATGAGCCGTGAAAGTCTTAATAAACAAAGTAAATTCTGAACTGAAATTGTCGGTAGGATGCATTATGTCTAATGATGTGATCTTTCTCGTAAATAGCAGACAAATAGTGTTCGACGCTTGTTATTTCGACGAGGAACTAACTGGAAAAATTTTCCAATTGATATTATGATTTTAAGACATTTTTTTAAAGCGAACATCATAATCCTCCTGATGGACTTCAAAAATAAATGCTTTTAGACTTTTACTGTAAAACTTTGTATTGACAGAAACATGTTAGTGCTTCCGATATATTCGTTGTTCATATCTTCATATATAATTGTGGTATATCGGAATCTCTTATAATAAACTGCTTCTATTAGGATCGATCTTTGCACAAAGTTAAAAATCAAAATACGGAAATCGATCTCACCGATGTTTCGCTAGTAGGTACCCAGTCGTCAGCAAAAGACTCGAATTCTTTTTATAGGATATTTCAAAACACATTTTTGTTTTCGAGTTTACATCAAATACGCAGTTCTAACTAAAAAAGCGATTAATCAGTTAGAAGAGTTCCCTCATAAGTCATTCTACAAAAATCAAAATGTCGTATAAATGCAATATATGAGCAACAGCAAACTTAAGAGTTCGATGTCCCTACGGAGTCTCTATAACTCATTAGTATCGACATGATACATATTGTTCTCACTCAAAGAAGCGGCCGAACACTCGGGGGAGTATTGCCTCATTTGCAGTTACATATTTTTACGTTTATATTTAGCTTCAATAATACAAACTCAAACACCAATAGAACTTGGCGACGATGAAGAAAGTGATCGTCTCTCTACAAATGCACTTAAACGAATTGGTTTGGATTTTTTATCGATAACTTTAGAAATATATTTAGAATAAATGTCAAATTATAGATCAATCAAAAGAAGTGCTTGAACTATTGAAAAATCGCCATCTACGAACGATAATAAAAGCAATAGATCATTCGATCAACCCAGCTGATGACATGCAAAAAGCGATGATGGAACCTATTTTTGTTCAATTCGTTGATCAATTGCTAATGGTTGTTGAAAAATAAAAGCTTTTCATATGATTGAAAGCGAAATAAAATCCTGTCTTGTCTAACAAAAAAAATTTCATCATCAAATATGCGTTGAAAACTAATCGATATTAAAATTCATTATTTCTGACTGTCATCAAAATAATAAGAATATATTTTATGCATCCATTTCAATATGAATTAATTGTACGCTAGGCTATAGCTATTCTAATTCAGGGTAAAAGACCGTTGTGTCGTTTTGGATTATACAATTTTCGTCCGCTAGTGTTTTCTGGAACAATCTCTAGTAACGAGGAGCATTTTCAGATGTGTTAAAAACTTGTACTCGAAATAATATACTTTGTGTTCTTTTGCAAGTCCTAACAAGTGATAATTATGTGCGAGATTGGTGTTTCTGCTCTATTTACTACTACTACGTAATACAACTTTAATAGCACACTTTAGTTTGTATTATTTCTAACAGCAATAATAGCTATCAAATTACGCCTGTAGGTTTTGTGTAAGAAAGGTTAGTCAGTATAATTTTGCTAAAAATAAATTTAGTTGAAATGTCAAAGTCAGTTGGCTAGTGTATACGTAAGAAAAATTAAGCATGTCACTGAAAATTAAAACGCATCATAAGTCTGTACCTTGACAGAGATGCGAATGCATAAATCATTCAGGCTAATCTACTGTTTCTATATTGAACTTGAAAGCAAAATCTCAATTTGAATGTAATTATAAACATTTTTTACTGTATTATAATCATATTTTTTGTTGTTGTCATAATAGAATATATATCAAATGCGACTTGTATGTTGTTTTTATAAAAATATGATAAGAGAAATGCACTGAGGCGAAGTGCAATATGAACTTTTATAATAACAAATCCAGCGAACAGTAGTCTATTTTTTTTATGTAATATATCTATTTTAAGTTTATTGTTTTTCTTCGCTGTCAACATCGTCCTTGAGTTCTAAGTATTCTTCTTTTTTTTCTTTTGAAAAACAGAACAAAGAGAAGAAAAAAATCTTCGTGATCATTAATTGAAAATTACACAAATAGGTTTCAAAAAATGTTTTCCTTTTTTTAATTATTTCTCTTTTACTCAATCCCAGTAAGTATTTCTAGTTCTATTTTTATCGAGAAAATGTTCTACATAAGAAACAAAAAATAATGTGTGAAAGTTCTCTTCTTTTTCTTGTTCTTGCTTTCTCTGATAGCATCACTAGATGAAAAGGTAATTAAAGACGACAGCAATCAGTACTACGATCGTTCGATCACAGAAGGAAAAAATGAACATAATATAATGGTTCCATCGATCAGATCACATTTCCTTGCAATACTTTATACACTATGTTATTGCCTACTGATAATTCTTCAAATATAGCAATATCAACTGCTATTGAATCATGCAAATATCATCCATATTATTTAGCTGGTGACACTATTTGGCGAATTGGTTCCCTTTTATGCGTCTTGTTGGGTATGCCTGGTCATATCATGATTATTTTTATAATGTTGAATTCGAGATGTCGAAGACAGCCCGTTTGCTTGTACTTCGCTACGATTGGCTTTTTTGAATTGTTTTATCTTATAAGTATGTATAAAAAAAGAAAAGATATACTTTCATTCAACTAATTTATAATTTATTAATGTGATAGTTTTAATAAGATGTTAGCTTTTTTTTGAAGTTGCTGATCTAGAAAAGAGAATGTTTCATTTTTCTACAAAACACACATTTATGCCATGAATTTATTAGATTAAGTGTGCTGATAGAATAATTTGATGGAAAACAAGCGTCATCTAAATCTCTAAGATATCGAATAACAAGCAGAACCATTCGATATCGTTGTTGATTGTTAAGATTGCGTCTAAAGAGATGTTATTCAAGGGAAAAGTATCTATTTTTAGCAATGTATCAACAGCTGAGAATTAATAATATTATCATATTGTCTATTGAGCAGCAAGATTGTTATTTTATTCTTCCTAGATTTACATCTGCGGATCAGTTTCCGATGAAAAAAAAATAATCAACAATAATGAGGCACTTTGTGGAATATCATACGAGTAATTAATGTTTATATCTTCTTAATTGAATTTTAGTTGTTTTCTGGTTATGGTGTGCTTCATTTTCACTCGTTCGTGATCCTCGTGATGTTTTAACATGTGGAATTTATTATAGTATAACAGTGGGCTCATCCAATGTTTCAACACTTTTACTTGCAGCTGCATCGATTGATCGTCTTCTGATTATTGTTTACCCTAGTCTGTATTCAACATTTGTAACAAGAAAAAAAGCAATATTAAAAATAATCGTTATTATATTATTTGTCTGTATTCTTGTTGTTCAATATCATTTTTCATATTATTTTTCCTATTCATATTATATGTGCGAATATTATTCGTACGCACATTTATGGCATGGGCAAATTTGGCCACTTATACATCTTGCCCTTCTGGCATTTGTTCCATGTCTAATAATATGCGTTTGTTCATGTGTTATATTAAAAAATCGTTATTATCGTCGTCCATCAACAACAAGTGAAACAACTGGTACAAGACATATGCGTACAGCTTCACTTTTACTTGTCATTTATTCAATATATTATACACTAAGTGTAATGCCATTGAGTATTCTTCAATTTTTTCATCCCTATTTTTTTAATGATAATGCAATGAGACAAGCACCTGAAACCAATTGTGCAAAATTTTCACAATGGAAATTGCTAATGAAATTCTGTATGCTTTTAATGGCAATTAATTATTCAAACAAATTCTTTGTTCATTATCTCGTATCAATGCAATTTCGTCGATATGTTTGGAATATTTTCAAAAAAGTTACTTTTATTCCTGAAAGAAATAATAAACGTTCGAGGAGTGTTGAAGGTAGTTCTGGTGTTTAAATACTTGTAATATATATGTATACATGCAAAAATTTTAGTTATTAAAATAAATTTAAAAAAAAGGAAAACAACATTCGTATTTTTTATATTTTAAAAATCATATACTATTTCACAAAGTGGTCCACCACGATGAAACATAGATGACTGTGGTAGATAACATCAAGATAGATTTTATGTTTGAAGTAACTACTTGACCCGACAGCCTTCGTTTAGATTGATACTGTGTTCATCAACAGATCTTCTTGCAAACTAGAGAAAAACTTGAACAGAATTCGTTTACATAGACTTTTGATGGTGGCTTATTGAAATTCTCATTTTACCTTTTCTTTTTGGTAAAAAAACGAATCTCGACGTTTTAATAAATTATAAAATATCCTAACAGTTTCAATCGAATAAAATCTTTCTTCATCAAGTTATCGCATTTCGAAAAACAAGAAGTAAATTTGGTGGGTCGAAATTTTGACAAAAAAATATTTGTTTTGACCGAAAATTTGAGTATACGAATACTCTCTTGTATCTAGTATGGCAATATATTCTCTTTTTGTATCAAGGAAAAACGAATGTAGATTTATATTCATTGTTCATAATGTTGAGAGAGATATCAACTGATCGATACCGAGTTATTATGTATGAGCTATTCAAAATTATTATTAATACATTTTTTAACAACTCCAAAGATAAAGTGTATATTCTACTAAATGCTTTTCTTTTATAATAAAACATGCCATTGTTTATGAGCTACTTTTTAATATGAATATTTATTGAATTGATTGTCATTGTTATTCATAAGCATACACGACTGAGAAAAGAAAAGAAAGCACACGAGTAGGAAGGCCCAACAAGCGAATAATTTGCTCAGGTAACGATTGAAGTGTTTGATTGATGAGAGAATGTATGAGCAAATGAGTCACCGCATGAGTATTGTATTTGAGATATTGAACATACATTTATTGTATATGCATTGCACAACCCATTACTACTACTTTTCAACGATCAAATCAAGCGCAGTTGATATTATTCAGTAGAGTGATGCAATCTTGCTGGCGCATGTTCATTTTCATATGTTAATAGTCAAAAGCAAGATGCATACAGTATATTTTATCATTTTCATCATTTTTATACAAGTTAACAAAAGCTTTTGTGCATTAGCATTTGGTAAAACAAATGAAATTTTATTGTAGTTTTCTCTTTACTTTTTTCATTGTATATTTCAACCACTAGGAGGTTTTTTTCCAATACCATTAACTATAAAAAATGATGATAAAAATTTTCCACAATGCCCTGAGGACGGTGGAATATATTCCCATTCAACTAATTGTTCACTTTTTCATTTATGTACGATTGATACTCATGCAATCTATACATGCATTGATGGTTTCTTTTTCAATCCAACGACTGGTGAATGTCAATTTTGGCCACTTGTAAGAAATTCTAACAATCATTGAATGATGTATATACCAGCAGTCTTTTAAAATAATAGAAAAAACAAATAAAATGTGATGAAATTCATAAAACAATTATTGATGATAGTGTTGCGTCATTTGAACAATCGATCGAAAGTATAAATACAAAAATATTGATAACGAGAAAATCTTATAGTTAATTGTTAAGATTATGATTATTTTAATCATCGTAAATCTAAAACATCACAATGCACGCAAACTGGAATATATCCAGACATACTCGATTGTTCATTGTTTCATTATTGTCATGAAAATAAGTATCACGAAATATTTCAATGTCCAAATGGATTAAATTTCGATCCAAAAACATTTATGTGTTCAGCATCGCAGCTTGTTTGTTTGTTGAAGATAAATTTTGAAATCAAACTTTTCATTTGACTTTTTCAGGTTAACTGTCAATATGAACCACACACGCCAGTAGTTGATGAAACTTCAACTATGGAGTCAGGTAGTCAATAGATTGAATCTTATTTTTAAATCGAACACTTTTATTTTAAGATCCAATTTGTCGTAACTATGTTCCTGGCACTTATTTACCAGTAGCGAATATATTCGATGAGTTCATCATATGTGGAAATGATGGTAAAAATATTCGACAGAAATGTCAAACCAATTTTTATTACAACGCATTGACAACAAACTGTGAAATGAGTAAATATGAAAATATAATTTCTTTCATATATTCTGTTTCCTTGTCCTATGTGATTACGATCATTAGAGTCATGTGCAAAAGATCCAATCTTTTGTGAAAACAGCGGCCAATGTTTAGGCGAGTTAAGGCATGAAAAAGTTTTAGGTGTATATGTTCTATAGAATATGAAGGAGAATGTTGTGAGAAACGCAAGAAGACGCTGTTTTTCTTTTATAGAGTGAGAACTAAAACGAACAATATAGTATTACATAATTTAGATGTCAATATTAAATCTCTCGAAACATCTTCTAATACAATATATGAAGTTGACCTGATTGAAACAGGAATACCTTAGTAAGCCTATTTCTATACGTTTATGTCACTGATTTTCTTCACAGACATCTACATTAATTTTTTAGTACGGATCCAAAATTTCAAGAGAAAATTATTCTTATTGAAAGAAAGTCAACTACGAATTCACCATTATTCCACGCAGCCAATTATCTGAAAAATAACTATAATCAGCGACAAAAAATGAACGATGTTATTAAAATCATGATGATTAGTCTGCTGACTTTTATTCTACTTGTTCTTTTAAGTTCAATTATGTTCGGTATTTTCATTTGTGTTCGTTTAATTTTATTTGGATCAGTTGATCGTGTTGGTATGTGGAATACATTAGTAGAAGAATCAGCTGTTTAATTATGCAATACTATTTTATATGCTGACTACAACATGAACTTATCTAATATTTGTGCGTGTCCATTGTTAAAAAAATCTATACTATTAATAATCTCTTTTTAAAACATATTGTATTGATAAATACAAGCATAAAATTTTTATTCGTCAGATTTATTTCAATCATTTTATTTTGAGAAGATTGTAATAGCATAGAAATTCTAGTCCAGGGTTGCCACCTCATCAGGTCAGAAAAGCGGAAAGTTTGATCAAAAAGAGCGGAAAATAACGGAAAATAGCGGAAACAAAAATAGAAAAAACGGAAAGCTGCTTTTTGCTGACCTTTCACATTTCGAAGAGTTTAAGTAACCTTGTTTTATTGCTCATAGTACTACTTTGTTCGCAGTTCCACAACATAATAGACAACTCATAAAAAATATCAGGGCGTACCTGGCCTGAAACTCCAAGAAGAAAAAATAAACAATTTCCGGTCCAAAAATAAATATATTTTTTCTGTCAATTCTTTTTCTACTCATCTTTTCTAAAAGTGCCATACAGGGAAAATGTTTGTATCGTCCCAAAAAATGTTCGTTTTGTGATAGTGAAATGGCCGTATTGCGACTGTTAGTTCACTATTTTTCGCAGAGAATATACCACCGAAGGCGACTCTTTTTTGGCACCGCACTTTAAAAGTTTATGCGAAAAGATGCAATCGAAAAAACTGAAACTCATTTTTCAGAGTAATAGAACGCAAAATATGTATTCCTTTCCACATATAGCCGCCGAATGCGACTCCTTTTTGGTACAAATTAAAACATTGGCCCGAAAAACGTACAATCCAAAAAATAAAGCTCGCTTTTTACAAGTCTAAGAGGATAATGTTGTTCTTTACATTCAGCTGTCGGATGTGGCTATGCTTTCATCTATTATATTAACAAATGAATAAGAACTTGAAAGAAATTTTCTTTTCTTCACTGGCATTTCAAATCCAGGTGAATGTATTTCATAGTGGATGCCAAAATGAACACGAAATGTGTTTCACCAGAAAAATTTATTGGAAAATCTATCATGTGAAGCGAAACTTTTTCAAGAATTCTATAGAATTATACGTTAGAAAATTATTTTCCAAGAAATTTTCGTCTAACATCACGTTATCTAGTTTCTTGCATAGCTAGGTTCTCAATTAAAGAGCGAAAGTCTTTGATATGAAAAAGCGGAAACTTTCCGGAAAAAGCGGAAGAGGTGGCAACCCTGGTTTCGAGATCATATTCAAAAGAAAAACACAAAAATATTTCTCGCTGACAGCAGTAGACAATAATCTAATCCATAGAAAAAATGATTGTTTTCAGCGGAAAGACGACGTTCGGATCAAAAATGTGATTTGCCATATCAAGAGAAACATCCCATCAGTACCGTATTAAGATATCTATTCATGATGAATCTCGATCTGAAAATGAACGAATCAAAAAGTATCCATATATATATATATATGTCGTGTCGACGTTACACCGGTCGACGAAGTTACAATTTGTGCATTTTTATTATAAATTAGCTATTAAATTGAATCAATTCTTTCATTTCATCTATGATCATAACTAAGATTTTGCTGATAAGTACATATTTATTTAACAAGCTAGTTAAATAAATATATATTTATCAGCAAAATCTTAGTTATGATCATAAATGAACTGAAAGAGTTGATTCAATTTATAAGTTAATTTATAATAAAAATGCACAAATTGTAACTTTGTCGACCGGTGTAACTTCGATACGACGCATACATACATTCCCTTTAGAAAAATGACACTCCAGCGGAAAAATGCATGAATGTAACGAATAAATGCTCGACCAAAGTGGATAGTTGCTTTTCACTAATACGAATGCTGATATAAGAGAACAAAAAAAATGTCTTTCTAGACATGTATTTACACATGCATACATAAGTGTACGGGATCAAGAGAAAAACGAATAAGAAAAAAATGATTTCTGAGAACCCGAATAATCTCGAAGAAAAAGTGGAATATGCTTCATTGTCACAGGTCTTTAGTTTGATTATATAATTTATTATTTAAACGGTAAAAAGTCAAGAAATAGACTCATTTTTGTACAGAGCGCAAAAATGCAAATTCTTTATTCTGCTCTTGCATGTCTCTGTTGCGAAGTGAATGGTGTAACATAGATCGAAAGTAGATTAGTGTATTGAAACCGTATTTTTCTTCATTGGTTCACACCTGGATGATTCAAATTCGCTATGTATGAAACAAGTATTGCAGAGCAAAATCAAAGCGTTGTTTTTCGTACTCAAATCGGTATACTACTTATTTAAAATGGTTTCTCGATTACAATAGAAATAACCTACTGCCTCCCACTAACCAAAAAATCCATCATTTCTTTTTTCTCGCGTTTAGCAGGCGGCATTAACCTTTCGGTTTCGTTTTATCAAATACATCCTGCGATAACAAAGCGAACAATGTTTCTCTTCGATAAAATCATAATTTCATTTCACAGATTCGCTTTCCCTATTGAAAATTATATTTTCTTATGTATTTTCATTTTTCCGTTGACAAAGTATGTGTATAAGTAAAGTTTAGATGTTTATAGAAGATTCTTCAACGTAAAATTTTTCTCACGAACGAAATCATTTTTTCATATCGTTTTTCCTATGGAGAATAACATTTTTCTGTTCCTTTTTCATTTTCTCACGGATCGTTTGGTTTGGTTTGTATAACGTATTACATGCTGTTCGTTGGTTGAGCTTTCATCTACTGAAGAGGATCATTTTTGACCTGAAGATCATAATTCCACTTAAAATATTCCCTTTTATCACCGATCAAATGGTTGTCCAACCCTCTTTATAAGGTATTACACGATCTCATTTTCGATTAATGTTAGACGAAACAAACAAGAGTGTTATTCTGATAGTATTCCTGAGAGCGTTTATTAATAGATAGAGCACGGCTATTTGATATTTGATTGAATGCCGCCGATAAATAATGCTATACAAAATATTGCTGCTGTTTTACAACTAATAGAAATGAAATTTGTATGTATATGGAATGAAGATCAAAAATTTTGTTTTTTGATTTATGAACATAGTAGTCAGATTTTCAATAAAATATTTTACTTTATTTCAAATCACTTTCACACTTGGCTGTTCAATAAATTATATTAATCATTAAATCAAAGTCTTTTTATTATATGTATTAATATCGTAGGATAAGACGTATTTTAAAATCTACCATTTCTACGATAAACTAGTCTCACTGAATACTTTGTTTTTTTCGCATGAACGAAATTGAGAGCCGATTTCGAACATGAATTAAATGAAAACATCTTTGACACGAGCAGTTGTAAAGCTTTTTTTCCTAATTTAACAAGATAAGATCGATCTTCACTGACACTATAATCTCTTATATACTCGCAGTTGATAGGAATTAATTAAAATATCTTTTTCTAATTTTCGATTATCAAACGTGTACTAAACTTTAGGTGTTGACTTTTGTCATCAAAAATGTCGAATACCGATTAGTGATACCTCAATGTTTTGCACTATATTTGAACTTTTCTCAACTCGTTCTCTTGTTTATCATTCATTCGCATATAATGGTCAAATATGTGTTGATATATCAGTTTGCCCATCTCAAATGAATAGTCTTCTTAGTAATGGTTCATGCTTACGTCTCTGTTCATGTTCTGAATCCCTTATTAATGTGGTGCGAAGCACAGCGTTTATGTAGTCCTTCGTGAGCTTCTTTTTAATGCGATACGAAAGCAGGAGCGGGTGTGTGGTTTGAATCAAGTAATGCGATATTCATATCTAAATGCACACCCATACGGAAAGTTCTAATTTACTTTCTCTAAGAATTCGACGGATGATGATAATCTACATGGTGCCAGATCGCTCATATGTTAATGCGCATATTGGTGACGTTTATGAAGAAAGAAATTTAGTCTAAATGTTTATTTTTATGAAGTCAACTGTATCGGAAGTTAGATTCGAGTGGGGAGTATTTAATTCTCGTTTCAGTTCCAAAATATTATACATGGAGACTGTTCATCTAGAAAACATGAATTAATTCTTTGTGTTGAAAAGATCGTTACAGATATTTTCTATAGAACAAATTAATAACTAAATCACTAACAGCTATTTTTATTTAAGAAAATAGATCGATTTTTGTCTTGACGAATCTCTCAATTAAATGAAGATTAACAACTTTTGTCTTGTTCTATTCGATGGAAAAAACTGAAAGTCTTTTTTTTATGATCTTATTCTATTTGAATATGAATTATCATTAATCCTGCTAACAAGAAGTATTATTTCAACTACTTGATATTAATATCAGATAATCATTCAATCCATTCATTCGTTGCTTTTCATAAACAATAATTATTTGCATGGCAATGAATATATTAGCGTTTAAACTTTTTATTGGGCTTTGATTTGTTAATGAGAAAATTCCTTTTGATGTTGATATTTTTCTAAACAATAATAAAATACAATAAATTTTAATTTCATAAAAATATGATATTGATTTAAAATAGAATTTTCGATTTTCATTAGAATATTAGAAGCCAAATGAAAGAAAATCAAACTTTTTTCGAGCGAAAAGTCAGTCATAGAAAAAATGTGAGAAATGGATGAAATGACCCAACCACATCCTTAAGTAACTAAGTGTAATTGAATCCACCAGATACAACTTAAAAATTCATTTTAATAGTGAGACACAGTATTCAATTGACATTAATTTATTTCTTACTTCATGAATTTTTAGATTTTTTCATCAGAAAGCAAACGAATCTTGTTCATGAATGCTGTCAGAACGTAGAAATTGTGTTCTACATACTCTATGGAAGCCATCTCGCTATTGTCATATCACGCGATTTCATATCCTGAGCTCAAATTTTGAAATTGTTTTAACAGTAAATATAATATTCTACAGATAAATCGAGAATTGTACGTCACAACTGGAGAAAATTCCAAATGAGTAAGTGTGTAAAGGAAAGACAAAGCATGTGATCAGACAAGCGCTTATGATCAGAGTAGTAAAGAATCGTGAAGTCAATGGTAACCTATGACGTTTCTTTTTCAGCGTGCAAAAAAAGGAAAAAATTGTAAGTTGGAAAAAACCTACATCACATACAGTTGCTTACATTAGGTATAGTATTACTAAAGTTTTACTAATGCGAACATTGTCGAATTTCTTTTTTTATTTGTAGATATACAGCCATCTTACACAAAGTTTACTAAAAAGAATCACAGATCTCTCATTAAAAACAAACACTTGTTAAATTTTGTTAAAAAGATAATCGTTCGTACTTATCATTCCTTTTATACCAAAATTGTACCGAAGTTTGTTTGCATTTCCATTTTTGTGGCATGAAAAAATCACAAAATCAAAATTATTCAAAGAAAAATATTTCACTAAATTTTTTAGCTGTAGAAGTTTCATAGCAATATCTTCTTATCTGTAAAATTTAGTTTTGTTCAACCAAGAAATATGTGTGCTTCGACGTCTTTGAAAACATTACGCATTAATATTCCGCACTGGAACAAAACGGAAGCATATAACAAGAATAATACTGTGTCTAATGATGTTAATATTTCTTTATTATGGTTCGATAAAAATACATGTTTACAAGACGATGAGGATGTATGTGAAACAAAGCGAATGCTGCAAGAAATCAATAATAACGCTACCTTTCATTCTGATTTTGATGGCTTGATGAAATTTCTTGAAAGCAACTTAAAAGACACATTCTTTCTCGTTATATCCGGCGCGGAAGCAACAAGTGCTACGATTTTTCAAAAACTTCATTCTCTCAAGCATATTGATTCAATATTTATATTTTGTCTTGAGAAGCAAACGTATGAAACAATACTCACAGATCAACATCCCTCTAAAATTGTTGGTATATTTAACACACAAAGTGAATTATGTTATAATATCCGAAAAACATTGGATCATGTAAGAAGACATTTTGCTGCATTTACATTATTCAATCAAAAACAACATTCGATGCGTAATTTATCTCTTGATTCAATTCGATTTTTATGGCATCAATTATTAAAAGATACTCTATGGAAAATTTCCAGAACAGATGATTGGAAGATAAGAATGATAGAAAAATTTCGTGATTACTATCGGGGCAGTGCAAATGAATTAAAACACGTTGACGAATTTGAAACACAATATCAATCGTCAGATGCTGTTAAATGGTATACTAAGGATATGTTTATTTATAAATTAATTAATCAAGCTTTGAGAACTGAGGATATTGATGCATTATATACACTACGCTATTACATCGAAGATCTGTGTTTAGACTTAAAGAATAGGTATGAACAATTCAGGCAAGTTCACATTGAATTAGAAATGCCAAGTGTCACATTGTATCGTGGATTGCGACTAGATCGCGACCAAGTATTAAAATTAAAAATGAATGTAAAAAATTTAATTTCAACTAACGGTTTTCTGTCGGCGACTCGCTCTCTTGATGTAGCAAAATTTTATGCTGGCTGGGATCAACCCTGTCCATCACCAACGGACATAACTGAACCCGTTCTCTTTATTATTAATATAGATGTCAATGAAGACAAAATAATCGTTGCCGACATTGCTGCTGATAGTATGATGCCAGACGAATTAGAAGTATTGTTTGATTTAGGTAGTATATTTGAGATTGATTCTATTACAGAAGATGATACACAAAAACCGTCGAAATGGACTCTATCGATGACCGCATCAAACGATGGAAAAAAAATATTAAACGATTATATACTTTTCAAACGGCAAGATATGGAAGGATTTGATACCAATATTATTTTCGGTGAATTTCTATACGATATGGGCGAATATCAAAAGGCAGAGAAATACTTTGAGAATCTTCTATTGACGGAAGATACACCTCAACGACGCTATAGTCTTGGTATGGTTCACTGTCTTAAAGGTGAATACGATCAGGCATTGTATTATTTACAAAGTGCATACAATAGATATAGGGACATCTTGTTGCCAATGGCATCTGTATCTGAAGGGTTATTCGATACTGATGCAGCTCAAAATATCCTAAATGAAATGGCTAGAGTTTCAGTCGCTATTGCTAACATTCATTTCGATACAAATAATCCTGATGAAGCACTGATTCATTATGAAAAAGCTTTGCATGCATATGAAACAAGTATACCTGATGGTAGTAGTCCACAAATAGGAAATTGCCTACAAAACATTGGACTTATTTATCAACAACATGGTTCTTATAATGAAGCTTTAAAAAAATTTTATCAAGCAAATGACATGTTTTCTAAAACATTGCCTGAAAATCACCCAGATAGAGCAGGTTTACTACTGAATATCGGTAACATATACAGACTACAAAGTAAATATGATTTAGCCATCGAATCATACACAAGTGCATTGAATATGTTGAAGAAAATCTACCCCTCTAAGCATCGGTTAATAACTGAATGTATGAATAATATTGGCCTTCTCCACATGTCGAGGCATCAATATGACGAGTCATTAAAATGGTTTTTACAATGTTTAGAAAACTATAATGAATTTGAATTATCTAATACACAACATATATTGTATGTACGAATTCATGAGAATATTGCAGAAAATTATGAAAAAACAGATAATATATGTGACGCTATTCGATACTATGAACAGTCGTTAACTACTTTTGAAAAAGCACAACAAGATGGCTGGCATATCGTAAAATATGTGAACTCGAATGATGCGGGCGAAACAAAAGAAGAAGTGAAAACATTAACGGATCTCTTTTCTATTCTAGAAACTTTCAAAGAACTTTATTCTGGGGAGCACCCACATGTTCCTTCGGTGTTAAGAGATATTGGAAAGGCGTTCTTTAACGATAAGAAATATAAAGACGCTTTAAAATATTACAACCAATCATTGGAAATGTGCGCTAAATTTCAGTCCTTTGAACATTTAGATGCTGCAGCATGTTTAAATGATATTTCTTCAATTTATCAAATAGAAGGTGACTACTTGAAAGCTTTGGATTATGCAACAGAGAGTTACAATGTTCTAAGTAAAATATTATCATCGAAACACCCTAAAATCAAGAGTATTTTGGAACATATTATCCATCTCTGTAATGAAACAGGTGAATCTATTAAAGCATCGCTTTATTCAGGCAAATTACGTCTATCATGTGAACAAGAGATCACATCAGATGATTTTGATAGTGATCGTATTCGAAAAAAAATGTTTTACTTGTACTATAAGCAAGAAAAATATCAAGAAGCTCTGAATATAGTGTCTTCAAAGATTGATATATTTGATGATCAACAATCACAAACAATATTGGGTCAGATTCATCTCAAACTTGGGCAATATGAACAAGCTGTCTTTCATTCAAGCAATGCACTTACATTATCATCTAATGACTCGAATATTGTAAGATGCAACACTCAACTTGGTCATGCTTATTTACTAAAACATGACAAAACGAATGCATTACAGTGTTATGAGAAGTGCGTAGAAATTTTAAGGCGAGATAACTCAGAGGAAGATGAATTAGCGAATGTTTTGATCAATATGGGTGCAATCTGTTTAGATCAAAACAATTATAATGACAGTCTGTTACATTACTCGGAAGCATTAAAAATCAAAAAGAAAACTGATCCAAGTAATAATGCTCTCATTGGTGCTATTATTAGCTGTATTGGAAAGTCGTTGTTCAAGAAACACAATTATGATGAAGCACTCGAACACCTTATAGAGGCTTTCGAAATACTAAAACAATCTGGAGACAGTATAGAACTTGCTACAATACACGAATTCATTGGAAAAATTTATTATGAGAAACCAGATTTAGAAATTTCATTGAAGCATTTGTTAATAGCTCTAGAATTGTATGACAAATTGAAATCAACAGAGAATGATTCTAAACTAGAAAACATACTTGGTACTATAGCAAACGTGTTGTATGATAAACAAGATTTTCAAACAGCTTTATCATATTACAAAAAAAGTTTGATAATTGCCGATAATAATGATAGTCCTAATTTAGTATCTACACTTTATCAGATTAGTCAAGTTTATTTTCAAATGAATAATATGAATTATGGTATAGAATATCTAAAGCGATGCATTGAAGTACAAGAGGCACTAGTCGACGATGAAAATGATCAAGATCTAATGTCTTTCAAACAAGTTTTATCGTTTACACAGTTATTAAATAGTACTCGTAAGCAAAAACGTAGACGAAAATACAAGCGATTATTCCATAAANAATGTCCGTTGAAGAACTTCATTTTTACCTCATAGCAATTTATTACGACTTTCATCAAAATCACTCACGGGACTTGGGTTGAAACTGTAGCATGCTGTGTAGTTGGTGTTGTTGTGGATCGTCACATGCATGTTATTTGAATTGTGGCTTATATTAATTTGTTTGAAGTAGGACCTGACAGTAGGAAAATTTCCGATACCCATTCTCGTTACACCAAATGCACTCAAATTCCTCAGCTCTGAGGATATATAAAAATGGATACCCATTCTCGTTACACCAAATGCACTCAAATTCCTCAGCTCTGGGGATATATAAAAATGGATACCCATTCCCATTACACCAAATGCACTCAAATTCCTCAGCTATGAGGAACATGGGTATTCATTTTAGTATGCATTTTAGATATCCACTTGAATGGATATCGTGACTGGTATGTCGACGATACCCAGTGTTAGGATATTATGACATCTCTGATTTTTACTCATAGAATAGTGGACTTGAATCTGACTTCTTGCCAAATCTTTTAACATCGTTTCTATTCTCGTAGATTCACAACGATTTATTATGAATCCAATAATTGGACGAATTTATTTACTTCGATGCAGCGTGCGTCAAGCATTTGGACTTGACACAAAAAAATCATCTTCATCATTTGCATCCTCTGCATCATCAGTTGGCTGTTCAGCATCTTCTTCGTTACCATTAAACACGACAAAAGAAAAACGGAAAAGATTTCGCAAACGCCGATGTCTTATTTTAGACGTAGAAACAGCATCAGTAACAATTTTACCAATGACTCAATTTGACGGCCAAGACCCGGCCTCTGAAAATGTAAAAGATGAAATTGTTTTACCAGAACTTTCAAGAGAATATTTATTAAAAAATCTTTTATCAATTCACCCGACTGAACCTGTTGCTGGACGGCGTAGTGTCAATATTGAAGCATTTTCAGGTTCATCGAACGATGGCTCAAAACCAAGCAACAGTTTTATCGTTTTAAAGCCAATATCAGTTCCTATAGAAGCTGAATGGCCGAATCCTATACCAGATTTTTTTACAGTCGATGAAATGTTATACATCAGTGATGTCATCTATGCATTATCAAGAGAAGAAAAAGCAAATAAAATTCGAAATTCCCAAAATCAAATGGTTCACAATGTTATTTATGAAGATAATAAAGATAGTGAAACAACCGGTTCATCATTACCTACGAGTCGTGTTATAGTGGAGTCATTTGGAAAAGACGATTTAGATAAATCTATGCGTATTGAACAGTGGCTAAATGATTCAACACCATCTTGCAATATTGTTGAAGATATAGATCAATGCTGGTCAACAATAGTGAGAATCAAAAAGCTTTTGCTTCGATTATATCTTTTTTTTATTTAGAATTATTCTGGTAAATCAACGTTAATTTTATTCAACAGGACAGGACAAGATATATCTTTCACTCATTTACATGGACTTGAAGTAAGTTGATTTTTGTCTTTTTTTTCAAAATTATGTTCACTTTTTGGGTAGTTTTCTGAAAATACGCTATTACTTGATGTTATTTTGAACGATAATGAATGCCTTCCATTACTTATATCCAATGAACATGAATCAGCTACACTTACATTCTCTGAAGAACAAGATTTTCAAACACGACATGAATTTACTATTAAAGTAATATAACACAAGGAAAGAAAAACATTTTTGATTCAACTTTAGTTTTTAGATTGGAGATTTTATTAAAACTGTACATGTAACTCCACCACACAAACAACTTTATGATTTAGGCCCATCATCAATACCTAATTGGCCTGTTCAAATCGCCTGTGATTATGAAATAAGAAATAATCATCGATTTGTTATTCTATGTTCAATTATTAAAGTTTGCAATAACACAGCTATTCCATTAGTTATTTCAAGTATTAATCCAAATGACATAAAGCAATATCATCGAATCTCAAAAATTAATTTGAATGAAGAATATGATCTACCTATTGATTTAATTTATGCACAATCAACTCCTACAATATTTATTTCTGTTGATAAGTAAAGATTTGTTTATTTTAGATAAATAATTGTTTTGTTTAATTGTTTTTGTTTGCAGAAATGATAGTAATGGCGAAATAAATGAATTCATTTCATTTGATTGGGAAAAACAATTTTCCGTGGAGAAGAAACTAGAATTAACAAATGGAACTCATGCTCATTTTGCTGTGAGAATCTATAAAATTGGTGACCTTGATGAAAATGTATTTTTTAGCTTTATAAAAAATCCATTGAAAGTTATTCGGAAAGTACTAATGAACTTGCAATGAGTTTTATTCTTTATATAACTGATCAAACATTTCATTCAACTAAATTTATACCAACAGATATTCAATTTGTCAATTGATGTAAGTGAAATATTTCATTTCGCGTATCTCTTTAACTCAATTAGCAAGACAACAAAATTGAAAAATGAATATAGAAAATATTCATTTTCAATTTGCTCTAATTCGTTCGCGAGTTTGCAATTAAAAACAAAGAATAGAGGGTTGCCGTTTTCAAAAAATAAAATATTAGATGAAAAATTACTTGAGGATATGTTTAGAATAAATAAAATTCCAGTCGATATTAAAATTTCGAAATTAACTCAATTGTTTTACCAGAAAGATCTTTGACATATTGAACCAATTTATATTTCTTTTTGGATCGTAAAACATGCGATGTTATAAGATTGAAAAATAGTATGATAATGATTATTGAAAAAATATAATCGCGCAAGAGAAAACATTCAAAATATTATATTTTAATATTTATTTTTAGAATGATGAATAAATTGATACAACACCAAGGCAATTCAATCTCATAATATCTGGCAATAGACATTCTTCATCGACTGTATAATATTGTATTTTTTTTTCTTTAAATAATATATATCATGTTACATATGAAATAGAAAAAAGGCTAAAAATAATGTAATATTGGTGAATAATACTTGTATACTTGAAACTACTTCAATCATTTAATTTGAATAAGATAAACAAAAAGTAATTTTTTTATTTAAAAGTTTTTCTTCTAATTGAAGTATTTGATATTTTGCTTACATGTATAACAACAAAAGATTGAGGGCAAGCGTTTAAAAAATATTCCTAAACATAAAGGTTGCCGGCGTTTGTAAAGATATCTGGTAGATGCACTATTTTATTTTATTATATTTTTTCGCTTTCATTTTCCTAATTTAGATTCAGATGACAATACAATGGACAGTGTTTAATGTTCTTCCGTTTTTTTTTCTTAATATTTTCCTAGATAATCATATCAGATGAAGTCGATGACTTATGATTTTCAAATGCAGTCATTACATGGATTGATGCATGAAGCTATAAAAATTTTAAATTTAATTTGTAAATCGATCTTTGTTTTTGAATTTTAGCTGGATGATTCAGCAATTATCTCAAAAGAAGATTGAGCAGCTATATCATGAGGTGCATCGACATTTATACTATGTATGTACGACTTATGCTCTCATGTTAACATAAATAATAAAGTCTCTTAATGTTTTTCTGTGCTATAATCAATATGCTTCAAATACTAAGTGTGACATAGTGACAGTTCAATATATCCATTGAAAGCATTACAAACTAATAAATTTGATATACTGTTCGAACTATTGCAACAAGCATTAAAATGTTTGATATGAATTTCATTTTTTACTTAGATTTACAAGAACGAATTTAAAAAAAAGAAAGAATAAGTATCAAAGAAGCAGCAGAATCATCTATTGAAAATAATGATGATGATGAAAATGATAATTATGAACATGAAGTTAAATAAAAAGATGCTATTCAATGATCGATAAATTCATATATATGACATTATAACTGCATCAGAACAAACATGTACTGAAGTTGAATCTCAATTAGAAGAATTACAACGAGCATATGAGACATCAGAACAAAATCTATCGTCATTAAAAATTGACTCTAAAAATATACAAACATATTTAAATACAATTGAAAAACAATTTGAATCATTAAAAGAAAAATTTGATATTCAAGCGAATAAAAACGAAGAATTAAATGTTGATAATAAAGAACTAACAGATAATATTATTTATCTTCGACAACAATTACAAGAAAAAGTTCTTCAAGAAGAACAACATAATCGAGAGAAACAAGCAAATAATAATTTAAAAAGTTTATACAAGTTAAACAAACATTACAAGCATGTCAACAAGAAAATGAACAATTAAAAATTGAATTGAAAAAATGACAGATTAAACTTTTTAATAAAAATGAGTAATTTATTATGAAATCAAAAACAGAGATGCATAGGGTTTGATTCATAGTTATTCGAACCGGTCTTACTTTCGGTTTATGTCCTAATTATATTGACAGTCGGATTCACTGTGCCCTTGAGACATAAATTCTATCAAAATGTCCTTTTTTTGTAGCGTTATGTTTCAATGCTCCCATGATAGTTATCAAACCAGAACTGTACATCTCTAGTTTAGTTTGATTTTGAGCGAAATTCATATAGTTAAGAAGAGTATGTTGATATATAATCGAATAAAAACAATGGTCTCGTAGGTAGAAAATAAATTATTGATGTATTTTTTGACATTTCTTGGTCTAAGAAAAGCAAAATATAAACAAACCAGTTCTATCCATTAGAGAGAAAAGCACTTATGTTATGAACAATTTAACCGATGTCAATACAAAATGGCTATCATTTTAGTGGTCAGTAGAATAAATGAAATGGTCAGTAAGCAAAATAATTATAAAATCAGTAAAATAAATGAATGACCAGTAAAATAAATGAATGGACAATAAATTGAATGAATGAGCAGTAAATTATTTAAATGGTCAGTTATTAAAATAAATAAGTGTCTTAATACATTTAAAGAGCAGTAAATTAAATAAAAGGGTAAGTATAAAAATCACAATGTGTGATAGTGTGATTCACTTTTTTTCTTTCTTTCGGTCGTTCTACTATGTCGTCCAGCTGACTGCTACAACATATATATATATATGTACTCTTTGTTTCTACCCTTTCTTTCACAATCAGCTGAGTGTCAACGAGTAAAACAGATGGAAGTGATACAAGTTGCCCAATATGAAAGTGAAACATCTGACGAAGAGATTATAAAAGAAAACCATGATATAAATGAACAAAGAAAAAAATCTAAATTTTGGGTTAAAGAATCTACGTTTGATAAACCTAGTGAAACAGAAGCATTAATTGAAAATCAGTGGTCAAAACATTATACAAATTATACAGAAAATGGAAGAAAAGTTTATTATCGATGTAACAAAGTGAAGCGTCGTGGTCCCCAATGTAGTGCCAGCATGTGTCTGCTGTATCATGCAGACAGTGACAAAGTTACTTGCTACAAAACTGAAGCTGAACACGATCATTATGATCACAAAGGTCGTGGTATTGATGGAAATGTTAAAAAGATTATAGAAGAATTGTATAATGATGGTGTTATAAAGCCCAAACAAATTATTCGAGCACTTGAAGCAAGAAAAATAAAGACACCAACATACACACAATTGAACAATTATCTTATTCATTATAAAAAAAAGAAATATGGTTCATATAAAATAAGCTTAGGTGAATTAGAAAAATGGTGCGAAGACAATGGAGATATTCCAATTGATGAAAATAAAGCTTTTGTTGTATCATACAAAATAATTTATGATGAACAAGAATATGATGATGAAGATACAGAGGAAGATAGTGGTAATAAATTTCGTGTATTTATATCATCTGTATGTTTGCTCAATATTGCATCAATATCATCACATATAAATGCTGATGCAACATATAAATTAGTCTGGCAAGGTTTTCCTGTATTAATTGTTGGTACAACTGATTTGAATAAGAAGTTTCATCCATTTGGTTTAGCTATATGTTCCAATGAAAAAACAAAAGACTTCGAATTTATATTTAATGGTATACAAATTGGTATGGAAAAATTAAATAAAGATTTATTAAAACCAACAGCATTGATATCCGATGCTGCAGATGCAATAAAAAATGGCTTTCGAAATGTATTTAATAATGAATATAATCAAATAATGTGCTGGGCACATATGAAACGAAAGATTGATAATCGTGTATGCCATATAAATGATAAACTTATCGGAAAAGAAATAATAGATGACATTGAAATGCTGCATTTATCCAATTCTACTGAAGTATTCAAATTGGCATATACATTATTTAAAAAGAAATGGAACATGAACAACAAACAAACCAATCAGTCAATATTGGATTTTTTGAATTATTTTGATAATGAATGGATCAAATCAAATGATGGTTGGTATGAAGGTATACAGTTGTATGCACCAAGTACAAACAATGCCTTGGAAGCAACCAATAAAACAATCAAAGATGATGGAACTTTTAGAGAACGCCACGTTCTATCAAGATTTTTGATAATAGGTTGTAACATTGTCAATAATTGGTCAAATGAACGAGATATTAAATCAATCAATGCAAAAATATTTGCTACTGAACCAACAATTTCTTTAGAATTATGGACTTTGTCGTATCAATGGGCAAAATCAACAAAAGATATTATTTGTATTTCCAATGATTCTTCAAAAACATGTTATATACCAGCTCGTGATATACAATCAATTACACAAGCCAATTTAAATAAATATAAAAATAAAAAATGGTCTACTTTCAATCAATTTCAAAAATCATTTGATATTTGGTGTATGGAAATGAATGATTCAACTTGGAAAAAATCCAAATGTAACTGTCCTATTTTTTTCAAGAATTACATCTGCAAACACGTCGTTGGTATGGCTATTCGCCTGAAGTATTGTAAACCACCACCAGCAGCAAAAACAGTACCCATCGGCGAAAAAAGAAAAAGAGGTAGACCAGCAAAAGCAAAACCTGCTTTACTTGTACAATAATTAGAATTCATCCTCTTTTTTCCACTCCATTCTTTATATTTCTACCTAATGTTCTCTTGAATTTCTTATTTGTTCTGTGTTTTTTTATTTAAAAGTACACTTTCTTATATCAAATAATATTTACGACAATAAAACTTATTTTTGTTACTGATAAAGTCACATATTTTACTGATCAAATTTAAGCTTTTTACTCACCGAATTTGAATTATTTACTCACCAAATTTGAATTTGTTACTGATATTTATGTATAAAAAACTGACCATTTCTTAATTAATTACTGACCGTTTTAGTACTGACCATATAATATTAACACTGATTATTTGCCTATTTTTTTACTGACCATTTCATTTATTTTACTGACCAAAAATTATGTTCCCTTTATTTTGAAGTGCCATTATCGTAGACGAAAAGCAAACAGCGACTTATATCGATTTATTTTATTGAGGCAATAAATAAAGGACTGACTGAACTATTATTGAATAAAATTTATGTATATTTTGAATTCATTATTTAGTTAAAAAATAGATAAGTTATTGCAAAGCTTCGACTCTTGATCTTGAGATCAAAAACTGAATCAGTGAAGAAATTTTATCAAGATTGCCAAAAAATATTGCAGCTTCTTTAGATATCTGATCATAAAATAAATAATAACTATAAGAATACAGTTTACTTTTTGATAAAAAAAAAAGACCGGGACCATCTTACAGACCCCTAGCTTCGATTCCTCGATGGCCTCATGAACCCTCTCTTAAAAGCGGTTGACGTGATTGAGAATTGTTTGATTTTTTTGGTCTCAGTCAACAAAAGAGCAGCAAAATACTTAGGCGAATGGTTTTGCGCCTATGTACAAGCTTATCTGAGCATTCTCATCGTGCGATAGTTTTACAATTACTTTCTCTCTGCCGTCTTGGTTTCACGCCCAATCATATAGGTTAAACGAATTCTAGTGACAATTAACTCTTGGGCAGTAAAGATGCGAGATGAAAAGTGGATATTTCAACCAAATTCCAATGCGCAACCGATCGAGACCATACAAAGTTACCGGTGAAACACAAGTTTCTATTGCTGACCTCAAATGGCATATGAATTCAAGCAAAAAAAACACGCTACCTCCGTCGACATCAATTATTAAAGCAACCGTCTCTATATATCACATTTTTTGATTAGATACGAGTCGCTGCTTAAATATCCTATATTAAGCGCTCTATCTTTGAAAAACGCTTTAAAAACAGTTGAAATCAAAGTTGATTGGAACTTTCTATTGATGGAAATGCATTCAATAGTCAAAATAAATCATTATGTGATTGGTATACAGTGTTTTGTCAAAATTGGAAAAAAATGCAATTTTTGGTTTATGAATGTTGTTTTCCTTTAATGTAAACTATTCTCACCCACAACCATCTCGCGATTTCACACTACGGGCTTGCCTTTTGAGTGTCGAAATCGAAAATCAAATATCGGGCTCTAGTCAGCCCCATAGTCTGTAGACTGGTATTCTGGAGCACTTTTTCTTCATAAAGCGTTATTCCATGGGTACTGAAAAGTCTTCTATTAAAAATCATCACACCCGAATATTGAGAAGAAAAGAAAAACAATAGAAGTAAGACGCCAGTTTAAATACATGAAATTTTGTTTAACAGAAATCTACAACGCGAGCAATGCACTATGATTAATGTACATAAACAAAAAGCCAAGATAATTTTCAACAGAAGAGATCATCATTCAGTGGGTGAAAGGTTAGCTCCTGTGATAATCGCTCTTGACAGCATGCTCGTGTTCACTAGTTTTAGCTTTTACACCGGCGACTGCTGCATCGGCGCGGTCACCAATCTTCACATTTGAATCAGCCGCTTTCTCAAATTTGTTTTGGGCCTTATTGCCTTGCACTGTTTCCAAAACTTTTTCAGCACCAGCTTTGATTGATTCCATCGTTTGATTTCTATCAACAGAGTAAAAAGTTCTGATTGCTTGTGAGATAAGAATAAAAAGATTCTACTTACATAGCTAGTCGTGAGAGTAGTAACGGTAGTCGTTTGAAAATGAATGTTTATGTAGATTGATGATAGAACTAACCTTTATATATCGTGCTCTGAAGGAAAGAACATGTGTTTTCTTTTCTTTTCTTTCTCACTCTCTTTCATTCATTTATTGTACTTTAGTTGCATATAGTCATCCTCGCCGTCGCTTCTTTTTACGCAGTATCGAAAGCAAGAGTACGAAGTTTATCAAGCGCAACAATATACGGGATACTTGAGTGCGTCGGCTTTTTGTGAGTAAAGTGCACTTCCAAAACTTGAAGAAAAAAATGGCGCGCGTCTACGATACACTTTATCCAATGTGATACTGAAGGTTCGGGTCCTAAAAATGGAGATGTTTGTACTTATAAACAAAAAAAATGGGACATATTCGGATCGAATGAAAGCTCTCACCGCCAAACTAACAAGGTTAAAATATTAGCTGCCCTTGGCTTGACTAGCGGGAGTTATTCGATTTTTACGGTACTCACAAATTGCGTATATAAGAAAATTAGGATTATTTACATTCATTTTCTATGAAATCAACGAAATTTTTTAATAGTAGGCTACAAGAATGTTTCTGAAAGTTATCAATAGCATTAAGATCATATTAGTTTCAAAGTCTTTTGAAACTAATAAGTAGTATAAATATAGACAAAGATCAGCTAGCCGTTAGCAAAATCTTTAACTCGTCAATAGTTTTGATTTTATTTCAATTGAAAACAATATACTATTTTTAAAAAATGTGCTATAAGTGAAGATGTAGATCTTCAATTAAATGAGAGTAACAAACAGTTCTTTTGCACCAAGCACACATTAATAGTGTTCGTTCACTGCAATTGTTGATTGAATAGTACAGATAATAAAATTTGAAGCAAACATCTTTTGGTTTTTCAATCTTCCCAGTTGTTTTATTTGCTATTCCAGCTTGTATCAATACATGCTTAATGAGATTTTCAAATTGTGGAGCTGATAATTGATTGTGAATAACAGAATGGATATTGATGAAATACTGACGATCATCTATAGTCATTGAGATTCGATTGTTTCATAAATAAATCGTCATGAACGAAACAAAGAAAGATCTTGTAGTGGAATATAAACAGTTGATCCTTCGGGAAAAATCAATAATTGACTACCTTGATTAGGAAATACTGATATAAATTTTGTTAAATCAGCTTGAATTTTCCAAGCATCAAGAAAGAGAAGAAATTTTTTAACAACCAAGGGACGTAGAACTTCTTTTAAAAAAAATTGATGTTTTTCATCACTGCTTTTTCCTGATTCTGAAGCTGTAACTACAACTTTTGGTGGTATGATCAAATTTTTTTGCACTCTTCTAACGAATGTATTTTCTTTTTCTTGAAGGATGAGTAAGAACTATAGAACTGCAAAACAGTCCCAGTCCCGGCCCCGGTGGGACCGACATCGGGACCGAAAAATAATTTATAGCGGGACCGGGACTAAATACTTGTTTTAACCAGTCCCGCACAAATTTTTTAAAAGAAAAAAGTCTTCTATAACACTTGATTCTTTTATTTTCAAGTAGTAATTTTACTATTTTCCCTTTCAAATATTTTATAATACAAGAAAATCTTAATAAATAAACATTCGAAATCTCAAAACAACACATAGTTAGATGGTCTATCATCTTAGATAACAGACCACCAAACTAACCTGGACGGTCTAATATAATACAAATAAAATTAGAAAATGCTAGACGACATACACTTCGGAAAAAATAAGCATAGTTAAAAATAGAAGTTTGTTTCAGAAAATCGGGACCGGAACCGGGTCCAGGAAACAAAAAAATGTCGGGATCGGGACGGGACCGGGACCTAAAAAAATTAATTTTTCGGACTGGGACGGGACTGGGACCAAAAAAAGGTGGTCCCGCAGTTCCCTAGTAAGAACTTGCCTAATAAATGACCATTAGCTAATGTAACTGGTTGAAATATATAAGAATGCGTGGTATTATATTTCTTTTTAACAGCTACTTCTGTTGTTTTTTCATCAGTAAAAGAAAGGGTCTTTGGTGAGACGTATTCTTGTTGAAATGAACAGTGATTACTGTTCAAAATTTGGGGAGAAGAATACTTTGATATTAAAGTTCTTTTACTTTCAATCCAATTTTGAGCGTCTTAAAAATATATATGTATATTACATTAAAACATACGTATTTAAAGACCAAATAAAAGTTTACATACCACTTAAACAGCAAAGTTTTCTGTTTGGTTTAATTCGAGTAATAATTTTGTTACATCTAGGGGTGGCACTTTAACTTTACTTTGAAGTTTAAGTTAAAGTAGGACTTTAAACTTTAAACTTTAAAAATTAAAGTCAAAGTATAGCTGCTGCAATCATAAAGTTAAAGTTAATACAACCCTTCAGTCTTTAGTGAAATTACTTAGACTCGGTCAAAAGATAGAAAACTAGTCGAAATATTTTTAAATAAAGATGAAATTCTGAAATCGAACTCCACCAAAGTCTAAGTCTAAGTTCTTTCTATAATTTCCGTAAAGATTGTAACGTATGATTACCTTGGTGATGCTGGAGAAGTATATAATCATAATGTAAATTAGGCAGGCCTAACATTCTGAAATTTCGTTTAAAATAGGATTTAAAAAAAAGCGAAAAAAATTAATTATGGAAATAGCCCCTCCCCTCCCCATTTTAAACTTAATTGATTGTTTATGTAGCTGCTCACGTGTAATAAATCAACGTAAAAGGCCGGCGTCTTTCAGGTACTGTGCATAATTTCGCTTTACAGATGCAGAAAGTTGGTTGTTCTTCATCAGGTGAGTAAAGGAAGTAAAGAAAGAAAGAGTCATTCTCTCTCGTTAAAATGATCGTGCAACTGAAATTTCAATTTTTTTCATCTACAAGAAGACAACGTTAAAAGGTAAGAACTGTAAAAGTGTACAGCATTCTTTCAGTATTTATTTTCAATGGTGTACCAGTTACTTCCAGTATACTCCTTTTGCACTTTTACATTATGATGGTTATTCGTTACTGGTATTAATTAGTTATGTATATCTACAGCCTTGTCTCGAAATATGGAATAGCAAGTAAAAATTGTACCTAGTGATACAGAAAATTAGAGCTTTCCATTTGCCCATACACCTGGAAATGTAATCTCCATTGCCCTGTAATTTTCTCTCAGATCGAATCCATTCGATCATTGAATATCGAACAAATCCTGTCTGACAGCTCTCAAACTCACTAGAGAAACAGCAGGGTGTGGCGAAAAATAAGCTCAATAGGTAGTATACCTGTTACCAAGTAGAACGTTCTCGCTCTTTTACACTATCGAGTTCGAAACATTGCTTTTCATCATGTTGACCGATGTAGAAAGTATATGTGCTGTGCAAATGCATTCATATGATAGTTTTAATATATAAACCCAAGTCTTGATATCTATATAGCAATGAAGAGCCCTAAAAGCTTTTAGAATTCGTTGACAGAACCAGAAACAAGGGTTCCGAAGTTTGTACCGAAATCGGAAACCTTTAAAGGCTCTTAGGCCTTCCCTGAACCCTAAATGGCTCAGTAATCATACCTTTTTTTAAACAGCAGTCTAATCTAGTCTAGTCCTGGGTGTTTTCATTCAATTGAACTGTAATATTATCTTCCTATGTCACCAATTGGATCATTTATCAAATGGTGTCGCACGATTAGGCGAATTAGGAGGCATCAAATATGATTGACTCTTACTTGTTTCGAGAGCACTACTACAATAAAAACGTATAAAAATCGAATCTCTTGGATATCGTCGGATCCGACAGGTTACCAGCTATTGGATAACAACGGATCCTGTAGTCGGAATCCAATAGTATCCTACTGTCGGAAACTGTCGGAAATCACCGGATATCGTGGGATTCCGACCATAGGATCCTACCAGGTATTTTGGACCTGGGTATGTTCATTCAACTACTCTTGAGGTTGTGGGGTGTGGGTGAATGGTAGAGGATCCCCATACAGCTGATATATTGTGCCAAGTCCATAGTTATGAAATACACTTTGTAAAAAAAAGGAGGTTTGCAGAACCTTTTAAGGTTCTGCATTTTACCAGAGTGCGGAACCCACTGAAAATTGTTCCGTGCAAGAAAAAAAGGTGTTACAGGCGGTGTAAGAACCCTTTTTGTGTTCTGCAGAACCATTTTTAGTGGGTTCTGCACTCTGGTAAAATACAGGACCTTAAAAGGTTTGTAAACCTACTTTTTTTTACAGAGCAGATTGACACATTGTTACTACGTCCATGTTAAAACTTAACACTAAGCATAATTGATCAAGAATATTGATTTGTCTATGAAAGTTTTCCCGTACTACTTCTAATATATTCTGACATCTTTTTCTTCACTTTTCTATTCGTACTTCGAGTTTGTCACGTCATATTTATTTTTTTTCGCATTTTTCATTGACTCACATGAGTAATATGTTTGATGTTGCATGTCGGAAGAAGTATTTTCTCACAGCATTTAAAAATGCAACCAACAGTTAATAGCATTAGGCTGGTTTTTTCCCGCCTATTTCTTGTACACCGTAGACATCGATTAGTGGATGGTTCCGACATAAATCTTGTTATTTACTCATTTAATCACTCGAACTTCTGCAACACCTACATAGTGATGTAGTTTTCAATGTAAGAAAAAAAAAACTTTATACAATTTTCAATATGATGAATTAGCATTCCTATCGACACCAATAATTCACAAATTGATTTATGGGTTTTTGTTGCGACTATGCAGTGAAAGTAACTGCCACATCTAAAATCGAATAAAAATTTTTCAAGGATCCAATCTGTCTATGGACTATGATTCTTCATACTATAGGATAGAAAAACATGTAATAGTTTAAGTTCCCTCACCATTTCTTTTAGACACGGACACTTGTTCTTATCTTACGTGGTTACAATCTATAGCATAAAAAATAATCCCAATAGAAACATTCTTCAGACTTAAGTAGTCAAATAAGGGAACTATTAGTCTGATTTTGTTACAAAATGAGTGGAAGTTCACTGTCTAGAGAGAAATCTCTATAAAAAAAACTTTCTTGAACTTCATTATCTATAGAAATATAGTAAATCAAAGGCAGATAAAAATGTCTCGATAATCTTCGCTAGAATGATTGGACAAATCAAGCTTCGGGTTTACTGCTTGAAGTGATTTTAATCTCAACGTTACTAAATAATAAAATCTTTTTGTTTTTTGAAAGAGTATAATCTCTTCACCTAAATTTATTCATCTATTTTGCTATACTCACTGTTTAATGAAAAACTTAATTTATAAATAATGAATTGATATATGGTCACGTTTATACAAGGAAATCAAACTTTAATACATACTCCTCTATTTTGAAATTTCTGATCCTTCAAAATCTGAAGGATACGGATTTGTACTTGAAACCAATTGAGATTCCCAGTAGCACTGTATACTTTTGATTCTTGATTATAAACAATCCAAAAGTTGAACAGTGAGAAATTCAAGCAAATATAGTTCAAGTAATATTCATCTTCTCAGAAAAGATGAATCGCCTCCATTTAAGAACAATAGATTATGATTAGGTGAGCACTTTGTTGTAGTTTTAGTAATGGTTGGTACGTGTACTCGAATTTTGAACTTCTTCTGTTGTGCATCAACGGCTTTTAAACAAAAAATATATATTCTAACTTCAATCAGAATTATAAAAGAGAGTTTTGAGGAGGAGCATTTAGAATTTAGCCAATGAACATTTATGCACACATTCCAGATCCTTGTGTGTAGTTTGCCTAGCATAATTTTTCCATTCATGTACTCTAGATTACATGTTCAAACGGTTATTTAAAAAAAAAAAGAAGGAGGATGATGCTATTGGTGCCTCATCTTCTAGAAGAAAGATTGATCCGCCTCCTGTCAGCTGGAAGCATTCATGGCCACAAACCGACACACGAAATGCATTAGCTAGATCTCCGTTCAATCGTATTCCTACTGAGATTCTCTTACGCATATTTCAATTACTTTCCGTTCCTGACCTATGCAACGTATCACTCGTTTGTCGATTGTTCAAAATGGTTGCGGATCAAGATGATATTTGGAAATTAAAGTGCAATAGTAAGAATTGTTGGTCTTTCTTTTCTCATTTCTACAATGATCTTTTGAAAATACATAATAGCTTCAACGAAGTTATATTCAAAATCGTTCAAACAAACTTACATGGATTGGATGTACGAGAAATATTTGCGAAGTGAAGAACTAAAGCGAAACTTAGCGAATAGGAAGTATTTTGGGCGACTAGGATGTGTCATGTGTTCACCTCCAAGCTATCCGGTTCGACCAATAGCCGCACATCCACTTGAATCTGTTGGTGGTTTTAGCCAACACCCAAATTCTTCAGCAGATATGTAATATATTTTATATCTTTTTAAAATGGCGCATATTGCATTTATTATTTGAGATATGTTCACGCTTATCAGATAAATACAAGTTCGATTATGATTGATTATCCCTAAGTGCACCCACGAAAAATAATTCAAAGAAAAACACGGTCAACCGTGGATTTTTAAAATTATCGCGGTTTTCTACAGCCCAGATTGAATAAGCACGGTCGTAAACGACCGTATACGGTGAAATACGGGCGTGTAAGGTGAAGTGCGACCGTATTACCTGGCTCTGTATTACGAACGTAAATCTCTGTGTCGTGTACGGTGATTTACGGTCGTATATGCTCGTTTTCGATCTTATACGACCGTATTTCACCGTAATACGACTCGAGGAGTCATGGTCGTAATACGGAGCCAGGTAATACTGTCAAATACGGGCCGTATTTATCCGTATACGGACTCCATGAAGTTCGACCTGGGACCGCGTTTATCATCTGTGTCACCGCGATATTGTAAGTCGCGGTTTCATGGAACACGGCGAGTAAGATTCTGTGTACAGTGAGTGGTGTCACATATCCAGCAATTTGAAGAAGTGCTCACTTCGTCTACAGAAGATGCAGCATCTCATACAGGAGACGCCGCATCCACACTCGGGAGATTCGTTGATTTGCAGTCGGAGATGCATCATCTCATTGAGAGATGCGCATCCCTCACACTGAGTGCTGCATATCCCGCTGAAAATGCAGCATCTCCCTGCAGAGATGTGAGCACTTCTCCAAATTGTTAGATATGTGACACTGCAGAAAAGCTCTTCTTGACTGCTATCATATGAATCTATTGAATAGTAAAAATCTGTCATCCATAGTTTTAGCAATTTTCTCTTGAGAAATTTCTATCAGATCTACAATTAATCTTGTACGATTTAAAATAATCTATCAACATCTTCCTAAAACTTGGCAAATAATAAACTAATTTTAGAGAATATGCCTCGTGATGAACTTGGTAAGTGACTTGGTTTAAAAAGTTAGAATAATGCTGTACAAGAAAAAGGTACATTGATATGTCATAGCAAAGTGAAGCTATGAAATCAATTCTGTTTCATAAATAATGACAGTACTATTCTTGTATATAATGCCGAAGTTTCCTTATTATCTCAGGACGATTACATTGTCGGTCGATATTGACAAAACAGCCCATCAACTCATATCACTTTTAGAGAAAGTATGCAAATATCAAGATAAATGGTATCAACCTGCTATATTGAAGCAAATGATAACAAGATATTATCGATTTATGCAATTAAAGGCCATTTATTTTCCCAATGTTTTGCTGATTCCTACGCTTGATATTGAAATCATTTGGCAAACACATTTACTTCGACCGGAAATGTATCGAGCGGATTGTCTACGTTTATTTCGTCAGGTGGTCGATCATTCATTGTTGGCAACAGATATTGAACAATTTTTAAAAGAACAAGCATTTATAGAGACATGCCATTTTTATGAAGAACGATTTGGTGAAAAATATTGTCAATTGCCATCAAATAAACATGGTCGGAAGTCAACCTCGAATGATTCAGATGATGAGGACGAGTTAAACAATCAGTCCAAAAACGCTTATTCGTATTGGGATGAAACATTTTTCGAATTTTCATCGAATCCACCAAAACAATATGAAAATCCTTTTTCATTTACTGAAGCCGAAATCATTCTTGATGGCCATTGGCTTGATTTATGTAAAACATTTATGTATGATTCAGTGCAACAAGTTCGTATTTCTGGCTACTATGACAGATCACGCGACTTTATTGATCTTGAAACTGGACCTATGAAACGTTTAAAAAAATCTTACGAACGATTTTTATATATGTCAGCGAAGCATCCTTTGAAAGATAGCAAGGATTTTGTGCCACCGACATATGCGGTAAAATTTCTATTAAGAAATCGAATACTGTTGTTCTATGAATATATTGATACGGTTTTAGATAGACATCATGTGGCATGCGCATATGCAAGAACCGTTGAAATATGAAGCTGATTGTCTTCGATTTGTTGGCTATGTTATTCATCATTCGCCATGGCCGATCATTGATGACAAAAAAATGAAGAAAAAGAGCAACAGAACGGATGAAATGTGGAAAGAAGAATTTCAAAGTGAAATTTCAACCGATCATCTCTATAATACTATTAAAGAACCATTTGATTGGGAAAATTGAAACACTCTAAATAAATTCATATTTTTTTATATTTGCGTGGGTCTAATTAATCAAGAATAAACTAGACAAAATATATATCCTTAATTCTATTTCTAGTATTTTCGAACGAATGGGTATATCACTAGCGATCTCCCATTCTCTGCTCTTAGTTGTATGTAGTATTCATTAGACTGTTTTGTTCCATCGAATGCCCATGTATTGGATGTCCTTCAGATGTGATTTACTTTTAGATTTTCCCAGGTCGAAGCAACCGGCCCGGGAAACAACCGGTTCCCGCGCATTCCCGCGATTTCACGGAAGCAGTATTCCGGACCGGGAAATCTCCGGATTTTTCCTGTAAATTCCGCCAAGTTGCTGTTGGTTCCCGCCGGAAATCATCGGAAATCACCGGGAAAATCTGTCCCGGAATACTGCTTCCAGGATCCGGTGATATCCGGCGTTTTCCTGCACGTTCCGGTGCGTTTCCTGCATGTTTCTGGCCGGTTCCAATTAAATCCGCTCATTTCCGGAGGCCGGAAACATCGTCCTGGGCAGTAGCAATTGCTGGCTGTTGTTTTTGCATAAACCAGCCGAAAACGATTGAATGATCTTTTCAATAAGTGCTCAAGTTGATAATAATGAAATCAGAGTATATTTCTTTTTTTCTTCCGATGAAACCATTGGTCTTGAACAATCATTTGCTTACTGTGTCTCAATGGTTAGATATTTTGCTTAAATGAATCATTGAGTTCGAAAACAAAATCATCAATAGATCTGAGAGACAACGAATTTCGTTTCCATATCCTGATGAAGATGATTTAAATTGTATCTTTTCATTTGACACAACATCACGCTTTTCGAAATGCTGTGTTATCATTGATTCCTGTTGAGATATTTTTTGTCCAATGAAAAGAAAAAACAAATCTTTTAATTTCGGTTTTTCTTTAATTTAATGATATATTTTAGGAGATGTATCATGTGTAGTTACAGTGACAAAATTTACGTCATTATATAATCAAAAAAGATTACACGTGCTCGAAGTAACTGGATAGCTGTTGATGATTTTTAAATTTCCTTTGCCAGCATTGGCCAATTGAATGGATTTCAATTGTTGTTGTTCGTATTCGAATGTTTTTTGACGAATACCATCTAGATCATAGAGCGTTTGTTGTTGCTCGGCTGATGTCGTAGTCAAATCCGAATATTGAACGTCAATATCATTATTACCATCTTCTATGTCGAACTCATCACGAACTAGTTTCTTTTCGACACTTGTTGAGTCATCCTTCGGAGATATTTTCATGAATTCCGATTCCACGTTAGCTGCATCGGTCGTATTTTCTGATGAATATCGTTCATCGAGATCTTGAACGAAACAAAAAGCACTGACCCTTCGTACAGTCCTCCGAATTTGGATGTCATCATCATCACCATCGGTATCATTGTCGCTCAAATCCATGTCAACACATTTCTCTATATGTTGTAGAAGTTCGATTGTTGCTGACTGAATCTCTCGTAGTACATTTCTTCAAAGGCAACCAAAAGATTATATACTTATGAAGAATCTTAAACATAATAATATTCGGGCAGAGTATTTGTTGGTACGCTTATATCTACGTATTTTGTCTAATATGAGAATGTCAGATAATCGAAAGATCCGATTTATTGAACCTAAGCATATTGGGCTGAACTCAATTTTGTTTAGAATTTGCATTGTGAAGTCATCTTGTCGTACAGCCTACTTTAGTTTTTCTTTTTAGAGTCTCGGAGTTTCATATTCTCAATGAGCTATGTGAGCATGAGACTCACAGTATGACATGGAGCACACTGGTACAATTTCTTGTAGTCGGAACAAAAAACAAAAATGTAGATCTCGATGCAAACCTTTTTTAAATTCCACATTTTCTACGATAAAGATGTATTGACAAGCGACAAATACCTGCTAGGTAGTGCGTGAATTTTTTCTTGTACATTTGGATCATTCGGATCGGCAATCATTAATGTCAATAAACGTCGATCATTCATAGCTAAAACAACAAAATCACTGTTTGTTCTCATCGATGACACAGAATCGTAGAGAAATAATTTGGCCATTTGTTGACTATCGTCAATACGATGCATGTACAGAATGCGAGGTTTTATGAGAGTAAAAATATAGATTGCTGATTCATTGAAACACATCTGTTCACATTCGTTTTCCATTTGAATCTCTTTATACGAACTCTTTAAACGAATATTGCGCAAAATAATTCGATTTTGTCCATGATCGCTCATTGCGATACAGTTATTTTTCACACAAAATAGATCGGCTTTATGCATGGGAATCATTTCGATGAATCCATTCGTATGAGATTTGTTCAATTCGATTCGACATAATACAAGAGATTTATTATCAAAATGTAACATAATCGAATCTTGACTTTGTTCAGTTGATATATATTTCAAACGTGTTGATGTGAAATATTGACTTGGATTAACATCAATATAGATTAAAACATTTGTAGGTATCCAGAGAGCAATCGATTGTAAATTGTCATCAAATACAACCAGATTTTCTATCGAATCCAATGTAACAATTGTACTCAACAAATTCGAACATTGAATTTTCAATTGTGCACCGTTCGTTCGTTTGAATTCGATATGTTGTTGATCAGAATTCAATTGTTGAACAATCGAACATAATGAACCTGTTTCATTCAAGACGAGAAAATCCCCATTTTTCCTAGAATGAACTCTTATCGACGAATCAAAATCAAGACAAAATATAGGTTCATTATTAAGTGATTCACATGAATAAATTTCTATACGACAATGATTTATAATCACAAGTACAAAAGCCATGTTTGAGTATAATTTGTTCGATGTAATAATAAAATCATTGACGATCAACGAATCCGAAAAGAGACGTGTGGATATAATCGATGTTGAATGTTGATATGACCATGTTATTAGTTCTCTAAATTGAGTAAACACATTTTTTGCATTATAGCAACTATCGGGACAAAAATCAGAACGCAGGATGAGTTTATATTTTTAAAAGATCCATTTTAGTGATACATTCATACTCTCAAGATATTCTATAAGAACTATTTCGGATCATCGGTATGATCGTAAAAGGAAGCAACTATATTCCAATCAGTCTAATATGATAGTTTTATGTCATACCTATCAGGTCTCGAAATGGGCCGCCCGGTCCGGCCCAAAGAAAATTTTCAGATGGGTCGAGGCGGGCCATGAAAAAATGGCCCATTTCGAGGCCTGATACCTATCTCTAATTTCAATTCGAGCAATAAGAAAAAGAATTACCTTCGTTGATTGCCGAGTGTTACTGCGATTGTATCGTAGAGTTTCACATCACCGATTACATGGTTTGCTCGTGGGAATGGTGGCATTTTCTTATATGCTTCACGTATCTGCTCAGTTTGATACATATGAATGACTCCGTTCTCCATTGAACACAAGAAAAGAGATGCTAAAAATTATAGTCATCACGATATTTTTACATTGAATATGTTTTCTATTAGAGAAACTACGAACTTGATGCAACCACTGGTTTGATTCTAGTTACAGACGATGAACTTATATCAATCGAAGCATACAAATCATATGTATGCAGATGATGACATTTCTCGTTTAGACTGTCTTCAGGTTTTACACAATTCCAAACGAATATGTCGATGATACCTCCGCGAGCTGTGTATACAGTATTTCGAGTATTTTCATGCATTGAAACTATATCAAAATGGCCATCGATACGTGCATATGATAAATTAGTATTGTCTATACATTCATGAATTACATACAAATAACTTGTTGTCGTTGCCATAAAGAGTAAAGAATTTAATTGGCTAGAATCGATATTTAATTTTGCTTTATCAGGTAATATGATGCGTTCGATTGGCCTAGGCTCAATTGCAATATCGAACGAGACCGATGTCTTAGTAATATCCTTATCGAATAGAATTTGTTTACTTTGATAAATTTCTTTCAAATCAATATATACGAAATCAATAGGCATGGTGCACTCGTACGTATAAACTAGAGTTTGCTCACTAATAACAACCAAATTTAAATCGTGTCCTATTTGAATCGAACCACGATGAACAAAGGATGATTGATTGAAATCCATAATCGAATAAAAATGTATAGATCCATCTTGACAAACAATAGCAATCATCGGATACATGCGTATACAAAGAATATTTTTGATGGGCGACGGAATCGAATCGATTCGAGCAAACAATTGATTACGTACGAGATCCCAACATTCAACCGAAGTACTATTGATTTCTGTTACGATGCAAAGACCACGTTTGAAATTAAGAATTTCGACTGTCGCATAGCCAACATTCGACATGCGTTCAAATTTAATATCATCATGTGCAGACATGAAATAAATATGGTGAAATGAATGAAGAAGAAAGTACAACTGTTGATTAGATTTAGTTTGATTGCGTTCGTCCGACTGATAAATATTTGTTAATGTTTTCACATTCAAATAGGGTTCGTTTAATTTGGGCAATTTAACATCGAAATAGGTGCGTCCGGATGTCATATCAATGACAACAATTCGATCCGATAGAGAAATGGCTGCCGTTTGATCAGGTGTTAAATCAAGATTGACTACAGGTACTGTGTGTTTATTCATCGAATAGACTAAACCACTACCAGGGGGTCGCATTTGGCAATAAGGTACAATCAAAGAGCAATGATGAATACTTTGTTCGTCGAATTGTTTGATTAGACGAGTTATATTCGGTTTTATACCAAATAAATTAAGAAGACGTGATGAAAATTCAAATACATAATTGTTCGGATATTCTTGTAGGAGATGACCGACGATCATATAAATCATGAATAATATATCGATTTCGCCCTTCATATCAATGACTTCCTTCGACAATTTGTTTATGGTGGTGTGTGGGTGTGGGTGTGGGTGTGATTGAAATAAAGACACCCACACCACACCACACCCACTTCCACATCACACCCACTTCCACATCACACCCACAACCCAAAATCGTTATCAAAGAAAGAACAGACAAGATAGAATTTCTATGCATAGCCAAATAAATGTCAATAGTGTATGAAAAATCAGAGTTCTGTAGAAGTTCAACGGTGGTTGAAGCGTCAACAATTAACAAAATTATTCATTCAAATTTTTTCAATTGCAATATTCATTATTTTTTATCATTTAGTTTTTTTTAAACAGCAGGCATGACAATATGAATGGTTGCAGGTTTCGCAACAATAAACATGATGATTACCACGGCGGCGAACATTGCCACATTTGTCACATTTATAATGACGACCATAACCATAGGGAAGGCGATCACAAACTCTGCCACCACAATGAGAAACAACATGATTGCCATCACATCGATTATTGCAACTTTGAAGCTGGCAAACGAAATGTTTTCCAGGCGAAGGCTGTGGTGTGTTCTGTTGCATTATTGCCTAAATGAAAGCATAAAATATTGATATCCAGGGTGTGGGTATGGAATGTGAATAAGTGGTGAAGATCAACGTTCTCATTGACAACCGTATATCATCTCTTTTCTCCGAGACTGAAGTCTTTGCTCTCAACCGTTCTCTAGGGAGTTCACTCAGGAAAGAGGAACATTGTGAAAGAAGATCGATCGAGCAGTACTTACTGACATTGTTATTTTACGTTTGTGATGTATGTGCTCCTATAATAGCTGGTTTCGGCGAGGTAAATGAGAGTAGTGTACAGCATTTATAATCTATAATTTATATACGAAGTTGAATGAAGTTTCTCAATGATTGCGAAAGAATGGCAAACAAAGTCATGACTCAAATCCATCAGGTAGTGTTCGTTTTCGTACTTATTGACGATGTTATTATTTATTTTAGAATGATTTCTATTCTTTTTCCAAGGTAGAACAGAAAATGTTACACAACATTAAAAAAACCTAATGTAAATATGAATGTCTGGCGTCAATTGCGCAATAACAAGCGTTGCTTTTTCTTTTTTCATAAGTGAAGCAGCACAAACCAAGTTCTATAATTTTTGTCACGAAAATCGAAAAGAGGCTGTTGAGTTAATGCAGATCAGGACTCATATTTCTACGATTGATTTCTATATTTGGGGACTGTAACTGTATTATCTAAATCAATCAATAACACAAATATCTATAGCATGCAGTTGACAGAATGTTGGATACAAACTAATCAAACAGAATTCAAGTTTCTGAAGATGTATTGTATGGTGAATACACCTGGCAAGATCGATGAGTTTTCGGTTTCCAAGAAAGCAGCAGATTTTTCTTTAATTTATATGACTATTTCAACTCCACAATAGTGTGAGAAATGTTATAAGATAAATTCAGAATTGAAATAAAAGTTTTTAATTATTAAGAATAAGTGATCAACAACAATTTATATGAAACTTTGACAAATTTAATCTTCTTTGAATTGTTCGATTGAAAGAGTTCTGAATGGTTTTTAAATGGTATCAATTCAATTGGCTTGTTCGATTTTTTTCTTCTCTCAATGTTAATTGTTCGTACTCCCATCGGTTCTTCGTATGGATCTTGATTTCACGTATCATAGATATATTCTTCTTCTCGTTCTCATTCTCACCATTGTAGTGATAGATATTCCTTGGATGTTCGTATAGATGATGCTCATTTCATGAAACAGATATCATTAATGCTAGTCCTGCCATCATAAATTATCAAAACCTGAATTTAAATCAGGAATTAATAAACTAACTATAAATGATTTCATTACATGTTTCATTTGAAAAGGCTATATTAAACACTCTAAAACAAAGTTGGTACTCTACCGAACCTTAATAGTTCCAAATTTCTCCGCCCAACGATTTTAAGTTCCATGGAGTGGAAAAGGTTCCGTGGTCTCATTTCAGAACTGTTTTAAGTTCAGCAGATTTCATCAAGTTTCATAATATGTCCACGGAACCATTGATGGTTCCCTAAACTCTCAAAAGGTTTCAAAAGTTTATCGGAGTCCCAGAGTCGAAATCCGTTATCAGTTTTTCTATTCGAACTGTCATGGCTAAGAAAATCCGCCGATCAGGAGTCCAAATTTCACATGGTAGACTTTTTATTTCAACTCTGGCGTCAATTCTGGGGTAACTTTGATGTGATGAAAGAGAATAAGTTTTTTCGTTGTTATTGATTCATTCATATAGAAGGTTTCAGGTAAATTTGAGTTCATAAAATAACAGAAATTTGTTTTGTTTAATTATAGAACGCCGCAAAGATGCAATTTCAGGTGAGTTTGATCATGTGTAATTTAATATATTTGATTTGTTTTTTGTTCTAGGCTGATGCTTATACGCAGTTTTAGGTAAGTTCTCTCTTAGCAAATCGAAGAATTATTCGTTTTTGTAATTCTAGGTTAATATAGATATGGAGTTTTAGGTAAGTCTGATTTTGAGAAATAATGAATTTTCGCTAATTTGTTTATTTTAGATTGTTTCAAGTAAAAGAATAGTGAAGTAAGTTTGATCGTATAAAATGATTATATTTATTCGTTTCTGTATTTTAGGTNGATGGTTCTGCACTTGGGTAAAACGCAGAACCTTCAAAAGGTTCTGTCAAAATTTTTATCCTTTTTTTGAGACTTTGAACACATTTGGAGCATTTTGAAAATCTACAGAACCTTTTCGGAGGGTTCTGTAAACCTCCTTTATTTTTTTCAGAGCACTCTAATTATTTTTCTCTTTTTAACTAGGTCTTGCATAGTTTGTCCAGTAGCTGATTCAACATCTATGCGGGTGCTATCTGATGAACAACGGACAATGATTTTCCTTAGTAGGAGCATTTGGGTACCAAAAGGTGCGCGTTGTTGTTCCAACCATCTCTACAAAGGACATCTGTCATATGAAGCCCGATAATCAGTGAAACAATCCAAAGTTGATGATATTATTCTGAATAAACATAATGTAGAGAAACTGATTGATAATTTTCGTTTGGCTCTCAAGCATGCTGGTTCACTTGATTTCGATGACCCAGGAGCTCTTGAAAATGAAACCTATAAAACCATTACTGGACTTGATCGAGGTACTTTATTTAATTGTTTTGAATAAGCTTCTCTGTTTGTCTATTTGGAACTTTAGATCACTTTAATGATTTGTTGGATAAGTTAACTACTATGCGCAATTCTCGTCTTCGCTCTGTACGAGTGGCATTAGCAATATTTCTGGCAAAAATACGTCTTGCCCTTAGCAACCGAGTTCTTGCTTGCGTATTTCGGTTAGCATTCAAACGAAGTGTCTCTCGCATCTGTCATCAAGTACGAGTAGCCCTCATGCAGGATTTCGTACCCTATCACGTTGGCTTTCAACACGTATCAAGAGAGACCATTCTTGCTCAACATCAAACGATGGTGGCAACAGAACTTTTTACCAATGGTCGAGAGCAAGTTGTTCTTATTGCAGATGGAACTTACCTTTTCTGTCAAAAATCATCAAATAATGAGTTCCAACGGCGCACATACAGTCAGCACAAACACCGGCATCTTGTGAAGCCTATGATTATAACTGCTAGTGTAAGTATCTGGGAAAGTTCATAATTTCATCAGAAGATTTTTACTGATTAATAAGGAGCGAGAATAAAGTCCTTTGACAAGAGCCAATTTTCGATTGCTTTGAACAAAGATATCCATATTTCACTGAGCAAGTTCTTATCTTATAGGATGGTTATATCATCAGTTCCTTAGGGCCGTTTTTCACGGATTCATTAAACAACGATGCAGCTATTCTGAAACACTGTATGCTTAACGATGAACAACAGGTGTTGTCTTGGCTTCGCGATAACGACGTACTGGTATTAGATCGTGGGGTAGGAATCGAACTTATAGGGTTGTTGATAATTGTTTGTAATATTACAGTTTCGTGATACTGTTAACACACTAAATCGACTTGGTCTTCAAGTTGCTATGCCTAGTTTTCTACACAATAGAAAGCAGCTCCCTGCTGATGAAGCTAATCGAACTCGATTCGTCACGAAGAACCGATGGGTTATTGAAAGTGGTAAGATTTAAACTACACAATTTAAAGTGGAACAGCAGTCCATAAATACTATTATTTTATCGATGTTTTCATAATTTAGTAAATGGAAAGATAAAACAGTGGAAATTCATGGCTCAAATCATTCAAAACTCGACCATACGGTTTATCAGTGACTATTTAGATATTATTTGTGCGCTTATTAACAAGTACCAATGCTCAGCTGTGAAAGACATTGAGAATGGCAGAGAAATTGCAACGAAGATGCGCGAAATGCTAACAACTGAAAATCGATTACAGGAAAGGCTTGCGAAACACACTGGTACAACATCACTACATTGGTCAAAGCACAACGCTGCCAATTTTCAATTTCCACCACTGACCGAGAAAAACATTCGTGATCTTACATTTGGTAACATCAGACTAATCGCTTTTAGTATTTTAAACGTTTTCTGTTTGTTAAGGTTCTTATCAAATTAGGATGGCAAAGTCCTACATCATCGAGCACATCAGACAGTCTCAAACAAATGAAGAAGAAATGGAATTTCTCGTTGAACTTTGTAATGAACACGATGACTTAGTTCGAGCACGATTTCAATCACGTCACTCAAACAACAAGAACCATATTGCTACTGTACAATTCGACAACCACAAACAACAGCCGATCGATGCATGGTATTGCACTTGTTCTGCAGGTGCACGAGAAGTCGGGATGTGCTCTCACATAACAGCCCTTCTATGGCACTTAGGTGTTAACAAAGCTGTTATTTCAACCGATAATCATCCGCTCTCTGCATCGCGATTGATCAAAGCCATCGACGACAGCACACACTTCAGCGAAAATGACACCAACTCAGACGACGACAATGCTTCCGCTCGCAATGACTCAGATACGAACAACAGCGAAGATGATCTATCCTGATGAAAATAAGTTTAAAGATAACTTCACGTATTTGTATTTTCGTGCAACTGTTTACTAAATAAACACGACTCTCTGGCATTGTTCAAGCAGCCAAGCGTCAAGACTGCTGCCATCTTCATCTTTAACAATTAATAATTCGTAGTCCCAGTGAACTTGCCAAAAAAGTATATAAATATCATGCATCCTCAACCTGAAAATAGTACCATTTTGTAGAGCTTTTCAAGCTCTATCGATTGAGATATAAATCATCTTGAAGCAAGAAATTTATCTTATGCGAGTATACTGGCAGAAAATCCAGACTACAGGGACTTTCCTAGATTTTCCACAATATTGGCCTTATAGTCGTCCGGTGGCCATCGTTTTTTTGAATTGTAAATAGTACCATTTTGTAGAGCTTTTCAAGCTCTATCGATTGAGATAGTTTTTCAAGTTTTAGGATAATGTTTTTCTTAGCGATAGTAAGCAATTTCATTTTAGATATCTATATAAGTGACCTATTAAATCACGCTGTATATTTGATCTATGAAATGTTTATAAAACGCTTTATTTTCTAAGTAGAAATGATCAGCGCATTTGTTTTGGTAGTTCCGTGCATTTTTTCAATATCTTCAAAGAGAAAAATAAAATGGGCCGATTTGGCTTCTTATGCGCCCCTCTCCTTTCATCCTTGCAAAAGTTAATCAAGTTATTACAAAAATTATGTTTGATACTGGTTCAGCTAAATCTTTTATCAAAAAATCTATTCTCTAACAAACAAATCATGTTAATACACAATTTAAACAACAATCATATTTAACGACTGATGGCAGTTCAACATTTAATATTCTTGGTACAACAGAAATATTTATCGAATTTGAGAAATCATGTACTAGTATTATTGCTGGTGTTGTTGATACATTATGTGTCGATTGTTTATTAGGAATGGATTACATCAATAAATATTATGTAAATCTCAACAACAAAGAAAAACAAGTTCAAGTCCATATTCAAGATATTATTGTTGATCTTCCAATGGAAAATACAATGAAGACTATTAATGTACCTGGTCGAGCAAATGCATTCACGTATTTTCATCCAAATCAAGAAAAACCAATACAAATTCTTCTAGACTCCGCTCTGCATAGATAACGACTGATAGATAAAAATATGAAGCAAAAATTCATTTTCTCGATGGTGGTTATAGCTAGATAATTCGATTATTGCGAGCTTGTAGTGAACACAAATGATAATATTACAAAGAGTATGAAGATATTCATTTCGATCTTTTTCTCTTCAATTGAAATAAATATCTATTAAAAGATTCGACACTTCAGCGTATCTCTCACCTTAAAAGAAAGCTATTCAATGATCAGGTATTTAATGTATAAATAATTAAATCTTGCACATGATTCGTTTATGGTAATATAAAATTGAATGTTATTGTTATAAGACAAAAGAAAAAAAAATTATGCATATAAATTATTAATTATACTTTTGATCCAAGGCAAATAGGCGGATACTCGAACATAGACATTTGGTGGTAAATCTTTTTTTGTTTTACAATCGCTGACATAACTAGCTACACCTTCTATAACTGATTGACTCCCAGGTCGATCAACCTGAGTCGTAAACGGCCGTATACCTATCATTCACAGTGAAAAACGGCGACCGTATTTTTTAGTCGTTTACTGTTGCCGTAAGCGAAGTTATACGATGAAATACGATCGTCGTAAACGAGGACCGTGAAAAATCTCCGTGAACGGCCATCGTAACTAAACGCTAATCGTAAACGACTGTCGGATATCACAGTAAACGGTCGTTTACGATGACCGTAAAAATTCCAGGAAACGATTGCCGCTTTTCTATCGTATACTTTTGTAAACGGTCGTTTACGATGACTAGCTGCTCGCTTAAAGTATAGTAGCATTTTTTAGATTGTAGTTTACTCAAGCTATCTCAGTAAAAAGTATTAAGTGACCATCTGGTAGGTGAAGTTAGCATCGCATTCGAGCAAACCTTTCGATGCTCTTTAGAGCTAATTTTACAACGTCCATACTCATATTACTATTAGAACCTCGTATATCCTATCGAATAGTATATTTCGATTAACTAGACTTAAACCATTCTCCTGAAATCTCGAAAAATCCAAAAAATCCTGAAATGCTTTTTTTTTGTAAAATCCGGCCATAGTCACTTCGACCAATGTTCCAATTCTCGTACCTATGCTCCAAGTGGAACTCGATGAACACTATCCAGTCATGTTCACATATTTTCCGTAGCTCGAAATTAGACTTCACCGCTGATAAGATAATACTGAAGAAATCTCAGAAGATCCTACTTTGAGCTATGAAAAATCTGCCGAAATCATTGAATAGATCTACTCAAGTTGTGTTACGATCATGAGTGAGTACTCAGAACAACGACTTTGGCGAGTATGGTGCTAGAATTTCATAGGAAAATAAATGTGGAANGAAAAGCTGATTTAAATCACAGTAAAACTCAACTTACAATCAATATAAATTAACTGTATTGGAATGAGTTTGCGTGAGTTTCGGTGCCTTTGAATGATTTTCAGTAATAATTTATGATTTGGAATAGTTTTTAGTTAGTTTAGCAAATTTTTCGTTTTCTCAAACTCATTTTAAATCAGCTAAACTCAGAAAAATCATGAAACTCATAAATCGCTTTTCCCCCCTTGCTAACTAGCCAATGTTGTTTTTTTAAAACAATATTTTCCCCTGAATGTCATCATGATTATTGTCGAGCAAATCTTTGGATTAAATCTGGATTCCAACACGAAATTGAGAGCAAAGAATAATAACGATAGATTATTGTCTATTTTCTATCTCGTATTAAACGCAATCCACCCACAGTTGAATATCTCAATGGTGTTGTTCCCTTCTCTATACCACTTGCATGACTGGCTCAACTGTTTATTTTTAAGGGTACACTTTATTTTGAAACAGGTGACGAGCAAACTGTCTATGGTCAATGTTTAAATGTATGTCCAAAACCCCGAACAATTGAGAGAGAAGAAACATTTTTAAAATGGTTGGATTGCTATCGATGGTTTTGTCAGTGATGCTAAGCATCGTAATTATTTGAAAATGAATCAAGTTTAATTTACATGCAATCTACTGACATTCGTTAAGCAACTGATGGTAACTGAAACTCATTTGATTCAACAAAGATTCAACGTACAATAAACATATTTAATCGAGAGACGGAGATTCGTGTTTTTAATGATTTTCAGTTAGTAATAATAGATTTTTTGTTCTGTGGAAAACTATAGCCAACATATAATGTGCATTGCTGAGACAGAAATCATAATGATGAACTCCCTACAACTTGTCATCAACAGAGAAAGATTTCATTAAAGTACATATTCATCGACAGAAGCGATAAATATCACAGTCGAGAGCCAAACTGAATCTTCAATACAGAAACACTTTCAAAAGTTCTCTGCAAATATCAAATAGCTGATTGGCAGTGATGCTGTTATTTCTGTTTGTTTCACAATTTTGTCAGCAAATAATCTAACTATATCATTATGTACTGTATTTGTATTCATTGCTGCGAGATCGACAGCTGTATTTGACCAAACTTTGATTATGATTACATCGCTTGTTACTTCGATCGTACTTATTTTCCGAAGAACTTCCATGGATCTTATAAAGAGCTAACAATGTATTATGTCCAACATCAAAATCCTCATATTTAGCTACATTAATAAGTTGATTGATAATGTCCCTAATCGAAGAGCAACACAAGTGTTGAATTCAGCTAATTTTTAGACCTACGCCATAATATGGAGTCTCCGAGACCTCCTTTTTTTCCCATTCGATTATGCCATCTATAATTGTCTCTTATCCATAATGGTTGACATAGTGTGCCAATAGATTTTTTTGCGTTTCCTGTTATTATCAAATTTTGTTGTTGGTCCTTTCTCTTATCGCCACATACAAACGTATAATCTATTCAATACAAGAAAAGTAGAAAACATTTTTTTTTCTATCAGTGTAGAGGCATTTTTCTTAGCTGAGACACAAAAACATAGCAATATGCCAATGAAAAGCGATTATTTTACATTAGCACCGGATATCAATATTTATTATGAACTTCATTTTTCACCACCACCATCAAATTCATCAACAAAAATAATAATGATAATGGGTGCATATGCAACGTTAAGAAATTTTGATGAGAGTGTGGAATATCTTCTTGAACATTATCCATCATCAATAGAAATATTGACTTATGATCATCGAGGAATAGGCTATTCAAAAGGACCAACATTAGAGAGACAAACAACAAGTTTATTAGCTCGTGATGCTTATCAATTAGTTAATCATGTATGGGGTAACCAGAGTCCCGTGCATGTCATCGGTGTGAGTTTAGGTGGAATGGTAGCACAAGAATTAGCTGTTATGTTAATTCCCGAACAACGTCTTTTATCGCTTTATTTGGGAGTTACTACACGTGGTAAGAAAATAGTTGGTTGTCTTTTTTTTTGATTGAGTTCCAACAGTGATAGAAATAAAAGAAACTCATAAGTATATGTTTGAAAAATTATCAGAAAATTTCAAAACTTCTAACCACTCAACGAATTTTCTATGTTGTTAATGGTAATTGAACTGAGATGGGTATCTATTTAATATGAGGGATAACTGTCGTTGATATTATCTCTAATAAGAGTAATAATCAGAGTTGTAATCGGTGTACTGATTTCAATGAGTCATATTTGTGAAAATTATTCAAAATGAAATAAATTTTACAAAAAATTATAACGATAAAGTTTTTCATAGGATGATTTGATATAAAAAACAGCATTTTATTATTTAGTCAACTAAAAAAGGTTTCGATATTCAGTTGCTGTTAGAGACGTGACTAAATGCCTATCCTAACCTAGTTTTTATTCGCTATGATCTAGGTTCGTATATTCGACCGTTTTCATTATTACCAAAATGGTTTTTTTCTCGAATAATCCTGCCTTATTTTTCGATGAAATCGGATAATGAAAAAATGCTACGTTCAATAGCCCCTTACATATTTAATGAAATCGAACAGGAAGAAATGGAAGAACTTATTAAAAAATATTTGACCGATTGCGATAAATGGTTCATATTCCAGGATATTGATGGATGTGCGCAACATAATGTTGCTTTCAATTCGCATTATTTAACAGATCAGCATATACAACAAATCAAAAATGCACAAATACCAGTGACAGTACAAATATCAATGCAAGATAAGCTTTTACCAGCTAGAAAACAACAAGAATTAGCGGATTCACTCAATGCGAAAATCTTGGTCTTAGAACGTGCTGGTCATACATTTAATAGAGAAAACCGATTGAAAATGTACGAAAGTATACTTCGACACATTCAAAGTGCAACTAACTAAACTAAACTCTTCATCTATTGGTAGACTCGTCATTTTGTTTAATTAATTCTCCAGCTTTATAGTGTAAATTAGCGCAGTTTAGAAATATAGAAGACTGATTCATAGATGAGTTCCGGCTAATTCTAAGTGGTGTAAATTTGCGCATTATTTATTTGTGAATAATATTAAAAATTTTATCACATGTACCCAATGTACTTTTCATGGAAATAATAGTAAATCTGATTCTTAATTCATGATTAATGACAGTGATGGTAATGGTGTATAAAACTACCATGATGTCGGCATGTCTTCTTGACAACGAGCTTTAATCAGATGGAATTTTAATCGATTCCATTACCAAAGTAACGATCGATTGAATCGACAACTTTTTATACAGAAATTGCCATCACGCGTGATTCCTCTTTGCTAAAGGGGCTCGTTCAGATGACTTGACTATTTAGATTGGTCTGTTTCTAATTTGCCCACACCCACACCCACACCCAAAAAATAAACGTTGTTTCCCAAAAAGCAATTTTTTGCTGATTTTTATACCCTCTCAGTTTTTTGCCGTTTTCTCCATGAAGATTTTCTCGAATAGAAAAAGTAAGTAGATATTCGTGATCAGCTTGAAACACCGAATCTATTGATATATATTTAAGCAAAAAATAAGAAGTGCTGTAATTTTGAATTACGCGCACCTTACTTTGAGCACGTTTGATAAACACATGTGATAAATATTTCTGAATGAGACTAGATAAATGTTGAACACAACTTTTCACAGTTCCTTCAGATTCTTCCTTCTATGAGCGACCATTATTATCGGTCCATTGAAGCCATTGGATCTTTATCGTGAAATCGACAATATTTCCTTCAAATTTTATCTCGAAAAATTTAGAACATGTCTTACACTTTGAGAACACACATACTTCATTCGACTCATCACACACCAAGGAACTTGTAAACGTGTGCAAATCCGAGCAAAATCCACCCTTCAGATGTTTTGCTAAAGCTTCTAACAACAGATTCACATTCTCGTGATAGGCACACACTCATACACGATGGCTCATCAATGCTTTGGTCATTACATATTGTGGGCGTAGTTCAGCAAAACTCGTTTTAGAAAGGTCTAAAGCTAGAATGCAGCAAGATTTAATCGTGAAAATTATTTTCTGTGACAGCAGATCATACCAGAGCCAGAACGTTCCGATAAAAACAATTGATGTACTTGGCGAATGTTGTATAGTAAAATTCGTTTTTGATGAGTCGATTTTGTTCCATTCTACCTGGCAATGATCGTGTCTCTTTTTCCTGGCATTTGATAAGATATGTCATCTCGACAATAAAATTTAACAATATCATCCTTCAATTTACATGATAAATGACAGGTGTCACGTTTGTGAAGAGATGGTCCTAATAGCCCAATCGACTGAGTAATTGTTTGAATGACTAGCTTTTGTTTTGCTGGATCTTGTGGGAGATTTTTTTCACTTTTTTGGCAGATTTACCGAGGCTTTGCTTCGAGCCAAATGATGCACTAAGCAAAATAAAGCGAGCACATGCTACCCGTTATCAGTATGCGTAAAAAATACTTTGATTGATGCTTGTTAGCAGCACGAGTACGTTTACGAGCTGCTGCATCATGATTACGATACTGTTCTCGTTGAAAATCGGATAATTTACTACGAAGATTTTGCGTTCTTTCACGATTTTTTGCTTTCACAGTGTTATGACGACCTTTTCTCTTCAAATTTTCTCGGTTACGCTTCTGTTTTTGAGCAGCAGTGAGCTTCATGCTAAGCAAGTATTTTACGAATCGATGTACAATAAATTTACTATATGGAGAAAAATTCTATAATTAAAAAAAACATAGCTATTGCAGATATTTCTCACAAAATTCCTTCAAAAACCTAGGTGCTTGTATCTCATGCATTTCATTTCCAATAAAGCAAACAGCAACAAAAACCATGCAAGAGTATCTTAGAATTCAAATTTCAGTTGAAACAAACAAATTTTAGTCGATCTATGTATGCATTAATTTGAGGTATCAAAACAGTTGTGTCTGTGCGTTACCAAGTTTCTCGATACCAAAGCAACGGAACCAGAAACTAATATGTGCATTGGATAGCCCATCAAAAGTAAGCAGAAGATTGATGAGAGCTTGAAAAATAATCAGTCGTTTTACCGCCAAAAAATTCACTAAACTCGATTTTCGGTAACGCACAGACATAGATTTGGTATAGTTTTTCGAAAGTATTTTTCTCATAACAAAGAAAGTTTGAAAAACTTTTAAGTAGACTACAAGAAAGCCCAAATCCTGTGCCTGCAAAATTATATAAGATGTTTGATGATCATCACTTTCCTTCTCCCGCTGTGTTCATTTGTCTTGCAGCATGATGAATCATGAAATATTAGTAACTGATCCACAACTTTGTTTCGTCCATATTTTTCGGTGTAATAAGTGTCAACAAATAGAAAAAAAGATAGTGTCCGATGCAGAAATGCGCGCTCTACAATTTGATAACCTTCAATCAAATTTGTTGAATTTTAACTTCTACTTTAATCATATTGGTTGACCGTTACGCGTTTTGGCTGTATAGTTGAAGTTCTTCATTTAAGAAATGAAGAGAAATACCACAAAAACTCACACCTGAAAGAGTAAGTAGAATTAATCATAATTTTATTTTACTTTCAGTGTGTTAGTATTTATATGACATGGTTAATATTGTAGTCAAAATCATATTCTTACCAGAGTGTGATTCTGTCCAAAAGTTCACTACGATAGAGTAGGGTTTGATATTCTGACAAAGACTTATTAATTGAGATTTCCTGCTAATGAATAACCTGTCGATATTTCGACTTACCTAGAAATAAATAAGTATAAATGAGATAGTTTCAGTTTAAAAAGAGGAAGATGTGTACTCTTTTTTTATAATTATTAACAGTATTTACTTACAGTTGTTGGATGTGGTAGTAAATCGGAAACATTGATATTTTGTGATTTTGACAGTTCTTGTCTAGCATCAAATATAGTTTATGCTAAATTTATAAAACCATTACAACCAACAAGTTCAAATGCACAATTATCCATAGCAACTAGTTCAACAGTTGCATTTAACACTTTTGTCTTGCTTCTTGTTGAAACAGATCTGGTTTTACGAGAAGAAAAATATTCATTAATAGTTAAACTTTAATTATTATTGTTTATTGAATTTTTTGCATATGATCGAAAATGCTTCATCATACTACTTGTGCCATCAATTGATTTGTGATGTAGAATATCTTTACATGCATCACAAGACACAAAATTTTGCTGTTGATTATCAACATAAATAAAACTAAAATTTCGCCAAACTAGTGCTGCAGCTGTTGTTGGTTTAGCATATGTCACACTTGCATCATTACTTTTAATTAGCACCATAATCTTTTCTTTTTTCAATAAGCCATCGGACATTTTCACAACAGTACGTTTTTCTCGTCAATACTAGTATATTAAAATGTAAAAAAATTAAGTGTAAAAAATAAAGAATTATTCACATCTATGTTTATCATAGAAAATTATTCTTTGTTTTTATATTTGTGGTACGATGAACGTTTAAATTAATACGTGGATGGAAAGCTTACTAAAGTAATTGAAGTTACGAAAATTATAAGTCATAGATGACCCTAGTTATCAGTAAAAAAATGACGGTTCCAACGGTTCCGGTTCCGGGTAACAGAATCTTGAAAAATCGGTTCTTGGTGTGGTTCTCGGTTCCTTTTTTTCGGGAACCTCTGGGCTCTAGTGTGGGTATGCCTACTGATCTTCTCTTTACGCACAGACACCAACGCCGCACACCCACACCCACACTCTCATGAAACAACTTCTCGAAGGCATTCAGAAGCCTGAATAAAACCAAGTCGGCTTTCAACGAGCCGATGAGACTCCTGTTATTGCCACTGAAAGACCAGTTGAACGCGACTGCAACAATTTAGCCGAAACTTTGCTAACTCGACAAAGTATCGAATGGCATTCTTATTCGGACGTTGAGGTGATCATCATTGAAGAAGCTTTTCAAAAGAGGCTTAAACAGGCACTCTCGGATAATTACTACATTGATTTCGAAAACTTCATCGAGATATCTTACAACAACCCTGAAGATCAGAGGGTTGTGAAACGAACATTAAAGAGGCGAACAATTTTAGGACTGAGGAATGATAGATTCTCTCAGAATCCCATTACCCCTTCGACTTCTTTTACGAAACGTCTGTTCGCTGATCGCGAACCATTCTTTAACGCGTTCTATAAGCATATCAACCTTTCCGACAGCTTGAATTTACTTAGCGATGGCGCCAAACTTGGGTTGATACTGGAGAAGGCAGCGCAGGGATTAATTATTGAAGCAAAACATATAGGGGAACAGAAAGAAGGTGAGTGGATGGCACAACAGTTACTAAAAGTGACAACTTTCGAAGAAGCATGGAAATGCTGCGCTCGTCTCTACTGTATGGAATCTTTTCTGTACAAGAAACTGAATGAATGTATGCGATTGGTGGGAGAAGAGAAGCATGAAGCTGTTTGGAAAAGTAAAGTGCCCACATTTGGCCCGCTTGCTTTCCTGCTACGTTCACCAAAAAGCTATAATGCTACAGAAAATATCACAGTATATAGGGGAGCGAATTTATCGAATGATCAAATCGAACAATACCGAAACAACATTGCCAATGGTGCAGAACGACGATACGCTCAGTTTCCAGCATTCACATCATCCAATCGAAGCCGCCCTAAAGCTGAACAGTTTGCTAATAATGCTCTCTTTATTATTGAGATCAGTAGTTTCGATGGGCGTGATGTTTCACCATACTCGAATTTCGATGAAGAAGAACAACAAATCGATCCTTATTTCAGCTTTTACATTCGATCGTGCAACTCTATCGAGCCCAATAACACGTGGAAAATACATCTTCACTCTGCTTAGACAAATATGTATATCGCTTCATTACCAGCTACTCTCAAAAGTCGCCAATAAATAGTCTTAGCACTTTTCCTCATATCGGTGAATGTGATAGTGGATTTGAGTGGGTAACATAGCCATAGATGGGACCAGTACTAGTAACCGACCGGTTCGGCTTGGTACACGGTACGAGTTTCAGACTGACCGGCCGGACCTTTTCAGACTAGCACCAGTACCTGCCATGAGAAATCCAGACTGGCACCATCTCAATATCAATTATACGATACAACTTGACACATCAAATGTGTCATGCGATAAACCGAACTTTGTATATCCAAAGTACTCTTTCTCTGGTAGAGTGAATTGTAAATATATCATTCGTTAGCGGCAGACCAGTCGGTCGTCGGTAAACCTGTCTGTTACCCGTATACCAGCCGATCCGATCTTCAGAGTGTGGGTGCGGGTGTGGATATTCACTTCTCTTTTTTCACACCCACGCCCACACCCTTTTCCAGGAAGCGTTCTGGAGATCAAGTTCGGTGACAAAAAATGCCCAGCTCGTCGAGATCTATCAGGCTATATATAATCGTCGAGGTACTGAGTATTTTTTCTATTGGGGTCGATTTGTAGACAAACCCTCCCCCTCCTTTGTTAAAATATTAATCAACTATATATCAGAATTATAAAAACAAACATATGATGAGAATTTTCAATTTTTGGAAAAGAAACGTGTTCTTAGAAAAAAGTTCTGCAATAATCTCGCTATTTAGACTTAAAGATGTACTTTAACAAGGAGAAAAACTCTTGTGATAGTACTATTGGAGAAGGATACACTTGGAGAGACTACGCTGCCAAGGAGAATGATGTAGATATTGTGAGAATGATTCGTCGTTCGTTTGTGAATACACACCAGCAATCCTTCTCGATGCTTATGTGCCTTGTTTTTAAAAATTTGAACTTCTTACCGATTCATATATTGTTAGGTGGCAGTGTGGCACTGTATGGTTTGTCTGATCATTGCGCCATCTTTTGTCTATTCATATGCATGATTTCCTCCATTATCCCATTGTTTCTCTTATTCTTCCTCTCATATACTCGTGTTGTTGTTTTTGTTCTGTTTTATGCCTGAGTCAGTTGTGTTTCTGCTCTTCAAGAATAAACAGGTTTCGTAGTCGATTCACGCTACGTAACAATATCCACCACGTTCCTACTGTAATTTTATGAAAACCTAGTACTTGTAATTACGATAACAAGAGATCGTTTTCGTATTTTAATAATATAGGTCTTTTTTTCGTTCTGAAATCAAAGACAATGCAAACACAGATATGTATTGTTGTTGCCCATCTCTTTCGAAAGTCTATGCGCAAACAAGTAATTAAAATTTAGGACGACTTGCTTATCAGTTAAGTAAAATATAAATATATGGAAACGAAAAAGCTTTTTAGTACATATACAATGATCCATATATATATTTTAGAGAAACATACAAATCAACAACTTGACACGATGTCGAACACTGATATGCGCTCTCTTCATACATTACCGGTAGAATTGGTTTATCGGATTCTTGACAACCTCAGCTTGAGTAACATTGTATGCTCACTGCTGAATGTTTGTACAAAACTAAACGGAATTGTGAAAACCTATCATCGAAATGAGGCAGATTTCATCTATATAAATTTTAGCATCTTGGAAACATTTTACAAATTGGACAAATGGAAATCATTTACTTTGATCTGTCACTGTTACGTGTCGAACAGAGAAGGGAAAATAATTTGTTTTGTATCTGAAAGAAGGACTTATCTATTGAGTTCGCTTCATATAAACACTAAAACGGCAAAATCATACCATAGGTCTACTTTTCCCCATTTCGATATATGATTCGCAAAATTGCTATTTATTGATAGAGATGTATACGTTAGCAGGGTGAGGACATTCACAGAGAAGTCGTGCTCTGCCGGTGAAGCGGCTGAAGTATCGAAAGAAATCTTCGTTTTTATTCAATGCACATACACTGCCATACGTAGTGTATAACTTGATAATGTTGTTAATATAGCTATCATCATGATTGGCTTCAATGGATTTTGCAAGTCTCTTTATTGTACCTATAGGTCTTTTTTCAAACATTTAAGTGATTTAGAAGTATATGCATTTTGAACATTCTAACCTTGAAATTCTAAATCGACTGCAAAAATTTTCCAAAACATTCCAGATTTTAGAATTTCTCAAATTTCCGAACAAAGATTTGTATCTTTTAATTAATAAATTTTAATTTCACTAGACTATAAAAAAAAGTTGCAAAATATTTGTAAGAAATCTGGCAATATATGAAAAATCCAGAAAATAAACTTTTCTTAATATGTTCCTGTTGTATTACGAGATGACAAAAGAGTTTTCACTTCTTCTTCATTTCTTACATATCTATTTTCATCTCTATTTACAGACATTCACTAGGTTGAGCATTACCATGAAGCACATCACAGATACAGGAGCTCAATACGTCGCTACTGTATTACGAAATAACACGGTGATCATCCGCATTTCCTGTTAATCTCTCTCATATATATCTTCATTTCTATTCATAGACACTCATCGAGCTGGACCTTCAGCAAAATCGCATCGGAGATGTTGGTGCTCAATCTCTGGCTGAGGCAATACTACAAAGCAAGGCGATCATTCTTATTTACTCTCCATTTGTCTCTCTTTTATCAGTCTTCATCTCTTTTCACAGACACTCACCAAACTGAACCTTCACTGCAATCGAATCGGAACTCCTGGAGCTCAATATCTCGCTGAAGCCTTACGACATAACGAAGTGATCATCCTTATTTCCTCTTTGTCTCCCGTATATATTTATCTTTATCACTATTCATAGACACTCACCGAGCTTTATTTTGCCCAAAGTTCAATCGGAGATGTTGGAGCACAATATATCGCTTATGCTCTACGAGATAACAAGGTGGATATCCTCATTCACTCCTTCATCTCTTTCTCATACATATATCTTCATCTCTATTCACAGGCACTAACCAGGCTCATCCTTGGACGTAATCAAATCAGAGATGCTGGAGCTCAATATCTGGCTGATGCACTACGGCATAACAAGGTATTTCTCTTCATCTTTCGCTTGCACTAATCTTCATCTCCATTCATAGGCACTCATCCATCTGAGCCTTGGTGACGATCCAATCGGAGACGCTGGAGCTCAATGTTTGGCTGACGCACTACGGCATAACAAGGTATTTCTCTTTATCTTTCGCTTATAATCATATTCATCTCCATTTACAGACACTCACCGAATTCAGGTTTAATAGCGATCAAATTGGAGCTACTGGAGCTCAATATCTCGCTGATGCACTACAAGATAACAAGGTAATCATCCTCATTTCTCTTCATCTTTCGCTTATATTCATCTTCATCTCCATTTACAGACACTCACCAAACTGAGCGTCGGGGGCAAGCAAATAGGAGCTGTTGGAGCTAAATATTTCGCTGATGCATTACAAAATAACGAGGTGATCATCTTCTTTTCTTCTTTATCTTTCTCATATTCATATTCATTTCTATTCACAGACACTCAAACGGTTCTACCTTCAGGACTCCAACATCGGATATGCTGGTGCTCAATATCTCGCTGATGCACTACGGCATAATAAGGTGCTCATCCTCATTTTCTCTACATATCTCTCTCATATCTATCTTTATCTCTATTTACAGACACTCTGGACATTGTTGATCTCCCGTATGAACAATATTTCTTCATCACTTTTAGAAAAATTGAAGCAACAAGACTCACGATTCACCTAATAATTAACTGCTTTTGATTTTCGTAATTAATAAAAAAAGTATTGAATCTCAAATATTTTTGCTCACACGCGCGCGCTGCCTGATGGATGTCTGCAAATAGTGGCAACATGGCCATACACTATAGACATTTTTCTGAAATACTTTCGTGAAGATATGTGATGAGTATACTAGTCTATGGAGTTACCATTTGATCAGTCATCTCTCTCAGTACGAGATAGTATTACATCTATCAAACAGCAAGCGTACTACCTTTTTACGAATGCTAGAAGCATGCTAAAATGTATATTCATGAAGACGTTCCTCGAGAGATTATTTGTTCAGTATCACTATTGACATCAACAAAAACTTTTTACTGTTGCACATATCAGTGATGGGATCGGTTCGTGTTTTTTTCGAACCGAACCGAATCAAACCGAAAAAATCTCAAACCGAGCCGAACCGAACCGATTAAAAGATAAAAAAAAACGTTTGTCGATTTCTGCTGTTTTGTTTTTAAAGATTTTCATTTATAACAATTTATTGAAGACGTAATTTTAATACTTTCGATAGTTCTAAGAATGACTTAGAAAGCTGAGCTACAGACAATTTTAAAAACATAAACATTTTCGCTTTTATGTTAGAATTATTTTTCAATCAGAAATGACTGCAATGCATTTTTAGTGGATATCCAATTTTTTTTGTTAATTAAGAACGAATCACTACATTTTTGTTCATCGTTCAGTGTAAAGAGTAGAATTTGTTTCAACTAGCAGGTTATTATTCATTGAATGACGTTGTGTGAGAATGTCATATAAAGTAGGTTTTGAGAAATAATTTATATGTTACACTTTCCAGTCTTTGTTCTGTACTTTTCTAGTTTACCATTTCGAATTGACGAAACACTTGAAAATAGTAACCTAATGATGATGGGAAACGCATCTATTGAATAGGAAAAAATTTGCCCTTCAAAATATAACGATTTTTATCAAAAGTTTAAATTTTATTTCGTTTTTTACAGTTTGAGGAGTCATAACTACTATGACTGGCTAAACTTGAAAGGTCTGAAAATCTCAGCAAAATTATCCATTTTTAAATATTAGTTAGATACTTTTTTTCTCACTTTCTTGTTGTATGTTAAAGATTATTTTAAAGTTCAAAACAGAGCAATGTTTAATTAGTGAATTAAAAACTAATACAAATTGATAATCAATTAATATTTGTTTATATATATATATGAGTGCTTTCTACTAAAATGTTGCCTGTAAACGTATATACTGAGATGAGCAAAACTATTACTCGTGTCTGAAGATTTATGAAACAGTTGGTTGAATCATAAAAATGTGCTATACTGTCTTCAAGCTAAACTAACTCATCAATCATTTTACTTATTTTATTCAAAAATATTGCGAAGTTTTCGATCTTGTTCAAACAGTCAATGTCAGCACTAATTTGACATGAAAGAGAAATACTCATAGTTCATGCAACAATTTTTATTCTTATTTTTATTTTTTGTTCTGTTATGAACATCGCACCGAGGAAACGAATTTCTCCCCTTCGTAATACAATGTGCAGAATAGAACGAAAAATAAAAATTGTTCTATATATTATATGTAATTTTCTTTCGTCTAAATTTAGTATTGATAATGACCTTTTGAACGCAGTCGACAGCTTCACAATATTTTTGAATAAAATAAACAAAATGATTGATGAATTAGTTTACTCATTTATATTCCATCATACGATATAGATATACTTTGTTCATTCACTTTTAGTGAACAAGTTAAAAAATAGATTAGAATATATATCTAAAAGAAATCGGTTCCGAACATTTGGAACCGAACCGGTCCCATAACTGATACAAAATAAATCAGGGTGTGGGTAATGGTTTGTATTGTGTTTATACTCACAAACACCCACACCCACACCCCTACTAAAACAAGAGCGTTTTTTAGCAATTTTATACTTCTTTTTTTCATTTTTATAGGAAATATAGAACGAATCCAAGGCCAGGACGTTAAGAAGATATTATTAACTTATATATGTAATTGGTAGCAGATTATTGGAAGATTTTGTAGCTAGATTAATAATTCTTCACATTTACCTAAAATTGTTTTTTAAAAATCTATTTGAGGATTTCTTTTAAGATAGATCGCAGTTTTACGCCTAGCTTGTATGAAAAACATATCAAATTGTTAGTCTATTTAATAAAATTGAGACAAAATCAAAAATAAAGTTGATTAATTAATAATTTTAGTAAATAAGAAAACTATTCTTTCCTAAATAAGAGCATAAATATAATTGAAATAGATGTTCACTTCTTATAATGAGAAAAAAATATATTAATTAACTCTCATGCTTAGCAAAATTCCCTTGAAAAACAGCTATTTGTATGTTGTCGATTGACATTTTGGCTCTCGTGTAACTAACAAAATCCACATAAAAATCATAAAGTTTATTTGTGAAATATTTTCAAATTAATGAGCTCATCATTCCGAAGGATTTTTCTGCTGAGAACACCTGAAAATTCCTGGTGAGTCTGATGAAAGTTGAGTTTTAGGGTGTCCAGCAAAATCTGCTGAAATTATACATTTACCCCAGTGACACCAGCGTGATTATACAGTCACCCCATATGAGGTGAATATTTTCGATATTTTACGAAATTTTATTTTGGAGCTGCTTTTGCTAGCTTTCTAAAAACACGTTTAATTTTGACTTAGAGAGTTAAGATTAGTTTCGAGCGATAGAGAAATGTTTGAGCTATCGATTGATGAAAAGAAACACACACAAATGAAGCGTCAACCTCTCAAAGATTGTGTTTTACAGAACTGACATAAAATAGCAGGGATTATACATTCACCCCAACGAGGGTGAATGTAAACTCGAAAAATCGTGATCAAAGAATACCCTGTAGATAGCTCTATGTACAGGGTTTTCAGTTGATTTTTGCACCGGTCGATAGAGTGTCATCTTAGCTAGGTGACTTGTGACCAAAACCTTTTTTTAAATCAAAACTAAAAACGTTATCGCAATTATTCTAAGGCATACTATTTTTCATTTTACACTTACACCCACTTACTCTATTTAATCATATTTAATTAGTGAAAATCAAATAAAGATCTACTTTTTTCTAAACGAAACAATAAGAAGTTGACATATCAAAATACAGCATGATCTTTTTATGCGTACCCATAAATGAAATCTTTGAAAAGTAGTCAGAACTGCACCAGAGAAAAGTATTCAAACTATATAGGGATAGAAGTAATTAATGAAAAAGAATCTATATTTAAAAACAATTATAAGTAAGGTTAAACACGATAAAATAAAATACAAAATAAAATGAAGAAATCGTAGTTCCAACCGTGTCAATATACAGTGGATATCAAGTATATTGTTCCTCCAACGTTACGTAAAACTTCTCATGTAAGAGTACGAGTAATGATCTTCTGCAATTTCAAACTCAAGAAAATGATATTCGCGCCGATATAGTCTTTTTGCTAGGATGCAATGGTATATAAATGAAAATTTCAGCATAATACTACTCACTCTATTTTTTCGCAATCGCTTTGCCAAAATCTCTATGTCTTGATCAATCAATTTCTCGGAAGTTAATTTCAATTCGGTCTCGTCGTCTAAACTAGCAGCAAGCTGCTCAATTTCGACGTTTCGATATCTGCGGTGCATGTTGCCGTTGAGATCCTAAAAATAAACATCAATTTGTTGGTCAAGCTCAGTTCATCGTGTGGAATATTAGTATGAAGTGCGTTTTTTCTCGATCGGTAGCACATCGAAAATGGTTCGATCTATCATATCTTTCTGCTACTGCGAAGGAATACAACTGACACTCGTTCAATATTTAGAACTTCTTTTCTTAATGTCAAAATATCACGCACGGATATATGATCATACATATAAAAAGAAGTTCAATAAAGAAATATTTCCGAGCTGTTGTTTCAAATTGGCTACAAACAAAACAACTCAATGCACCGCGACTCAAAAAAAAACATGTTGACGAATATGAAATGAAAATTTCATGCTGGAAAAGAGAAAAACAGTCAATGTTAAAAATGAATTCTACTGAGCGACGGTTGTTAAGCAAACTTGATAAGAAAAAAAATCAAATGCCAGTCGTTCTTTCACCGAAAAAGTAAAAATAATTTGTATGTTTACTTTCACTCTATTAAATAAAGGCTGAAGTAGACTGAAAAAGAAATATAATTTTGTTTTTAGTTGGCCATTTTGCAACCATGTACGTCCTCGTTCAAATCGACAATTGATGATAAGAAAGGAAACATCTCATACGAATATAAATATTTGAAGATGGATAGGAGATTTTCGAAGTTATTCATATGAAATATCCTTCGTAAATATCGACAGATACGTAATATCTTTACAAGGAACAAAATGTGAAGAGAAGAAGAAGAAAATCTCTGAAACTTTAGGCATCACTATTTGTAAATGAAAACGCAGAAGGATTCACAATCCACGTTCGAAATTATATCTAATGTTAAGTTAGAGAATAAAGTTTTTAAACAAACTAAAATAGTCCAATTTGAGTCTACGTCTCATATATTAATCTTAAGGAATTAACAATTTCAAATAGCGATGCTCATGATGAAAAATAGTATTTAGATTAGTCACAAAATGTACAGCAGACTTGTAGTAGTTTAAAACCAATAAAATATATTGAAATGACTTCGTTCTTGAGGGTGTGAGTAAGAAAAGCATAGGATATCTTACGTCAAAATTCGACCATTTCCAGTAGCATTTCGGCCATGTAATTCCTTATTATTGTAGCTTCAAAGCAAGGACATCATTCGCTACAACTCACTATCAGCGTAATTAATCATGACTTTTATTTCAATCCCGCATGCAAAGTCCATATTCTACATAAATCTCATTAAACAGCTCTTAGCAAGTTTCTATTCATATTTCTACAAACATTTACAAAACAGCTTATCACACCAATGAATTCGATGGGTGTGGGTGTGGATGTGAGGTGATCTTCTTTTCAGTTACACGCACCCACACCCACACGCTACCGTGGTGATGGTGGATATAGGGGCAATAGATATAATTATCAATATAAAAGTTATTATAGCAATCGAAATAATAATAATAGTAATAACTATTATCATCGAAATGATATTGTTCTCAATCAAAATTGTCAAAAACGTTTTCAACAACGTTACAAACGTGCAAATATAAACAATGGTTATCCTCGCAATCAGTATCTATATGAAAAAACAAAATTTGTTAGAAGTCCAAAAACAACTCGTTCTACATCGAGGCAATGACAACCACAACAACGACAGCGGCGTAGAAGTGGATCAAGCCAACTACAATTAAATGATTTTATGCCACCACAACTACGCGATGCATCACCAGCAAATATGCCGAATCTGTCAGTAAACTTTAATTTAACAACTTCTAATACAACAGCAACGAATACAAGTTCCAATATACCGGTGGGTGCTCTACCACAACGGTCAATTTTTGCGACACAAGCAATACGAACAACGAATGATACAACTCAACGATTTAATGTTTATGATGACTCTAATGAAAACGTCAATGCACAACAGCCGAAACAGAAAAAGAAGAATAATCAATCAGAACATCAGACGACTACTACGACTACAGCATCGTATAGACGTCGTCAACGTCGAAATCGTCAACAACAATATCATAATACAAATGATCGAAATGATCAAAATTTTAATCGGTTTGCTGCATTAGAACAAAATGATGCATCAACAGATATCGAATCAAATTATGATGAAGGTGACGATGAAACAATTGATAGTTCTTCAAGAATAGAAGATAATATGGTTGATTACAGTGAAAAAGAACAGATAAATAAGACAAACGTTAAAAATGGTCAAAATAAAAATGATTAAAATCAAAATAGAAATTATCAAAATAATAGAAATAATAAAAATAATAACAAAGATGATAAAAATAAGCATAACAAACTTAGAAGACGAATTTATTTGGAAACCAATCGAATCATGCATTATATGCAAGATAATGCTACAGTTATTGCAGGTGGTCGTGGTAATCAAGCTTATATATTAGCCGCAGCTCCTATCTACGATGAATGGATTCGAAATAATTATGAACTTCGAGTTTGGCAAACTTATCTTCAAATAGGCATACAAGGCAGACATTGGGCAAAAGAAGTCAGTACACGTATAAAAAAAACGTGGCAATGTAATAAATAATCGATTTATTAAAAAGAAAATCAATCGACTAACGAATAATATAGCTCAAGCAAGTGCTACGATTACAAATTTATAAATTCAATTAAGTACTTATTGGACTCAAACAACACTCGGTGCACTAAATTCTGCAACTGTAACACCTACACCCAAGATTCGTGATGCAGTCGATCGATTAGAAAAAGCTATTTCAAAATATATTCAAAATTGTACACAGCATGTAAAAAACATGGCTGAAAATAAAATAAGATTAGTACAAGTACAAATGGAAGAATATAAAGCACTACACTGATAAAAAAAATCCGGGTAAAGATAAACTCTTAAAGGATTTATGAAAATGCAACGTATGATATACCCTTTTTGACCGTTTATCAGGATGTGATAAACCCTTTTATCTACCCATCAAAAGACTAAATAAAAGGGTTTATCAAGTTGATATACCAAGTGTGGAAAGGTTTATCAAACCGTTTATACGACTGAAGAACTCTAAAAGGGTATATCATACGTTGCATTTTCATAAATCCTTATCAAGGGTAGATGACATTTATAAACCCACTTACTTCAACATACATATTCGTTGATAAAACCATATATAAAGACGAAATACCTCCAGTAAAGCTACTAGAAAGCGTTTATTAGTTCAATCAACCAAAGAAAGGTTGATCCAAGGGCAGTTCAAAGGGTTGATTAGTTCCATCTACTATCCAAACGTTGATCCAAGGGTAGTTCAAATGGTTGATCAGTTTCTTCAACTGCCCAAAGGCTGATGGAAAGCTAGCTCAGAGGGTTGATTGAAGGATAATTCAAAGGGGTGATCAGCGTCTTCAACTGACCAAAAGTTGATCGAATGGCGATTCAGAATTATTAACAGGAATAGCAATTCACAAAGCAGTGAGGAAGCTGTGCCAATTTCGATAAAAGAAATAGTATCAAAAGTCCTGAATAGAGAGAATGAAAGAGCTCAGTAGATGGGTTACAGAGGCCTTATCGATGAGACTCGTCGGTTAAGAAGGAACAAAGCTGAAAAACAGTGAATAAATATGGGAAACCAAAGAGGGGAAAAGTGAGACTCCGATACTCCAGCGGACTCCTTGTACTCCCAGGCAATACGATCACTATCCTTGAAAGAGTTTTAGAAATTTCAAGTCTACTATCCACCTGTGCTACTGTAGGGTAGTAGAAATTCAACCAGTGCCAGTCTATCTGACAATAAGGCCCAAACACTTCAGTGTAGTTCAAAATTTCAAACGAATGAGATAAAACGAAGTATTTTGGCTTTATTGTCAGATAGAGTGGCGCTGGCTGAACTCCCACTACTGTACCGTAACANTCTACGCAACTTTTTCACCCTTTCTAGTGCGCTTTAAGATTTTGTAAAATACCGACCAAGCCAGCGCCCGTTTCCTCGATTATCTCAAGGTTTCTCAGTTTTTGCAATAAACGTTTCACCGGTTTATTATCTATATCAAACTTTCAATAGCTTATTGGCGTCCCAGAGTCCGAATCCGTTATCATTTTTTCTCTCTGAGCTTTCATAACGGAGAAAATCTGCCAAGATGGAGTCCAAATTTCACAAGGCAGACTTTTTATTTCAACTCTAATCGAAATTCTGATGAAACTTTCCTATAGCTTATCGGGGTCGAAGAGTCCAAATCCGTTGTCAGTTGTTTCAGTCGAGCGTCCCTGGCTGAGAAAATCCGCTGATCTGGAGTCCAAATTTCACATGGTTCACTTTTTATTTCAAATCTAGCGTCAATTCTGGGGTATATTTGATGCGATGAAAGAGAATAATTTTTTTCTTTGTTATTGATTCATTCATATAGAAGGTTTCAGGTAAATTTTATTTCATAAAATTTCAGAAATGTGTTCTGTTTAATTATAGAAGTCCGCAAAGATGGAATTTCAGGTGAATTTGATCGTTTATAATTTAATATATTTGACTTGTTTTTTTTTCTAGGTTGATGCTTATACGCAGTTTTAGGTAAGTTCTCTCTTTGCAAATGAAGGAATTATTCGTTTTTGTAATTTTAGCTCAAGATAGAGATGGCGTTTTAGGTAAGTCTACTTCTAAGTAATAATAAATTTTTCGCTAATTTGTTTATTTTAGATTGTTTCCAGTAAAAGAATAGTGAAGTAAGTTTTATCTTATAAAATGATTATATTTATTCGTTTCTGTATTTTAGGTTGTTTCAATTATGGAAATCAGAGCAGTCATCCTATTCCGCAATGTTGAACATTTCGGAACCAGTTCCGTCGATTCCAGAAATAGGTCAAATATAAACACTGTCTGATTCCGGAATTGGTTCGTCTCATTCCGGAATTGGTTCGTCTGATTCCGGGAATTCCACGGAATTCAGTCCAATTCCGGAATTAGGTGAAAACGGAGTCACTGAGAACTCCTAGCAATTCCGGAATTACAACTTGTGCCGCTATTCTCTCTTGTCTTACCCATTTCGTGATGATCCGATTCCGGTCCGGAATTCCGGAATTAGGTCAATACGGAATCACTGGGAATTAGACGCAATTCCTAGGAATTCCGTGTAATTCCGTTCAATTGCTGTTCGACCCAGTTCTCGGAATTCCGTACCGGAATTGCATGGTGTGTGTGTGGATGTTAGTGTGGTTGCGCTGAATTCCGGAACTGTTAGGAATTAGGCGGAATCCGTAGGAACTCCCTGTAATTCCGGAATTGAATCGGAAGAGATAAACGGAATTCCGGGAATTAGATGGAATTGGTCGGCAGTGATTCCGGGAATTCCGGAATTGTGTTGGAAGTGATAAAAGGAATTTTGGGAATTAGATGGAATTGGCTCCGTGAGCGGAACTGGCTTCGGAATGTTCAACATTACGGAATAGGATGTATTCTCGGAAATCAGGGGTGGAGTTGGCTTTAAGCGTCTGGTGCCGTCCGCGGTGTGCACACTATTCGAGTATTTCTTAAAACCCGAGTATGGTATACATCAAATGAATCAAAAGTAAGATGAAATAGCCTATAGAGTAATTTTCTGCACAAAGAAAGTCATTCTATAGACTGTTTCATCTTACTTTTGATTCATTTGATGTATACCATACTCGGGTTTTGAGAAATACTCGAATAGTGTGCATACCGCGGGCGGCAGCAGAGGGTCAAATGAAATTTTTAACGGAACCTTCGTTGGGTACGAAACCTTTTCTGGAATGATTTTTAAAAGGTTTTGTGCGAAACCATTGCTACGAAACCCTTTTTTTGAATTATCGTGGAAGGTGTTTGTACGAAACTTCACTTTTTACAAAACCAAAAAAGGATCTTACCGTGTACCGAGGATAAGATCCTTTTTAGGTTCTGTAAAAAACCTATTTGTTTTAGAGTGTACTCTGCATTTTGTATACTATGCACTACCACAAAAGCTCTGCTCTACAGCTTTATATCTGTTTCCAATATAATTTCACCACGTGATAAGTGTATGCTAGTATGAATCTATCTTATTACATATTATTTGAGATTAAACGCCTGGAATTGCATTGCTTTTGAAGATTTACGTAATAGTGGAGTAAAATGAACCATTCAGTCTTGGTTACTAGACAGTCTTAATGAAACGAATCAAAACTCATATGATTCCGACAGATTTTAATGCTGGAATCTGTATCACCCATAATTTACAAAGAGCACTTTTGGTCTAGCTTCTCATTATGTGGAAATGGGAAGTCTTTGCTGATATCTTTTACGGAACTTCATTATGTAGATCACAGATTATGCCGAGGGCGAAAGTCAGCATTATTGAAAAACTATCAAGTCGTTTTAGGCATCGAAATCTCTTTCGTCAGACCAAGAGAGTATCAACAGGCAGGCTTTCCAAAATCTTGGGAGCCAACTAGGAAGATAGGATCAAGTTTTTTGCCACATTCTTCTGTCTGCATCTATAATCATGTCGCAGAAAGATTTCCTAGTGATAAAAGAGAATTCTTAAGTAATTTGTGTAGTGATTCAGAGCAAGAGACGATTGATATGAGATGAAAAAAATCAATGGTGATTCATATACGATCAGAAAAAACAACTATGACTCATGCCGGTCTACCGGCCGATCCGGTTCGGTCTGACCAGTTTAGACGAGTACCAGTATCAGTCTAGAAAAAACCCTACCGGCTACAACTCTGACCTCAGTTCATTTTAGAAAAAAACTCAACAATATCCTCGCATATACATGTATCTCTCTATCCATTACCAAAGAAGCAAGAAACCGAGAACGAGAGAGAACAAGAGAGAAAGATAGAGCGAAAAAAAGGAAAACAAGTACATATATGTATATATATACATGTATGTTGTCTTGGGGCCAAGTCATAGATAACAACAAACATAATAGAGGGTTACCTCGACAACAGCTGAGTGAATCGATTTTCGATACATGTTACTTGTATTTTTCTCTGGTTTATTTGTGCATAGACGTTTTAATTTTACACATTTTAATCTGAGCTGGTTCAGATTAAAATATTTTAAAGTGAACAGCCCGCTAGGAATAGTTCAGATCCCAATTCTAATTCTTCCTAGTTCATATTAAAATTTTAAAGTGAACTAGGAAGAATTGAAATTTCAATCTGTCCTATGACATATATATATATCGTTCAAACACACCCTCACACCCATATGAATATATGAATTATTCTAATCCAACCAACCGCAGTAAATCAAGATTGGGATCATCAAACCCTCAAGTCGAGACATATGAATATATGAATTACTGTATCCTGGCAAACTGCAGTGACTCCAGATTGGATCATTATTACATCAATCCAAAGCAATGATAATTAAATCTTAATTGAGATTTTCTTAAATTAAAAGACATATATGACTATTTCATTGATAATAGCATTCATTAATTTGTGCATTAATTTACATGGGGCACTAGCAAAGTTTTGCAGCCAGTCCTTACGATGAATATTTTCAGGCCGTGGAGATACGTTGGGAAACGACCGGAAAGCACGGGAAAAGGCAGGAAAGTGGAAGCAGTATTCCGGTCGGAAACCTCCGGATTTTTTTCCTGTGGATTTCGGTCAGTTTCCTGTGCTTTCCGGCTGGAAGTGGGTCAGAATACACCGGAAAAATACGAGGATTTATGGCCTAAATACTGCTTCTACTTTCCTACGATTTCCGATGCTTTTCGGTTGGTTACTATGGTATCAGACCTCCGGAATCATTGACCTGGGTTCAGAGATTGGCTCAAATGTATTTTTTGAAAGCACTGTCCTTCAGCATCAATGCACATGTGCATTCGAATAAACCAGTCTCCCAAGTAGTTTTGGAAGTCTTCTTTTATGAGACTACCAATGGTTTGTTCTAAAGCTGTTAACATTGCGTTGTCGTCGTCGAACCGAATTCCACGGAGTTGATTTTTGAGCTTTGGGAATAAGGGGAAGTCGCAGCAACTTAGATCTGAAGAATATGGAGGATTTGAATAAACAACTGTATTCCAGTCATATTAAATCATAGTGCGAAATTGTTCACGTGAGAGTCGAAAACTCATATCGAAATCATGTGAGGGTGATTCGAAATAAAAGAAAAAATGCAACGATCCGAAATCCGTGTAAGTGAGAAGTTTTACATGTCATCCTAAATACGTTTTGTTATTATAATGAAATAGGTGTCCTCAAATTACGACCTCTAGAAGAGCCGGACTGCAAAAATTTAGTAGAGCACCAACTAAAATGTCGATGAATACAACGGATATTTATACTTCAATTTGACATACAATTTATATCAAAACGATTAATCCAATATCAACAGAGTCGATCGTAAAGGTCAGCGTCGTACTTAACAACCAAGCAATCGGTCATTGTTCTACATTTACTTCGTGAGAAGCTACTTCATCTAGTCTTTGTTTCAAAGCTTTGGTTTCAGAGAGACTATTATAAGCATTTGCTTTGAAAGCTGTTCCCGTATATTTCTATTATATCCCGTTTCACTTACATATTTTGATACCCGAAGCCCTAGAAAATGCTTCATTACTATCTAAATACAATAACACAAGAATCCAGGCAAAAAAAAAACACTGAATTATTTTAAAATACCAAACCAACTATAACCATATTCTTCAAAATCCTGAAATACAATTTCTATTCAACCAAGACACCACTAATGGAACAGCGGAATTAGCAACACTGACTTGATCACTCCTTTCATGCCACAATACGTCGATCTGCTTCCCGATTAATTAACCAACACCCACACCTTCACCACCAAATTACAAACCCTTCGTTGCGGGTTTCTTGTAGAAGCTCCATGCAGCATTTGGAAGAGTAGCAGCGCCTACTGCAAACAGTTGCACAACTCTTTGACCATTGACATCGAACAGGAGATGCCAGCCGACATCAGTCGTTACATCGTACCCACCGCAATTTGGATCGGCATTGCATTGGGTCAAAGCGTCTGGAATGGTCAACACGCAGAAGCCCGGGGCTCGATTCTTAGGGTTACTGTTGCAATTGTACAAGGCGACATGAATAACTCCTCCGCTGCCAAACGAATAATTGCTACTCGAGTTAACGGCGGGTGGTTGGGGTTTCTTGTAGAAGCTCCATGCAGCATGTGGAAGTGTAGCAGCGCCCAATGCAAACAGTTGCACAACTGCTTGACCATTGACATCAAACAGGAGATGCCAGCCGACATCAGTCGTTACATCGTACCCACCGCAATTTGGATCGGCATTGCATTGGGTCAAAGCGTCTGGAATGGTCAACACGCAGAAACCCGGGGCTCGATTCTTAGGGTTACTGTTGCAATTGTACAAGGCGACATGAATAACTCCTCCGCTGCCAAACGAATAATTGCTACTCGAGTTAACAACGGTTGGTTGGGGTTTATCATAGAAGCTCCATTCAGCATTGGGTTTTGTAGCAGTGCCTAATGCAAACAGTTGCACCACTGTTTGGCCATTGACATCATAGGCGTTATGCCAGTTGATATTGGTCGTTACTTGTATTCCCCCACAATGCGGGTCGCTATTGCATTGGGTCAATGCATCTGGAATGGTCAAAATGCAGAAGCCCGAAACTCGATTGTTAGGGTTACTGTTGCAATCGTACACGGAGACACGGTTATATCCTTGGCCACCTATTGCATAATTTCCAATCGAATTAGGTACGGTCGGTTCAGGTTTATTAAAGCAGGTCCATTCAGCATTTGGATTTGTAGCAGAGCCTACTGCAAACAGTTGCACAACTGTTTGACCATTTACATCGTATGCGTTATGCCAACCCACATTAGTCGTTACTTCTATGCCCCCACAATTCGGATCGCTGTTGCATTGGGTCAATGCATCTGGAATGGTCAAAACGCAGTAACCGGACACTACATTCTTAGGATTACTGTTGCAATTGTACGAGGCGACATGAATAATTCCTTTACCACAAAACGAGTAATTGCCAATCAAATTGTTACTGGTTGAACGAGGTTTATCGTAGAAGCTCCATTCAGTATTTGTGCTTGTAGCAGCACCTGCTGCAAATAGTTGCACGACTGTCTGACCATTCACATCATATGTGTTATGCCAGTTGATATTGGTCGTTACATCGTATCCACCGCAGTTGGGATCGCTATTGCATTGGCGCAAAGCGTCTGGAATGGTCAACACGCAGAAATCCGGTACCCGATTCTTAGGGTTACTGTTGCAAGCGTACAAGGTGGCATGAATAAGGCCTTCGCCACCGAGGGAATAGTTACCAATCGAGTTAGCAATGGTTGGTTGTGTTTTAATGTTCGATTGCGTAGTGAAGTCGACGTCCGCGTTGACTTGGAATTTAGCAGATTTTGGAGCGCTATCACCAGGTGTCGATGCATCTGGAATAGTTGAGATGGCGTTTCGCGGACCTGGAGTCTTAGGGTTACTGTTAGGATTGGAATTGTTGTCGAGAGGAAGGTATTGATGACCGGTTGTATGAACATTGTCACTATTGCTGGAAGCATCTTGATCTACAATAATATTTGATATGAATGATGTGAAATATAAGCCTGTGCAAAGGGAATAGTTTTTGTTCTGAAACATGGAAAGTTCAGTCTGTAAAAATAGTGCAATGGAAAGAAGAGTATTTTTTCTTGCGCTGATGAATGTATTCTCTGTTGTGATTGTTGGAGGACGAATTTCAGCAAGGAGTTGTTGGAGTGGAGGTGATATGGATTGACTGAAACGGGACAATTCGTCATTTTATGGCAGCATATAGTTTAAAATAATGGATAATGTTCGCTAGGATCGTTCGGGGATTCATTCTTCTTGTAAATGGTGTAGGTTGTGCCGAGGAACATGTGAGTACTATAGGATGAGCCAAATGGCGAGTGAGAACAGGAATGGACGTATATTAACAAGCCATCTATGTCCTAAGAATTTGGTCCCTGATGTAGATTTTTATTAAACGGAGGTTAGGAGAAATTGCGGAACATCTTCTCATAGGTGACGGAGCTAAGGAACAGAAGGCGTTGACGTGATCAAGTGTATGTCACTAATGAACATGCTTGTATATGACAACGGATAATCGGGCACTGAACAGTATGCAATCTATCTCTGTATCTTTTCCCTGTATTTTTTTCATCCCTCTGTATGTCCTTCTCTCTCAATACTGTTTTCCGCTATGTATCTCCTTATTTATCTCTCTGTGTTATAGAATCTGGTGGGTTATTGAAAATAAAAGATTATTTATTACTTAGAGTAATTCGCGTAAACAGGTGATTAAGAGTAGCTAGGAGGAGAACGCAGTCGGAAAGTAGTCAGACTTTACTTGAATTGAGGGACATACACGGAGAACAAGTATGTTCACAAAGAATCTTATTGTGTATATTTGATGTGTGTAACACATAGATATATTATTACAGCGTTATTTCTGTCTAGTTCATTTTAAGTTAATTACTCAATAAATTCTTACGACTCGGTATTACCCAAACATTCTTGGTTATATCACTTATAATCTTTGACAATTTGTTATCCGCTACGTTATCTCGAGTTATACGCAATTCTATACATTCTGATACTCAATCCCTATCCGTTCGAAATATTATTATTGATATTAGTCATATTTCGTTACATGTGTGAATTGAAGTTTTGGTGGAGATAAAAATGAAATGCGAGAAGATGCCCACCTATGAATTTACACGAAATCATGAGAATAGAAAGGTCCGCGGACAGTCACTGTTGAATTCGTATTGTAAAAACAAAATAATAAGCTAGGTGTTGATAATGACCTTTTTTCCCAAGAAAATAACAAAGGATTATGTTATTTTTCATTATTTTTCTATATATGTTGTTCGTTGTTTATCTTGTGGTTCACAGATGTTTTCTCCGCAATATGCTTGCAGGAAAATATGTAGGCTGTATATAATTGAGCCCTTTCATTATTTCAAGATTCTAGAATTTTCATAGAATTTTGAAATCATTCGAATTAATCAGAATATTCGAATTGTAGAACAATGAGAATTTTTGAACGATTGGAATTTTAGAATTATTAGAATGATCGAAATAATAAGAATTATAAGAATAACAAGAATTTAAGAATCATTGGAATTATCGGAATAATAAGAAGTATCGGAATTTTAGAATTATCGGAATTTCAGAGTAGTTAACTAGCCTGAAGTATGGAATTTTAGCGTTTGAGAGAGCTATCATTCTCGTGTCTGGAATAATCAGAATTTCAAAATAAGTGTAAATTTGAAGAGTCAAATTATTAAGAATACAATATTATACTCGATTTGTTGATTGTGGTAATTTATAATCAAATATTGTGGTAATTTGTAGACTTGCAATATTAAAAAAACTGTACTCTTTGATTTAGTTTGATGTAAAAGTTATTATTCATGCATACAGTTGTAAAACAATAAATTCTCGATGAGTGTTTTATGCCATATATTATGCGAATTTACATGAATAGTAGAGTTTTTTAATATTACAGATCTACAAGTTCCCACAATATATGATTATAAAATACCACAATCAACAAATCCAGTACAATGTTGTATTCTTAATAATTTCTTACTCTTAAAATTTATACTTATTTTGAAATTCTCATTATTCCCCAACACGAGATTGATATCTCTCTCAAGCGCTAAAATTTCATACTTCAGGCTAGTTAATTACTCTGAAATTCTGATAATTCTAAAATTCTAATAATTCTGATTATTGAGATAATTCTAGTTATTGTGCAGTTCTCGTTATGTTACAATTCGAATATTCTATTTAATTCGAATGATTTCAAAATTCTATGAAAATTCTAGAATTTTGGAATAATGACACTGCTGTCTAAGTGAAACCTCATTTTGGCCAAAGTTTCAGGTCAAAATTCTAAACTATAATTTTCTTCGAAAAATTGAAGTCATCGAAGAGATAAGTCACTAAAAATTCCATATCTCAGGCAAAACTGCACAAGAGCATGAACCTTTTAGAAGTCATTATTGTCTAGTGGTCCTCTAGCAATGGGAATAATATGGTCTCAAAAGCTTCTAATCACTCAAAAGCTTTTAATGATCTCAGGGATTCTCCCTCGAAAGCATTTTTTTAGAAATCGAAAATGGATACACTTCAATATTCAAGTTGAAAGTGATATCTCAAAGCAGTATCTATTCATAGTTTTCCAATGAAAAAAGACTTCAAAGTATCCTCCACCACCAGGAAAAGAATGGCCTCATTTAATGAAAGAGCGGTGGAGATATTAATTTTTTTTATTTAAAGGAACTTTTTGTACATCCGGTATATATATTTTCTTTCTTTTCCATTTTTCCTTAAAACGTATGACTTTATGTGAAGGGGTCCACTTCCCGATCAATTGATCCCATCGTCCACTGCTGGGGAAAATTACCTGACGGTAACGGTCTTGGGGGGAGGGGGAGGGGTGCAAATTTTTTACACTAAACACTTCAACACTCCTTTCAGGTCGTGTTTCACAAAATTCTCTATTGCTCACATTTGCTTTATGTTCCACAATCATATCATTACTATTAAAATAATGACAGATATGGTAGAACGTTTTCAATGTCCCTACATTTTCTCATTATTGTCGTCCCTCCAAAACTCTGAGCTTCCATAGGTTTAGATGTTCAAAATGTAAGTAAATAAATATCATAATAAATTTCGTACGCAAACCGCCGGGCGACAACGAAATGTCAAATATTTATTAGGAGCTTCAAAAACATATAAATTCTCAATTGAAAGAACAAATAAGACTGAACTTACTACCAAGCAATATTGAGTCTACTCTAGAACCAAAACTGATTGCTGCTGGCTATCAACAGGAAATTTGAAAATATCATTTGAGAAAAGAAATTCGCTTAATAAAGGCAACTATATAGATCAACACACACTAATCTTGTCATAGCACAGCAATATTCACCACACATTCAATCCTAGTGTTATACTTCTAAAAATGATGAGAGTTAGTTTCCTGAACATCGATAGCGTCAGTGTCACTAATCACTAGAAAAATGAATCACCCGACATCATCGTCAATCTTGAAGCGTGGAACTCTAACTTCAGTGACATTGATTTGCTTCAAATTGACTATGATTCATGAGACTACCATCATGTCCACATCCACGTAAAATATTATAATACATCGGCCACTCTCTTTCGATCAGCGACTACATAAACTCAATAGTTCCTCGGTTGTATTTGGTGCATTTCCTACACCTAACTCAACTGAGTGTTGAACTCTAACGACGCAGTACCCAACAATTATTTCCATATCAACATATAATAGAGCCTGCCTCGTGACTGCAACAGAAATAGATTCTCAATGCTTTAGTCAAAAGTAGATGAACAATTCATTTTTATTTTGAAAACCATTAAACCCATATTGTTCTTACTAGGTTCAACTACAGTAACTAATGCCACTTATTTTAAAAGTGCACCTGCCAACGCTCAGGA